CTGACTTCGAGTGGATGAAGAACGACACCGTTCCGGATTGACAACCAAGAATTCTGCAGCAGCTCTGCATCATAATCTTCAGGGGAGAACAAGTTGCTGCTAGTCTGTTCAGGGGTTGACCTGTTCTTCATTAGCATTCATGGCCAACTGAGACCACTCGCTCAACGAGCTCCTATGGGTTCAAATAAAACCCAGGAAAAAAAAATTGAAACTTCAGCAAAATCGTTCAATGATTATCGATTTTTGGAAGAGCGAATTATGTAACCTGGCACTGACGGCGCTTCCCGGAGAGCCGGCGTTTTTTGGCGGCAATAATGGAAGCAACATGGACTGATACAGCTGAAGATGAAGTGTCATTGTTCATCTTCTTCCTTCTATATTTGTTCTTCTTCCTCGCCACAGCATCATCTCCTTTGGCCATCCTTTTGTTCCCTTCCCTTGTTTCAGTTTTCCCGTAGAGGTGGCGGCGGCCGGCGGGGAAGGCAAAAACGGGGAAAGGGAGCTATGAAGTTATCAGCCTAGTTATTCTGCTGACTTAAAGATTCGTTAGTATATACTAACTAATATCCAAAATATATAAACTAATATCCAAGTCTGTTGAGTATCTAGATAGCACATATTAGTATTCAAAACATCATAAACTAGTATCCAGATAGTAGATACCAACTAATATCCACAATCAACCAACTAGTGTTCAATATGGATACTTTTATGTGTTATCTGGATACTCTTATGTGTTATCTGGATACTAATTATGTGTTGTATGGATACTATTCTGTGTTGCTAGATATTAGTTTGTGAATTTGGGATAATAGTTGATTCATGGTGAATATCAGTTAGCAAACTTTGAATACTAGTCTGTGCTCTCTAGATACTTTAGTACTTGGATACTAGTTCATGTATTTTGGATATCAGTTAGTATATGCTAGGGTGGGAAACGGTGCGGTCCGGTCCAGACCAGACCATAGGTACGGTCTGTGGTCCAGACCAAGAGGTTGGAACACAGACCATGGACCAGTCCATAGACTATACGGTCCAGACCAAACCACACTTGTGCGGTGCGGTGCGGTGCGGTCCGGTACGGTCTGGACCAGACAGACCATGTTAAAAAAATTAACTCTTGTTCGCCCTCCAACCCTTCACAGGTATCTATAAAAAAAATCTAATGACCAATATGCTAGTGAAACAAAAAAATTGTGATCATATTAAATGAAAAGAAATATGAGGATAGAAGTGGGTTTTTTTAATTTTCAAATAGCCTTATTTCCCTATTCCTCTTTGTGCTACCGCTTCTCTCCTCTCTCGAGTGATCCGAAGGTTCTCCCAGTTGATAACCTTTTTGATGACGTCGAGGTAATTTCGAACCACTAAGATGGTCGTATATCTCTCAATAATTTTCCTTATCGACTCCATAGTCTAGACATTATCTGTGAATATTATTTATGAGTCTTTCTAATTTTTGTGTGGTACGTTGATAAGGAGATAACATATAAGCGATCATTTTGCAATTTGTTGGCTCTCAACAAGATGAAGAATCAACTAACTTTGTTCTTCAAATACACATATGGAGGTTCAATTTAGTGTTATTTTTGTCCAAGGTAGTAGGTAGTGTGTTGCGGTCTGTTACGGTTTACTGCGGTAGACCGTGGTCCAGACCACGCACTAAAGGAGGAGACCGCAAACCAGACCAGGCCATAGTTCTGGTCTCACGGTCCAGAGAAAACCATACGATACAGTCTAGACCGCGGTTTCCCATACGGTTTGGTCTGGATTCCCAGCCCTAGTATCTGCTAACGAATCTTCAAGTTAGCAGATTAAATTTCCCCTGAAGTTCCAGTCCAGTCCTTTTCCAATACCAAACCAAACGGCCCCTATCCCTAATTTTCAAGGTTTCAACCATAGTTGTTAAGTCGTTTTCCGGCCAGCCGGTTGGACCAGATCGAATCAAAATCATTCACTAAATCCTATCTGTTTATACCATAAAATTTGTCTTGTACCACATTGGTGAGTTACGAGGTAATCAAGAAATTTATAAGTTCACATTAATTATAAGAATTAATGTTGTTTAAATTGGGTTTTATGGAAATTGGTTTAAGCCAAGTCACTAGCTCATTAATGAGCATGGACATGATTCAATAAGGGACATGGGCCTCTCGTAGGAGGTCATGCCGTGCCACGAGATGGCACAAAAATATTCTAAGTCTGAGAAAGACGTGTCACTTCAATGAGGAGGTACCATGTCCATCTAGAATGGCCATGTCCATCTAGAATTTACAAGCACATCCCATCTCAAGGAAGACGCCGGTATGGCAAAAAATATTCTAAAGTCTTGAGAAGGACGTGCCACTTCACGAAGAGGCCATGCCGCCTCATGACCAAGACCGAATGAGTGAAAAATAAACTAAGTCTGGAAGAGGTACATGCCGCCTCATCGAGGAGGGCCATGTCCATTTAAAATCTATAAGCACACATCACTGTCTAAAAGGGGACAAAAAATAACTAAGTTTGGGAGGTCCATGTCGCTTCATGAGAAGGGGCATGGACGCGAGACAATAGCCCTAGGCATGGTTGAAAAATACAAAGTATGAGAGGGCCAATGTTGTGTCACGAGAAGGGCCACAAACATGATTGAGAAGTCCATGATCGCGAATGAAGAGGTCATGCCGCCTCATGATCAAGACCAACCCACCCACCCAAAATACACTAAGTCTGGGAAGGACATGCCACCGCCTCACGAGGGGGGCCATGGACGCGAATAAGAAGGCTGTGGTGGTGGAGCACTATATCACTAGTGACTAAGTCCCAAGGGGTCCATGGATACGAGTAAGAAGTCCATGGCCATGAAGCAAGAGGACCATGACCCCTTTGCGAGACACCACATGCTCATCAAAAGACCAGCATGGCACGAGATTTAGAGCAAGACCAGGCGAGGCAAGACTCTCGACGGTTTCAAGAGAAGTACCTAGGCAGTTGAGAGAGGAACTGCTACTCATCCCACGTTCAAGGGACACGTCAGCAACGTTTAGGAGAAGAGGGAGCGGTTCTTTGTAGCAGTTATCCAATAAGAGATTTTCTACGGCGGTTACCTCCTCGTGACTATAAATAAAAGGAGGAGTCGACGGAGACGAGGGGTCCCAAGACCAACACTCTGACACACATGTCAAGTTTATCCTTTTTCTTTTCTCAATGGTGTAGCCATAGACGTAGTTTTTAGTTTAGAGCTCTCACCGAACCTCCATAGGAGTAGAAGTCACTTAACTTATATTTCATTCCCAGAAACCATCAATCAAAACATCCTCGTTCGAACTTTGTTTGAAGAGGTGTGAGTCGTGTCTTAGTAATCGTTTCCCATAGAAGTCAAAGGTGCATTGATCTCATTGCAATGCAAGTTTTCTCGCCGGAAAACACGATCAAAATCGAAAAAAATCAATGATCGAATCAAAATGTATGTCTCCGACCTCTTAGACAAATGACATCGTTTCACTCAAACTCTCTTTGAAAGTGAGTAAATCATTAATGAGAACCTCATTTTTGCCTCCCAATCTCTCTCCTTTCGTGTTGAATCAAAATCTTCATTCCCCCAATCAGAAAGTGCAAACTAATTCTATCGTTGGATTTACATCCTGATCTTCGGTTATCTCTTCATCCCTTTCACATATCACAAAGTCTACGACTTATAACATAGTGATTATGCGAGCTCGTATATGAGCACAATTGAGTGACAATGTGACCTTTGAAATGGTTTTACTTGGCTTTAGTTAAACTACAAACATTTTCTCTTCATTTACGAAAGAATGGAAGACCACGATGACTTCATTTTGAATCCAAGTTCATGATAGCCTATCTATTATACGACTTCGAATATGTCAAGTATGCCATGTCTTCAATCCAATCACATATAGAGATTTTCAATCCAAGGGAACCTCTGTCTTCGAGATCTTCAAATTCCAGTCGTGAGTGTTTTGCACCTCATTGTGGCGTATCTCGCTTTATAACATCCTCACAAAGGTGTTTCTCTCACAAAATTCCAACCTCCCCCATTTTAAACTATAGTTTTCGTCTCATTTGTACAAAAATTGGTTGATGTCATTTACCATGTCCCATGTCTTGGTTATCGACACAAGCCATGACAAAAGGGAAAACATGTGATTCACTTGATGGCAACGTCAAAATTGAGACCTAAATCACGACATAGCTCCAGCTTTTGGGGGTTGAGTCCCGACTTGTCACAGTGTGGTCTAAATCATAACAATTTCTAGCTATTGTGCATGCTCTAATTCGACCTCGTTCGAATTTTGAACCAATCTCCCCAATCCTCCTTAAGCCCAGGCTCATAAAACATCATAAAATGAAAACACTTAGTATAGAAATGTGGCAAATTGAAGGGTTCTTATTCGAATACTCAATATAAAGGAGCTAGATGCATGAGAGGAACATGTATTATTTGTGATGAATTGTTTCATTTTGATACAACTGACTCAAACACTCCATTATCTGTGAGAAATTGAGCGAATGAGAACGATAATTAGCGCGTTTATGCTTCAAACTATAAAGTTAGAAGGAAATTTGCATAAAAACCACTGTTTCAATGTTGGTTCTACCATTTCATAATACTAAGGTCGCATATCGATTTGAAACCCGTATCCAATATTTATTATTCTAATCGAATGTCAGGATATAGTTTCTAAAGCATTGAAAAAAATAGGGTTATAGGTATAATATGCCCCTCTGACGTTTTATCAAACATGCCCCTTTACTATTTTTTACATCAAATATACCCCTGTACTTTGGAAAAATTATCAAAAATGCCCTTCTGTTAAAATTTCGATTGAAAAAAATCGTCAATCATGGTTGAATTGAGATTTAGACGACCCGACATCGACAAATGGGAGGGAAAATGTCAGTTTTGTCCCTGTTTTATTTTTCTGGGTCTTTTCAAAGTGAAATTATTTGAATGATTTGATTATACAAAATAACCAAAAAAATTCTAAAGTGAATTTATTAGGGATATTTTAGTCATTTGTGTCGGCAAAACTAAAGTTCGGCCTTGGTTAACGGTTTTTAGATGAAAATTTTAACAAAAAGGCATGTTTGATTATTTTTACAAAGTACATGGACATGTTTGACGTAAAAAATAGTAGAGGGACATGTTTGATAAAACGTCATAGTAGAGACACGTATTATACCTATATCCAAAAAATAACACAAACAATCCATACAACATCCATCCAAAGGGCTAGCACAAAGCTTGTAGTTATCCAAAACTAAACTCAGGCCCAGTGAAATTACACAATGGAGTCAAACAATTGATGATTAAGAATGTTCAAATGGACAAGAAAATAAAAAGTACTCATGAGTTATGAGTGATTTCCATAATTTGTTCGGTTGGGGGTCTTCTTAATCTTATTTTATTATAAGCTAACAATTTAATCATTATTACGTGTTTTCCTCTTTCTGAAAGTCCAACTATGCAAATCTTTAATTCACTCGTTTTCTGGGTTTCTTGTCTTCCTCATATTTCAGAAATGCGTCTCCTTTCCCTTTCTCCATCTCTCCCTCTCTCTATCCATGTGGTTCTAGCGAGTCTTCTCCCAACTGCTCTTTCCTAGTTACTTCCCTTTCTCTCACTAAAAATTCCCAGTTATTTCCTTTTCGTTTTTTCCTCTTCTGGGTTCCCTTTCCCCTCTTATCCCCACTTCCTGCTCCTCTTCATGTGATCTCGTAAGCTTCTCTCTCTTTCTCATTTACTGTTTCCTGGCCGCCGCCACGGTTTCCTCCGCGTGCTTGTGCTGCTTTCTGTCTCTTGACTGTTCTAGCTTGGTTATGGATTTTGGTGCGATTGGGTTTTCTTATGGCTGATGCAGCTGGGGATTGTTTGGTTTTGGGGATTGTGGTGGTGATTTGTCTGGGATTGCTTTTGCTTTTGTTTATTTTACTTTTCATTCATGAAACCTTATATCGCTGTTTGTTACTTGTTCACAACTTTTTTGGGATTCTTTTCGATTCTTCAGCTGGCTGGTCAGTAATTGTTGTGATTGCCAATGCTAAAATGGGGAATATTGTTGATGTTTGAATGTTTAAGGAGATCAAGTTCTTGAATGCTTTCTTTACTTTCATCAATGAAAGTTGCATTGAAGATTCGGACTTTCCTTTAGAGGAATAATTTCTTTCTCTAATTAAGGGCTTCATTGGTATTGAAAAAAGGTAGTTCCTGAACTTCTTGGTGGATACAGCCTGGGTGAGTTGACTTGCTGTTGTCTGTGATGGCAATTAGCAGCTGATGTTTAACTTCGGTTTTAAAGTTGCAATCTTTTTGTCTTCTTTCAGTTTGGTTTATATGTATAGATGCTGATTGCTGACTGTTGGGGGAAAACAGGGACACACACAGAGTGTTGCTTATTGGTTTCTTCTTCCTGTGTATTTTTATCAGATTTAGTGGGGGAAAAGATGGTGGCCGAGTCTTGGTTTCGCAGCTTGTGGAAGATTCCTCGGAAGCATGATAATGGTCGAGATAAAGCTTCTCTCGGAGTTTTGGCCCTGGAAGTTTCAAGCTTAATGTCCAAGGTAGTTCATCTATGGCATGCTTTGAGTGATAAGCAGATTTCCAGGTTGAGGGAGGAGATTACAAATTCTGTGGGTATTAAGAAACTAGTCTCTGAGGATGAAGATTATATCATTAGGTTGATATGCGCCGAGCTGATGGAGACTGTGGTTCATGTGGCCAAGTCGGTGGCCCGGCTATGTAAGAAGTGTGGCGATCCTACTCTAAAGAGCTTTGAAACGGCTTTCCAAGAACTGGTAAAGATCGATATTGATCAATACGGATGGGAATTTTCATTGAAGAAAATGGATAAGAAGGTTAAAAAGATGGAGCGCTTCATTTCAATCAATGGTTCATTGTACCAGGAGATGGAGTTACTTGTGGAGCTTGAACAGACAGTAAGAAGAATGAAGTGCAGTGAACCAATACCAGATAGTTTTCCTGACTATCACAAGAAGCTTTTGTGGAAGCAACACGAAGTGAAAGGTCTTAGGGAAATGTCACTTTGGAATAGGACATATGATTATACAGTTGGCCTTCTAGCAAGATCGATATTCACTATATTCCGCAGGATCAATCATGTTTTTGGTTCTAATACTACGGTGGATCAGAGACCTGGACGAGTTGTGGATTCTGATTACATTTATCGCAGCCAGTCGGTTTCTACTATATTGCAATCATCTGTGCCTCAGTCTGAAAGTAGAAATATCCCAAGATTCTCTTCTGGTCCCCTTGGCATGTATGCTGGAAAATCTGGTCCTCTTCCTAAAGCGAATAAGAGGAATGATTTCCACTCGGGTCCTATTGGTGGTGGCTTGCCGACAAAGCCTGCACCTAGTACTGAAAAGAAGAAGGGCTTGAAATTCTTTTCAGGTCCACTTGGAAAGCCGACTTCAAAGTCGGGGCCACTCTATGAAATCAGCAAGCTGTGGCAAACTCCTCAATCGCCGGCAGCACAGGCAAATCGATCGCATTCAAAGCATAGTCGGCTGACTCAAGTTGGTCCTTTCAAGGGATGCATAGCCACAAACAGTTCACCTGTTGTCAATTGTCACATTCCGGATCTTCATTCCATAATTCTTGATGCTGCACGTGAAAGTAATGGTAATCACTTCCATCATGTGAGCTTGGCTTCTACTGGTCAGTCGATATTTAGTACCAAATTTGTGGTTGCTCTTCCTGAAACCCTAAGTGCCACTGCTTTAGCACTCCACTATGCTAATGTTATTATTGTTATTGAGAAGCTAGCAGCATCTCCTCATTTGATTAGCCATGATGCCCGAGACGATTTGTACAGCATGCTACCAGCAAGTGTAAGAATCATGCTAAGGCAAAAGTTGAAGCCATATGCCAAGAGTTTGGCGCTAGCTGAGTATGACTGTGTGCTTGGGAGTGAGTGGACTGGGGCTATATCTTCAATATTGGAATGGTTGGCCCCTCTTGCTCATAACATGATTAGATGGCAATCCGAGAGGAGTTTCGAGCAACAGAACTTTGTTTCTAGGACAAACGTTTTCCTGGTTCAAACTCTTTTCTATGCTAATCAAGAGAAGACTGAAGCCACAATTGCAGAGCTTCTAGTTGGTCTGAATTACCTCTGGAGATCTGGCCGGGAACCCGACGCGAAAGCTCCTAGGGAGTGTGCTACTAGCAGAACGTTTGATGAGTATTTGGAGCTCGGCGAGTAGTGTCTTTTCATACTTCTACACCGGCGATTATTGCAGAACTGGGCAGCTCCATCAGACTCATCCTTTGTAACATGCAAAATGTCTATGGTTTTGGATGAGATTTCTCCTTGCTTAGAAGTTTCCCCACATCAGAGCACATTCTTAGCAAGATGGACGGCATAGTTTGAGGCACCACCCTCATTTGTGAGCGAAATTTTTTCCTCTTTCTGCAATCGTAAAGGGTGGCGACTCCTGTATCCCCTTCGTCTGGTTAGTTTAGTCTAGCCTCACTGATTAAGCTTTTAACGCGATGGTTTGTGTAATCTTGTTTTCCAGCAGTGGCTGTCTATATAAACTGTAAAAATGTACCATATATGGTCTTCCATTCATGTATAGATATGGCTGGGTTTTTGGAATGAGCTAACTGGTATTACGTAGTAACTGAAGATGATATAGCACCCATGTTATGCTGCTGAAGTTTCTCACATCCCCATTTTAGCATGCAGCAACTTCTCCTGGTAACAGGGGATTGGCTCTTCTCTTGACAATGTATTTGATCATGGTGTGCTCTCTTCTTTCCCTTCGCTTAAGCGAGGATTTTCGCGGCTGGGCTTTCGAGACTAAAACCAGGTATACTGAAGACTACTGTGAAAATTCTCATCTCTTCCCAGCTGTTTCAGGCCTGCCACAAAATGGTTGCCTCAAGGGGAAATAAAGTTTAGGTATATCTGGTGGCAAGAATTGACCTTCATTGTCAGCTTCTATTTGTTTTCAGGTTCGCCTGTCTACTTCCCATTTTGCAATGGAGCTTTCACTGGCAGATCCTTTTGTATTTTTGTGGTTTTGGATTGGTCATGATTAGGTACTTGAGTTTTGGTCGAAGTTAGGGTCATAGTGAGATGAAAGAAATTGTTTATAGTTCTGTTTGGAACTTTGTTTCTTTTCTACTCCAGTTGCAAATCTGCTATTGAATGTCACCATCACCCTAATTTTACGCTGATGATCATGGATTGCTAAAGCATATAACTATCAGTTATCTCCCTGAACTAGATAAGGAAGATTGGAGGAGAATGAAAACCCTTATTTAGAACATATTCTCAAAAGTCAACAGCTAGATACCAATCGGAAACTTTTATAGACAACTATAGTAGTACATAGAGAAATGGACGATGGTCGGCAAATAATCGAATCATCGATATGAGAGTCTTTTTTTGTCATGCAACGGACAACACTTTGATAGCTATACCGCATGGACAATGTCCATGATTCCTACCCTGTAATGGTTCATGGAGCATATGGGTTGATTAGCATGAAAGAGAATTACAAGATTTTCGTGGTAATTTGATCAAAATGGTCATATAGGTTTGAGTCAATAACAAGTGTATCATGATATATAAACTTTGTCATTCTTTTTCTGTCCATCCATATTTTTACTAGAAGATGCCAGTCAACTTGCTACGGGTAAGAAATAAGTTTAAGAGTTGATCAAGTGTAATACTGAATATTTTAATTTTTTGCGGTGAACCCACAAGACTGTTGCTTTACCCGGATTAGAATGTAACACATTAGAGGGAGGACGAATTCACAAAACAAATGAACAAATTGATCGATATAAGAAGGAAAAGTGGAAAGCTGGGAATGTAATGATGGCCCTCCTTGATGGATGTATGTCGATGCAGCTTGATGAATTATTTTAACCCGATACAACGTTTGGTGGGTTGATTTGAGATTTTTCATTTGATCGCTCGAGTAAGGAGTGTAAAGTAAATATCATTAGTAAGGTGTGAGGTCAAGTACCATAGAATACATTATCTTCAATTTGCATATACATTATTTTATACTCCATAGCTCAACAACTACTTTTGGATCGCCTACATCATTTATTGAATGATTGATCTCTTATCTTTGGTACTAAGTGAAAGCATTCTACCTCTAATGCATGTAAATTAACAACTATTCGAAGTTTTATTTGTGAAAAGTTGGATCACATTATCCATTCCATTCATTTACTAAAAAATTGACAAGTAAAAAGGACTTTCTTTCTTGAAACTTTCTTCCAAAAATTTCCCTATCTCACAAGGGAATATTGATTCCGATAAAACGACTCGCCGCCCCAAGGAGCCAAGCCTTCGTGTCCCTTTTTTCAGTTTTTGCTCTGCTTCTCCAACAAGGTTACAACTTTCAACCGACCCGTTTGGCTCTCCCTCTCCTTCTCGCTTTGTCTGTATCTTCTGGGCTTTTCCCCCTTCCTCCCGCTTTGCTTTCTCTTGCTTGCATGGCCGCTTCCAGGACGCGCCGATCGACATCTTACCGTGGAGGAGACATCTCTGACTCCGAAAAGATGGAGTCTTCCGCCGGCTGGGACGATGCCCTCGATTGGCTCAAGCTTGAGGTCCTCCTCTTCGCCCTTCCCCGCTCTCAGAACCCGCATTCTCTTTTAATGGCTTCCTCAATTTCTGAAATTTTGTTTGTTTCCGTCTTCGTTCTGCTGTAGCAGCACCAGTCGGTCTCCCGCTCTGTTTCGCTCCCGCGTCACGGCAATTACAAGTGTTTGCTTGAAGGAGAACGCGTCCTAGCTGAGGTAACACGCTTCTTTTCTTGCAATTGGGGGGGGGGGGGGGGGGGGGGGGGGGGGGGGGGGGATATCAATTATCGGAAGACGGCTTCATTCTGCCTGATTAGATGCTCGTTTTTCTTGATTCTCACCTTTCCTGATGGGAACGATCTTTCGTTGTGATATGTCAATTTACCCTGTTCTTGTCAGTAAGGAAGAGTTTTAAGAACTGGGTTCGCTATTCAACTGTGTGCTTGTTTAGTTGAAAGCTTGTTCTGGTGATGATGGAGAATGGGTTTTGATTAAGCTTCTTGGATCTTAAGCTGGAAATTTAGCAGCCATTATGGGCAAAATTGCTGACTTTGGATCGAGACAGTCGATTCAAATGCTAGTGAACAGCTAGCGGTTGAGATAGAAGACGAGGAGAGGAAATAATCAAAAGGGGAGGGAGGTAATCATGAAGCACAGATTGATAAACAATCAACTTTATGGTTTATTTTTCTCGCCATTATAAGTTGGCAGAGAGAGGGATGGATAGAATAGGCTGTGTTGAGTCCAGTTCACTGTCAGCAATCCTTGTTGTTAGGGATTTGGTATCTATAAGCAGTTTGAGATTAACGATTAGTCTGAGAGAATGCTACTGATTGCATTGGATGATGTTGTTGATGGCTGCTTGTTGGCTAAGGCCTTGGGGGATTAACTAAGAGGACATGGATTCTTAGATTACAGTGACAGTAGTATGATGAGAAAGAGGAAATCTGTTGAGTACTGACCGATTCTGAAAAAAGGTTTTGCTTGCTGCTCTGAGTTGGGTACGCCAGATACTTTGGGCCGTACATGTCATGCTCTCCTTATTTGAGTTTCACGTCCAGATATTTCGATGATGGATGCATTTCATGAATATGCATTTCTCTCTTGACTTTGACTAATCTATAAAAAGGCCAGGGAAAAGTTGAGGACAGTGTTTCTGTTGGTTTGATTTGTCTCTGCTTTTATGTCCTTGACTTATGGTCAGATGGACTGGGGATAATGTATTGTCAGTTTTGTATTTCATAGCTGGTCATTGTTGAAACGAGTTTCCAGACGTTTGTTTTATTGATTCCCTATCTGATATCAGTCTGTGGGAAGTGGCAGGGATATGAAATGTGCTCTTTTCTTTTACTTTTGCATGTGGTTAGTGCTTGGAAAATGTTAACCTGCTATGTTGTAATTTAGTGATCCTTATTTGAGCTTTAGCTTTGTGGTCGAAGTAAGTACAAGTTCCTTTTTTCCTGCTGTGAATGTTTTCTTTCCAGGGACATGGTGTCGTTCTTGTTAATACAGATGAGGCAGGCACAGTGGTAGTGACAAATTTTCGTCTTATGTTTCTGGTGAGTTTTGTGCATTTCTTTCTCACATTGGCCAGTGAATATTCTTTCCAGGCCAGCTAGTTTTAACCCATTTCGTTATTAAAGTACATTTAACAATTCCAAGGCGACTAAAGTACCTGCATCAAGAAACAAGTATGATGCAGGTCTGCAACTGTTGTATGCAATGTTATATGGATCTCATTCCTATTTTATGTATTCACAGAGTGAGGGAACTCAAAATACTGTGGCACTTGGCACAATACCACTGGCAACAATTGAGAAGTTGAGCAAATTGGTAAGCAGCATCAATTTTTAGCTTCGTATGTTTCTTGTCAAAACTTGTACTAACATCACTTATGCAATAGATTAATGCTGGTCTTAATAGTATGAGGAAAAGTTAATTCTTGAACTTTAATAGGGCATCATTCGTGGAAAACTCTTACTCCATTTGGCCTGGGTGTGACATTATGCATTAGATTCCATATTTACCATCTGGCTTTATATTTCTCATAATGAATCATGCTGTGTAGTTTCCAGATAAGAACATTGTGATTGGCTTATATCAATCTACTTGTTCGTTGATTTGCTTTACTTCTACCGGTATCGGGATTGTTGTGAGGGCAAAGATAGGTAAATGCAAGGTGAAATAATCAGATAATAGTATTGCTCTGAATTTTTAGTTTTCATTTTGTGCTCTATCCTGAACCTTCTATATGAGTAATGAGTTATGACTTCCCTGTTAGAAGACAACATAATGTTTTTCGGATCATCTTCAGGTTGCAAAGAACCAAACAGCTCCACGGCAATCTGAAAAGTCTACTTCAAGACGGCTCCTCCAGGTTATTGGTGCGTTTTTTTATGGGCCTTGCATCGATCTGTATAAAATTTGAGTGCACTACCCTTGGTCTGGAAGTTGGTTTGAAATTTTGAGCTGCAGAACTCCTTGTATTCTTGTGCAGTTTGAAGCTCATATTTTGGGTTGTAGAAAGTGGAATAGATGTCATATTTTCTTTGAGCTGAATACCATTTTTTTATGATCAGTTTTTTGTGTCCGTAGTTCTGTTGGATACGAATTGTATGCATGTCAGAGGGTTATTTTAAGGTTGTTGCTAGTTGTTCAGTGTGTTTTACTTCCTATCCAAGAATCTGTGATCCTGCTGTAAGAAGACATGTCTAATTGTAAATTACTTTGTTTAGTACTTTAGTAATATAAGATGTACAGGTTGCTTTGAGAAAATGTTCTTTGTTTTGCTTCCTTCTCAGCTTAAACTGTAGGTCCATGAGTCTAAGTAGTGTAGGATTTCCAAGTTTGGAGACCTTGCCATCTCTATTTCTGTTTTATATTGTGCATTGGAGCGGATAATGTTTTTATAATAGTTCTTCCAAATTTAAGATAATAACACTATTTTTTCTGCTTTTCTCAGGCAAAGATTTGAGAATTGTAGTCTTTGGTTTTCGCCCTAGAACAAAGCAGGTGAAATGTTTATGCCCAGCATTTGGTATATGGCCTGCCATCTTGATTTGAGTGTTTGCATGATGTCTTATCTTTGCTATGAAATCAAATTATTCATTTTTGCATGTCCATGCTATATGCTTGTACAAATTATGCCAGCCATTGCTGGAGAAATTTCGAGAATACAGATGAATCCTGTTGAAAGTATTGCCGTGTAATTGTACTTTTTTCATTGACGAATATGTAATTGTATAATTTATAGAAGAAATATGGATTAAGCTGTCTTAAATTTTAACCTGTGCTGCCGGATAGGGAATGTGATACATTTTGAGAGTAGAATCAAGTTGATACCTGCACATGGTTGAACCGAAACATTGTATTAGAAAACTTTCCTTTTACTTCCCCTTCCCTTCAGTTACCCTCACTTACTCCCCATCTATACATAGTATTACACTAATCAATAACCTTTGTATTTCCCAAACATAGCGTTACAATTATTTGTTGACCTTTATATTTTGCAGAGGCGTCTTATATATGATGCCCTACAGAGAAGTTCGAAGCCTCTGAGAATCTGGGATCTTTTTGCATTTTCCAGTGGCTCATCAAAGTTCAGTAACGCAAATCCAAAAGTGCGGCTGCTGAATGAGTATTTTCGACTCCTTGGAAAAGGTTCTTATGGTGCAACGATGAATATGATTGAGAAAGAGTCTTATATGAAATCTAATGAGCTCTGGCGGATCAGTAATGTGAATTCCAGCTACTCAATGTGCCAAACATACCCATTTGCTTTGGTTCTTCCAAAATCCATCAGGTAGAATGGTTTCTGTTTTGCAGCTCAACTGCTCAAGGTGCTAGGCAGAAGTGAAACTAACATCACTTATTGCAGGTCCTACTATTTTGGTTACCAAATTGATGTTTATTGTATTGATAGTTCATTGGGTTTAAATTGAATTTTAGTGACGACGAGGTGATCCAGGCATCCACCTTCCGTGCTAGGGGTCGCTTGCCAGTAATTTCATGGTGTCATCCAGGTAAGATGTCATCAGATCTTATGTTTTTTCTTGCTTGATCTCAGTGGATGCAAGTTCCTTTTTTTGTTGCAATAATGGGATGCAAGTTTATTTTTATTCTGTTGCAGTCTCTGGGGCAGTCCTTGCTCGGTCATCCCAGCCTTTAGTTGGTCTTATGATGAATCTGAGGAGGTAAGGTGTAACGTCCGCTTGATTGCTCATTAGCAAGAATCTTAGAAATGAGATTGGAGCTAAAATTGATAATGCATGGCCTTTAATGAAATAAATTTGACCTTTGGTTTATGTTAAAAGTTCATTTCTTTTAGATATTGAAGTACTTAGCAGCTTTTCTAGCGAGCTTATGCATTAGCAGTTAACTTGGCTTATGTTTGTTGACCAGCAATGCGGATGAAAAACTTGTTGCTGCACTTTGTACTCAGCCCGGTGGGGCTCGTGGGAGGAGGTTCGTTTGTTATCAATATCTGTATTAATTGTTCGTTCTTCTTTCAACAATTATTCATCTATAATTTTACACCAATGTTGGGCAAAAACAAAGGGAAAGAGGAGTTTCACGTTAGTTGGTATGGTACTTCATGTTCAGATATCTTGTGGCTGCTTGAGTACTATTTTATGTCAGAATACTATGATCACATTTAAATTGGGTGTTTGCATACAATTTTGATTTTGTTGTGTGAGTCTGTATTTTCTGTTCAATGTCCAGGAAGTTGTACATTGCTGATGCACGTCCAAGAAAAAATGCTCTAGCTAACGGTGCAATGGGTGGTGGCTCAGAGTCATCGTCCAACTATTTTCAGTCCGAGGTTTGACAACAATTTGTATGGTAAATTTTTATTAGCTTTGCTGTGCTGTAGTCTAAACTCTGTCCAACTTGTCATCAGGTAGTCTTTCTGGGGATTGACAACATACATGCAATGAGGGAGAGCCTTTCTCGGTTGAGAGACTACCTGGATACTCATGGCACTACTTCATCAGATGGAATGTCGTCTTTTCTGGTTAGTCTTTTGAATAGACTCCCAAGGGGATTTTAACATGACAAAATGTTGGATAGGTCTTGTTGGGTCGAGTGGAGGATCTGATAGGAACAGTAATGCTTATAGGTTTATGACTTGATGATTTGAAATGATCTGATATCAGGTAGGAGAGCTTGCATCTTAGTATTTTTGAAGCCATTAAAACATTAGTTAGCCCTAGATTTAAAGTCTCTCACCTCGCCTTATTTGCTGGATTAATGAGTAACTCAAGTGGTGCAGCTATTGATTTGGCTCCGGATTGAGTGTGTCAAATGTCGAAGGTCACCTCTTATTTTGCATACTTGCTTTGCTCCAAATTTCAGAGAACGTGTGTTGCTTTTGCTGAAGTTAATAATCCATTGACATGAAATGTGTCCGTCCTCTCTAGTTGTGTCTTCATTTCTTAGTTAGGTTTTCAGCGGTTCTTAACTGATCCCTGACTAATCTTATATATTAACCCAAAATAGTGAGATTAGGCAGCAGAAGACTCTGGTGAATAATTTTCTGGGTCATATTAACCCACACTAGCTGGATTTGCTTACTTTGATCCACCAGTAACATGTAGAATATGATCATTCTCATGCAGAGGCATGGCGGTTGGACATGGGGTGGAGGCAATCTCAGTAGTATGTCTGCTTCTGTATCTGCCTTTGGGGACAGTGGTTGGCTGACTCATGTACAGAGTGTCCTGACTGGTGCTGCCTGGATTGCGGGACATGTTGCTTTAGAATCAGCATCTGTTCTTGTACATTGCAGGTTAATCAATCATGGCTATCTCCTAATATCTTTTTAACGGACTGTAGGGGTATTTAATATTTATTTTTGCCATTTCTACGTATCAATCTGTTAAACTTTTCAACTGCTATATGTACTTGCTGCTCCAAATTTGTTCTTTCTTTTTTTTTTTTTTTTGCAAATTTGTTCTGTATTACCCTTGCTAATCTCTATGTTCAAGTTTGTTCTTGCATTTGTATAATTTATGATTGTACGTGCAGTGATGGATGGGACAGAACTACTCAGCTGGTTGCACTTGCTAACTTATTGCTTGATCCATACTACCGAACTTTTTCTGGGTTTCAGGTGATTTCCCTAGATGCTATATTGTTATCCTTTTATTTTCCACTTCTGCTTTATCCTTGTATTTATATAATGTTGCTGTGCAAATGGAACACAATCTTTTTAAACCGATGTCTTGCCTGGTAGCTCAAGGCACCGTGCATGTATTTGCGGCATTTCGAACTTTTTAATTTTTTAGGTTCTCATCTTGCCTAGAATTACTTATCTAGATGTGAATTTATGGTATGGAAATGCAGGTGCTTATTGAAAAGGATTGGCTTGCATTTGGTCATCCGTTTGCAGATCGTATTGGAATTCCAACTGTATCTGGAAACAGCAAGATGTCATTTGAATTAACACGACAAGCTTCTGTTGGGAGTTTTCCACCCTCCCCCAGTCGGCAATCAGTGGGATCGAGTCCAGCTCCCAGTGCTTCTCATGCACAGAACAACTGTTCTCCAATATTTTTACAGGTGACCATTTCGTTGCTCTCTGTAGGTCTGAATTTATGAGAAGAGTTGTCATCTATGTTTGGTGTTAATGTGCTTAGCCATTTGATGCTAGTACCATTTGAATGGTCTGCCTTGATTCATAAGGCTTCCAGTCCACAAGTGTGGCTGCAAAGACCCGATATCCATTGCCCCGACCAGAAGAACCTGTCATTAGATATGCTCTATCCTCACTTCTACGTGTAATGTGCTGTCTGTTGCCAAATGGTCAGTTGTTTTAGTGGGTTCTCTTTCCTAACATAGTGGAGAGGAGACATAGAATGATCGGAACCAACATAATTTCATTGTCAAATTTTGGGATCAGATTTTGCTTCTCTCAATTTCACACAAAGTTGTGAAATCCCTTGACTGTTTTCTGGTAATCTTTTACCAAGTTCGAAGCACCCACTGTAATATGCATGTGGGAAACAGGAAAAGCAAGGTTGAGAATGCTTAGACTGTAGATTATCAACTACTTATGCTCTTCTGGAAGTTCTGATACTTTACTGATTATATGTTGATTGTTGCTTGCAGTGGGTCGACTGTGTTTCTCAGCTACTACGGATCTATCCTTTTGCTTTTGAGTTCTCATCGGTATCTGCTCTCCTTCCCTAAATAACAATGATTGTCTGCTTACTAAAAGAACTTCCACCTTTTCTTGTGTTATGGATATCTTTTATCTCACTGGAAATATTGGTGTGTTTTTTATCATTTAGGCTTTCCTGGTTGATTTATTGGATTGCATGATGTCTTGCCGTTTCGGGAACTTCTTCTGTAATAGGTAACTATTCTATCGGTATTTTTTGTGGAAACTACGAGCTTTTCTCTGTTTTCTTCTGCTGGGAAGGTGAACTATGAATTAGAATCTCCGTCCATGATATTCCAATAGACCCTGAAACTACTCTACTCTCTGTGCAGTTCGGATACTGTATTTCAGTAAACATGCTATGTTTAATAGCAGTTTTGACTTTTCTATCTAGTAACTACACTTTTTCTCAGTTTTCTATCGCACCCACCCAAATTGATAAAAAGCATGACTATCATAGCTGCCCAACACTTGATTCATACTTTAACCGGTAGCAAGTCAATGAGTTTGTATAAATCATGCTAAGTCCCTCTTTCAGTTGGATTGGAGATAATGTGTGCTGCGTTTAGTAAAAGGGACCTTTGAGATGATAATGGTTTTAAGAAGTTGTCCTCCTCCCTCTCTTATTTATTACTCGCAATTTACTACAGTGAAAGGGAAAGGCAGCAAATTGGTATTGCTGAAGCATGTGGGTGCATGTGGGCTTATCTGGCTGATGTACGCTCCTCGCAAGGAAGGTCTCATGGTCACTACAACTTATTTTATGATCAACTGAAACATGATGGTCCCTTGTTGCCTCCGGCAGCAGCTTTAGCTCCTACCTTGTGGCCTCAATTCCATCTTCGATGGGCCTGCCCATCAGAAGCACAAGCTGGTGATGAGCTTGAAGATCGCTGCAGAGAAATGTCTCTCCGATTTAATGAACTACATAAGGTAGTGATTACTACTTTTTGCTGCTCATTTATGTAACTCCCCGTCAGTCAGTCGGACTTTGACATGTTTCTCCTAACAGGCAAAAGAAATAGCAGAGAAGAAAGCTGCTGAAATGACCAGTGCCTTTGAATCATTGTCAGTGGAGTTGCGGCATGAGAAGCAGCTGAGTAGCTCATCTATGGCCTTGGCCAAGAGAGCCAGCAAGGAAAGTGCAGCCATCAGGCGAGCCATACAGTCCCTGGGGTGCAACGTTCATTTCGCCAGTGGTGGTGGTACGGACATTGAGACCAGTAGGCCATTGGAGGATAGGCTAACAAGTGGAGAATCAAACAGCCAAAATGAAGGGTCGGATCTGTCGGTTTCAATTTCGATGGTGGCAGACGAGAATGTTTCTTCTGCTAGCAATCCTATCAGCCGGATATGTCAAACTTTGTGCCCACAAAGTACCCGCGAGGGAGGATGCAAATGGCCCGATGCTGGTTGTGCTCAGCTTGGCAGTCAGTTCGTTGGACTGAAAGCAAACTATGATGCCTTCGATAGGCTTTCTATATACGATAGCTATTTCCAAACGGATTGAATGGCTGGGGTTGTTCGATCCTTCTTTCCTGCAGATCCAGAGACGAACAACCCATTTATCTCAGGTCCACCGTTCTCACTCCCAGCCTCGATCATCAACAAAGACTAGGAAGATTTCGAGAAAGCTTGGACAGGAAAAGGTGGGTTGCCAATTGCGAGCATGAAGTTGGTGCCAAGAGGTGTTGCCCCTGTGTCCGGACAATTGTTGGCTTTGGATACATGTAAGCCGTAAGCTATAATACCGAGTCAGGGAGGGGTGAACGGTGACACCGTGCTGTTGTTAGTGAGGTCTGGTGAGCTTGACCGGTACGTGACAGTCTTCATTTCACCTTTCTTTTGCCGTTCAGGATGAGCTCTGCCCTCAGCAGTCGATTCAACGCTACGAATCAAACCATTGTATAGGTACACGAGGCTGAAATGGCTATAGAGAAATCACATTCTTTTTCATTTTCGACATACCACACTTGTAGCAGGTTAGTAGCATATACATTTTTAAGGATTAGGCCGAGTTTTGTACCAATAAGGCTGCGCTATGGAGAATAAGGTTTATTTAACAGAGATGAGTAATAAAAGTAGATTAGTTTATTCAAGAGAAGTGTTCGTTAAGCCCACAGCTGGTGTGAGTCCATGGATGAACACCACTAAAGCCTTGGAGCAACTTTGCGACACTGCTGGTTCCAACACTGCAGCATCAGTGTTTGATAGAACAATGTTGCAGCTCGATTCCAACACTGCAGCATCAGTGTTTGATAGAACAATGTTGCAGCTCGATCTTGCGAGTTTGACGACTCTTACAAACAAGAAGGCTTAATCTTGGACAACCATGTGGTTATTGGCACGCGTAAGCGTTAATTGCATAGATGCTATTGCGAAAAGGAATAGACAACTGCATTCACAAACCACGACTGCACTGAAATGCATCAGCCCAGTGTGTAAACCGAACTGGACAAAACTAAATAGCACACATCAAACCATAATTAGAATTAGCAAATACGCAGAAGATTCAGTCAACTACACCAACTGCAAGGCTAACATCGAGGCGAAGAGACTCGTAATTATTTTACACGAGTCTGGAAGAATGGGTAGACACGAATATAGATAATCTAGCTACATCACAATGGGGAGGACATGTTTACACAGTCCATATCACATTATGTTTATACATCTTTGTTGTTTTCCAGCTTGGAACAACAAATTCGGGTATGTACAAACAAATAAGAAGCTCGGAAATGTGTAAAAAGCGCGGTTTATGATCGATGGCAGTTATTGACTGATCCTTCCTGTTTGATCAATTAAAGTCCCAACTTGTTCACCACATAGTGCTCTTGATATATTTCCAGGCTCCAGCATGTTGAAGACCACAACTATTAAGGAAACGAGGGAAATGAGAGAGGGAAGTCCATCAGGAAGGTAGTGAAGTGAAAGAAATGGAAGCTGCAACACAGAAGAGAAGCGGCGAATTAGAGAACCAAATAGAAGGGGGTATGATGTACCTGGGATTCCATTCTCTTCACAGTAGGTAATCGCCATCATGTCCATCGACGTAGCACCCCCAGAGACCACGTCTCTGAATGATATATGATCCAGTATCATATTGCTATTACTGGTTTGCCAATCATCAATGCCATTTACGTTAGTGCCTTTGAGCAGAGCATCTGCATTGACTGATGAAAGGATGAAAATTGTGTGAATTCAGCAACTCTTAGGTGAATCAGAATGTGTAGGAAGTGGAAATATGAAGTTTAAATGAGGGCCATACTCTCAGAAGCTCTTAGGGCTGCTGCTGTGTCGGTTGTAAACAAAGGGTTGCCAGCCCCAGCACCCACCCCACCAAATATGACCACTCTCCCTTTCTCAAGATGTCGGATAGCTCGTTGCCTGCTATAAGGCTCAGCGAGCTCTGGCATTGAAAATGCACTTTGCACGCGAGTCTGAATTCCCAGTTTCTCTAAAGCTGATTGCAGCAATACAGAATTCATGACAGTTGCCATCATGCTGATTACCGTAGAAAGCAAACTGGTCAGACAACTAGGCGAAGTGACGAAAATTGATTCACAGCAATGCATGAGATAGTTGAACGTCAACATCCGAGCAACATGGAAAGTTTAAGGGAATCACAAGTTCACTTAAGCGGAAGGAATGGCAATCTAAATCTGACACAAGAAGAGTGATGTGGTTAAACTGGTCGACCATAATGGAGGAAGGCCAGAGAGTGGAATTTCAACAAAGTGAACAAATGATTCCCAAAGAATGGAGATTGCAGGAAATTGTATGCCTCAAGAGCTTACCCAATCTGGTATGCTGTAGGTCTGTCCAAGCCGGTGGCAGATATCCATGAATCTCCACAAAAGAAGTTACGACCACCAACAACAATTGCCACCTGCAGACATTCAATGTGCGCTAGAATTCAGTCACAGAAGTCAAGAGAAATTCACAAAAAAACATAGCGAGTCAAGGCAACACCTCAAGTCCAAGGCGACAAACTGTTGATACTTCACTTGCTATCTGCATTGCAACCTGGTTCCAAGAGAAACCATTTTAACTTGCATTCCCTTGGAGGAAGGTAAATAGGTGATAACGGAGCAACTAGACAACACTAACACACCTTCGGATCAATATTCTGGCAGTTACCTGCCAGAGCAGCACCACTGATTTTGAACACAACTCTGCGCCATTTCAAATTCGGCATTGATTTAGGTTTCAAGTTGTTTGCTAAGGCAGAACTGCTCGGGGTTTGCCTGGGTAAGAAAAGATATGAATATGGTTATACGATCGCCCAACCTTTGGTATCATTAGCAAACAACAATTAGGTGATGCTAAAGTTGATTCACAGAATTTCCAAACCGCCAACTAGCCATAGACTACTGCCTTAGATGCAAATATAGACATATCAACCATTCAACCCAGATACCCACTCTGTCATATATGACCCAACAATACAAACCATGATCAACTAGTCTAGATTCTGGAGTTCATATCAGTTAACATTCAATGATCACAGTTGATTCTAGCAACGTTAACGATAAGGGCAGTACACCAACATAATAACAAACTGATAAAATGAGCTGAACATCTTTGTACACCCAAAACCAACTCTGTCTAGCTACGCGACGCTTTGCTACCGTTAGTCAAAAGAAGCAGCCAAAAAATGGAACACACAGAACAGAGAGTCACCAAAGGCTTACCTTTTAGTCTGCCTGACGGTCGTCAACGTGCCGCCATTCACAACAGGAACCGCCACTGCGATGGGACTAGGTTCACTACTCTCTGCAACAGCTCCACCGGCACCAGCGGAGACGGCTTTAGAACCAGAAGATGAACTCCCGATGATGGCTTCAATCTGCTTGAACCAATGCCAATTGCTAGCCACATTACCTCCAAACCCACCACCGCTGATCCTCTGCAGCTCCACTTTATACCTCTTCTTCAGATTATCGATCTTGTTCTTACACTGCTCCACGCTCTTCCTGTTACCGCTCCCGCCCCTCTCGCTCACCGACTCCGCCACCTCCTCCCAGTCCCTCCCCCGCAGGTTCCCGCGGTTCAGCTGGCTGTACTTCACCGTGTAGGCGTCCAGCAGGCACGAGATCGCCGTGTCGCTCCATTCCTCCCTGTCCTTGCGGTAATCCGCACGGTAATCCGGCGTCGCGGCGGTGTTAGCGGTCGATTCCGGTTCCGCGCCGTGGCCGTTCGCTTTCTGCCTTTTGCTGCTGCTGCTGTTGCTGTTGTAATAGAATTGCTGCTGCGACGACGGCGGCTGCTGGTGGTGGTGGTGGCTCCGTTTCGACGACGGAGTTGTTGGAGCTCCGGATCCGGACTTTTCCTGGTCGGAGTCGGGGTAGGTCGGGTAATAATCTCCGCCGTGGACGGACTCGGAGTCGGGGTGGACGGCGGCGGGTGCGTGAGGAGGCGGAGGAGCGTGCGGATCGTCGATTAATGGGAAATCGTCGGTGGCCATGAGATTTGGAAAAGACGGCAGGGGAGAGAGAGAGAGAGAGAGAGAGAGAGGGAGAGATGACGACGTTAGGGTCAAGGTGACGGAGGGTTGGCGGAGGAGAGGACGGAGGTGGGGATGTGGAGATCGGTGACGGAGTGAGCAAAGGAGTGAGAAACGTTAGGGTTGGATGCCAGCCAGTGACGGGCTGTAACGGATCCGTTTAAAAACAGATGCAAACGGAACTGTAGAAATTGGAAACAGAGGTGGTGAAAAAACGAGACAATTTTTACCAAAAACAAAAAAAAACGAGGCAATGCACACGGGAAAATATGACTTGTGATCAACGTGTTCAAACGGATTGGTTATCGTGGTAATCATATTATCCGGTAGTATTCGGTTAATTTAGTTTGGTTAATTTGGATAATTGGTTTGGTTTGGTTAAACAATTTAGCTTATTTGCTTTAGGTGGTTTGATTTGGTTTCAACACTGCTAATCAATGAAACCAATAAACCAATTAATGATACACCTAATATACAAAATTATTTATACCTCCATACAACCAACCAAACCTAACTTTGATCCTTCCCTATTTTATTTCCATGTGCACAAAAAATCAAAGCATTATGGGTCAAAAATTAAATGGGCCTACCTATTTACTAAACCAAAACATTTTGGACAACTACTAGACAATAGCATGACAACCACCTCAAACTATGTATAGTTTAAGTGTCTTGTAGGAGAGCTTTAACTTTCTCATGAGTCATGAGTGGTATTGGTGTGTATTTAATATTTATGTTAAGGGTTTGTTGTAAGCTAACTATATTAGGTGCATAGATGATGAATGATGTATTAACTCGAATGATGATGATAATCATGGATGGTTAGTTTTATTACTATTGCTTATATATAATGATATTTTATGATAGTAATAACATATGGTTATGTTTTATTCATTAACAGAATAATTGTTTTCATGTAATGTTATGTTATTTGGTTAATCCGATTATCCGATTAACCAAACTTTGATTTGGTTAATTTGGTTTTCGTGTTAATTTGGACGGTTTGGTTAAGACATTTTATTCTATGGTTAATGAAATTTAGGCTTAATTGGTTTGGTTCTTATCACGGTAACCATTTGAACACCCCTAACTAAAAGTGTGAAAATAGTTTGCGTTGGTTTGGAATCGTGTGCACCGGTTCGGTCCAGTCCAAACGGGACCAAACACATGAGACCGAACAATCATTGTGTTCTGTTCATTTGATCCAATTCGGCCCGGTCCAAATATAAGGTCGGTCTATCATTTCTTCAGTAATTGTAAAACTCATGTGGACCAAAGAACAAACAATATTATACTCGATCTGATGCGGTCCAAACTTCGATTTGGTCCGGTACGGTCCAGTTCCGTACTGAACCATTGCACACCCCAAAGAATCGATCATAATTATTTTAGTATTAGAAAGACGATTGAACCATCATCGTTTAATCGAGTTGACGACTTTATCACTAGGTAAACAACATTCTTATTAAGTCGATAACAATAGCTAAGGACTGCAAATGAACTTGGACTAGCTTAAGTGAACGATTAAGCTCACAAAGATTAGCAAAATGATCAGTTTCGTTAGTCAGTGAAAACGTAAATGATCGATTTGATAAAATTTAAAACATTAGCCGGAATTTAGTTATGTATAACCAAAATAACGTTGCGCGTACAACCACGAGGGAGCTAAGCTGTACAGAAAATCCTTAACCTTGCCAGTCTTCACTTTCCAAAGAGAGTTTTGTGGCCTTAAAGGAAGATGTCATTTGAAAGTAAAAACTTCCATGTCTCCATAAATACAACACAGAGAGCTACTGAAAAAAGAGAAAGGGATTTCTTTGACATGTATGATATTTGCTATACACACCGCAGCTCCTCCCTCAGCTCCTTCAATCATTCCTCGCCTTCAGCTGGTGAATGGTCGTCTGGAGTTTGATTCTCCTCCGCCGATGACCTCTTTTTCGCTCTTTCCTTCCTTTCGTTCCACCTTGCCCATACCCACTGCAGAACGATGAACCCTCCAAGTGCATAGACCTGCAAACCATACATAAGCTGGTCTTTACCAAAGCAGAAAGTAGAGAACAACAGACTTGCAAGCGTGAACTTAGTGAAAAGATTGGACCATTGAGAAGGATGGCTTCCCTCGTGAACAGGAGGCTGAAGTCAGTAATTACATGGAAGTCTTCCATTCTATCTATTAGCATGACAAAGGATAAAGATACATATTGCGTGTACACAATTTAGCAGATATGAAGGCAAAAGCATCAAGAGGGGTCGAAAAACGGTTGAGTTTCTCACGGAGTTCTATGGCTCTCAACACACTTCTTGATAAATCATAGAAAAGGAAAAAAAGGTTAGAACTCGATCGAACTTAAGTGGATTGTAGTTTACTGTATACTTAAGACGACAGTTGAAAGAACTATACACTGCAAGGTTTTATGAGGTTTAGTGCCGCCATATTTCTATCTACACTTCAAGCAGTTTCTAAGCCTGACTAACCAGTTTACTGTTCAAGTATAATCTGGAGCAAGAATAAAACAATTCTAGAGCCCCTTGTACTTTCCAAGGCTTGTCGCACCTCAATTTGCAGGCGATACCTCCGTATAATTCATTCTCTCATGCGCTTCACTGATAGATTAAGAACATAACCAATAAGAGGACAATCTGGTCAACCCTACCAAAACCGGATACAGTAAGAGTTACCAATACTTGCACCCATGATTTGCAGCTTGATGCATTGAGCAATTAGAAAGAAAGAGAACAAAAAAGTGCTAATCAAGTCTACTGAACAGCCTATATCATCAGAAAACTATCAACTTTTGGCCATTCAAGCTCCCAGCTTGACGGTTTTGGCCTGTGGTTCAATACCCATCTTAAAACACACCATGAAGAATGAAGATCCAGTAGGCCGTATTCTGACTCTGTGCTACTACGGCGCAAACAAGATAAGCCATTACAAATATCTCTAAGCTAAGAAATGAGACTACAAAACAAAGGATCACTCACTAACTAGAAAACTTCCTTGGAGTTCCTTTCAAAAGCACCAGACTGCCAAGGACATGGGGAAGTTAAGCATGAACTCAATAGTATAAAAGACCCACCTGTCTTAGAAACTACACAAGCAACTAGACAACAAAATTCAGCCTTACTCTGACCTAAACAGACCACCAAGCCCTAAGCTTTCACTCAAAATTCGCTCCAATTTGCAAGCACCACATTCCATTCAATCTTCTTCCCATCACAAACACACATCAAAGAGGAAGCTTAAGAGCAGCAATCAAACAACGAACCTGCCAAATAATGACGGGGTTGTGGGTTTTTCTAGTGTTCTCTGAAACCTGAACCTCCATAGGAGAAGCAGCCGGACGGGCATTGGGTACCCTTACAAGGACCGGTTTAGTGGTTTCGCTATCCTGTTGGTCTTTCCCAGTCACCGCCATGCTTCCACCCTTCTTCTCCGCCATTGTTGTTCGAGCGATGTTCGAAGAGTTAGAAGTTAGAGAATTAGACCGGAAGAGGGTTTTTTCTGGGTTTATCGATAACTTTTCGAACTCTTCGACTTCCTATTGCCTTCCCCTATCTCCCTCAACAGGGAAAGAACGAAGAATCGGAGCCCGCCCGGCCCAGAGTCGGAATCTAAATTTACGTTTATCTCCCTCCCATCCTGTCCTATTTACCAATTTATCCACACACAAAAATTTCCTTTCTTTTAACTTTTGACAATTCCGGAAAATCCGAGCTTCAAATTTCTTACACCAACCAAACACGAAACCTGGAACTAACACGGCAGTGGATGGTGGGGAAATAGACGTACCGAGTAATTGAGCAGTGGGTGGGAAGTCTCGTCGACTTCCAGGTGAAGAGGTGAATTCGTCGGCGGAGGTTTCCGGTCCGCGAACTTGACGGCATCAGGCTTGTCGCCGTCGGCGGGCGGCGTACGGTCCCCGGAGGCGGCGATTTGGCGGCGGGGTTGTTGGCGAAACGGATTGGGGAAGTCGAAGTGGAAGTTGGGGACGTCGAAGCGGAAGTTGGGGAAGAAAGGGAAGGGAGTGATGGTGGTGGTGGTGGAAGAAGCGCCATCAGGAATTGCTTTGTCGCCCATGGTAATGGTTTCTCGGCGGTGTGGTTTCAGTTGAGTTTGGGGACTGAGATGAGAATGAGATGGAGAAATTGAAGAGAATCACAATCACCGCATGGAAAGCACCAGAGCAGCACAGACTTGTTTAATATTATATTGTCCACAAATTAATTTTTTTCAATTTATTTATTTTTATTCGATGAGTTCAAAGATCTTTTTGTTTTTATTTTTCCCCCTTCCTCCAATTCTGGGTTAATGACAGAAATATTGTTTTTTTTTTTTTAATTTACCACGAATATGGCCAATTAAAAACTATTGACAAAGATATTGTGTTTTAGAGATAAGAATCGGCGGGTACACCTGAGACTCAGGCGCTGCCGCTTAAGGCTTGGTTTTTGGACTGTTTTATTAGACTCAGGCGGTGGCGCCCGAGACTCAGGCGGCGGCGCCCGAGACTGAAGCGAGTAGGTGGGAAATCAAGACTCCGGTGGTGGCGCCCGAGACTGAGGCGAGTAGGTGGATTGGCCACCCACCCTATAAAACCCAGAAAGACTTTTCGTTTCAGATTCACACCACAAAAAAAATCGTCCAAAATAGAGGAGAGAGCTCTGGTTGCTGCTGCAAAAATGGCTAATAGGTAAGAGACACATTTATTTTTGTAATTATATTATTCAAATGCTATTATGATTGTGTTTAGTTTTTAATTAGTGAGTTTGTTTTTTTGTAGTGATTTTAGAAGATTTGAACTAGTTGTTCGGTGGAAATTGGAGAAAGTAGAGGATAATTTGGGCGTCAAATTCGTTGGTGGTAGTAGTTTTCAGTTGACGGTTCCTTCCAGAGTCACATATCACAAACTTTGTGAGACTCTAATTCCGAGAATACGGCGCAGAGACGAAGCAGTAAAAGATAGTGATGTGATCACAGGTTTCACTTACCGTCTTCCAGAATGGCAGAATGATGTTTTATTTCATTATGCGTTACCTATTGTGGATGATGATAGCTTGGATGTGCTTTGGAATTTTATGGCACCTTATTGTTTGGGTGCTGAGATACATGTTGAGCTCAGTGATGATCAGGGTGGAGAGGAAGAAGATGATACATGGAGCGTGCCATCCGATCATGACTATGATCACGGTGATGACGGAGAGGAGGAAGATGAGGAGGAGGAGGAGGAGGAGGAGGAGGAAGGAGAGCAGCTTAATTATCCTCCATATTTTTACTTGCAGGGCAATGAAGAGGACGAAGAATTTGCACTTGCTGATTCATATGGCGTAATTCCAATGCCTATTGTTGATAGTTTTGAAGGAGAATTCTACAAGGGGCAGATATTTCACTCGAAACAAGCTGCACAGATGGCGATTAAACACCACGCACTACAACGCAACTTTCAATATGGCGTGGTGGAGTCGTCACCTTCAATATGGAAGGTCAGATGTTTGAGGCACAAGGATGACAATTGTCCTTGGATGGTGCGGTTTGGATGTCGAGATGTTGGGGGCGAATGGACTGTGAGAAAAGCTGAGTTGGTGCATTCTTGTAGCAGTACGACTCAACCGACGGATCATCGCCATCTTGATGTCGACATGATATCTGAGGCCGTCAAACATTTGGTACGTGCCCAACCAAATCTGAGTGTTCTAACTGTTCAAGCCGAGTTGAAAGATAAGTTTAATATGCAAGTTACTTACAAGAAGGCTTGGTATGGGAAACAAAGAGCATTGGAGAAGTTGCATGGAAATTGGAAAGAATCCTACGATTTTTTGCAAACATTCTTGCGGGTGGTCAAGAGAAAAATGCCAACATCGGTGATTGATTGGGTAACAGTTCCTTCGACTCAACCTGGTCATTTAATATTTCAGCGAGTATTCTGGGCTTATGGACCTTGTATAGATGGATTCAAGAATTGTCCAGGCGTCATGGTTGTGGATGGAACATTTCTTACTGGGAAGTATAAAGGAGTGCTACTCATGGCGAGCTCATTTGATGGCCGGAGGAAGATTTTTCCAATTGCATTTGCCATAGTGGAGAGCGAGAATACTGAGAGTTGGCCATGGTTCATGAGGAAGGTTCAGGGTTTGACTGATCGAAATGATGTATGCATCATCTCAGATAGACATGCAGGACTCTATGAAGCCATGAATAACATCGGAAGAGGTTGGGAGTGGAGGTGGTGCATGCGACACTATGCAAGCAATTTGCAAAGGAAGACTCGAAGCAAAATTATGTATAATCAACTATTTCGAGTCGGTAAGCTTTCTTCATTTAATTTTGTTATTTGTTTTCATGTAATTTTGTCATGAATTTATCTAACACGTGTTGTGGTTTATTTTGTTAGCCGGAGAAAAACGGTTGGAGAAGTTTGATCGTCAAGTTGAGCAATTTAAGAAGGTGGCCGCTGATAGAAAAATTTCATGTGATAACTGGGTGGATCAACATCAGATTCGTTGGAGTTTAGCACATGATAACTACAATGGTGGGGGTCGTTGGTCTATCCTGACATCCAACATGGCAGAAAGCGTCAATGGTATTTTCAAAGGTATTCGTGCACTTCCGATAGCTTCTCTTGTGCAGCATACCTATTGGCGATTGGTGGAGAAATTCGATATGTATAGGTTGGAGACAGGAGCAGAAATTAGAAGTGGCGGTTCACAGTACTCCACCAAGTGCGAAGAGCTGATGAAGTACAGGTCACAAAAGGCAATTGGACATTCTGTGACAGCTCTTGATCGAGGTCAAGGCATCTATGTAGTTCAGACTCCTCCCAACAATTTCAACATGACAGGGTCAAACACACTCACAGTTCACTTTGACGATCAAAACCGGGCAGGATTTTGCACTTGTGGTAAATTTCAAGGAAATAAAATTCCTTGCTCTCATGCCATTGCAGCTTGCAACCGAATGGGGGCTAATGCGTATAGGTTTGTCAACAATGTCTACAAGCTGGAAACAGTGATGGCTTGTTATGGGACAAGTTTCGCACCTCTTGGTGAACCTAAGGGTTGGAAGAAACATAATGGTCCTATTCTCCATCCTAATGTGCACATGATTAGGAAGCCGGGGAGGCCACGAGTTACAAGGATCCACAACGAGATGGACTGGCCAAGGGAGGGTGCATCACACCAAGTGTGCAGCAACTGTAACCAAGCGGGACATAATGCATCAACTTGCGGTGGCCAAGCTAGTAGGAGTGGGAGCAATCGAGGAGGCCAAGTCCTCACACTGGTCGGGGGTCAGCCCTCCAGACCGTACACCGTCACGCAAACTCACCTCAGCATGCTCGATAGTGTCGTACTAAAAAACACCAACGAAAATGTCAGATATTTCACACAATTAACAACAAATTAAGCAAATAAATCAAATAACTAACCAACGCCTCTGCTGCAGCTCCTCTCCGTGTGCCGGATCGTCTGGTGACATCTCTATACCACTCCATATGCTCCGAGTGGTAGGCTAACTCCTCATCGGTATATGGAGCCGTCGCTACAAACTCGTGTCGACGGTTCCAGAAAGCAATCGACTCTCTGGAGGCGTGTACCAACTGCTGCCCACGCGATGGCCCACGAGTAGCCTGGCGAAGAAAAAACCTAACCTCAGCCTCAGAATGTGGCTGATGAGGCTCATGCTGTCTCATGCCAAACTGCCGGAGCACGCGGTCTGGATGATGCCACATCACCGATGAAAAGCAGATAAGTGGCACTACTGCTCGAAATGTCTCAAACTGTAGCACACTACCTCTGAGATGAAGTGCTCTCTCAAAGTAAGGTTGCCACTACATTAAATCCAAAAATTAACGTTATTATCCCTAAATCTAAAAAAATAAAACAAATGAAAACTATTATATAAAATGAAATGTTATATACTAACCACCACGGTGTCCATCGCGTCAAACCACAACTTGTACTGGAATAGCTGGTCACTATACTGACGACTGTTGGCCGAAAGCCATCGAAGACCACGTGGGAATGCATCCTCGGTGGCCTGTGCCCTCGTCTCCTCGTCTCGAGGTGCCAGATGTGGGAATCGTTCCCACGCCCAAAACTGCAGTAGGGCGACCCATCCACCAAGGTCACCGCTAAGAGAAGTGCCGGTATGCGTAATGTGCAAAGTCGACCTACCCATCTCACGGTACAGGTAGGATAAAACAGCAGCTCCCCAGGAAAACCGTCCAGCTCTCTCCCAATCCTCAATCAGAAGTAGGTACTGTAGGTGCACCGTACTTCCAGACCGGTCCGAGAAAAGTACACCTCCAAGCAGAGATAGAGCATAAGCTCGTGCAAACTGCTCTATAACCTCCTGTGATGCATTCTCCGGTAGATGACTGAATTCAACCCTCAGCCAAACAATCCTAACAACAGCGACACTACCTACAAGATCGGCCGGAACTCGTCCCAACAGTCTCAAACAGATCGCCGACCACTCCTCATCCGGTATATCAACTACGACGGCATCACCGTCGATCGCCAGACCAGACAATGTAACAACGTCCTCTAACGTGATCGTCATCTCACCACACGGTAGATGGAAGGTCGACGTCTCGGGGCGCCACCGCTCTACGAGCGCAGTAATTAAACTAGCATCGGGGTTCATAGGGACTAGGGGCACGACACTAAACAAGCCTGCCGCTTCGAGATATGGCCGATAAAGCTCATGGTAAGGTACTAAAATGGTCGTACCTCGAACATGGTACGGTCGATCACCAGCCTATAGTGCACAAAACTTATATTAATTCATTTTCATTCGTAATAATTCTAATTTCACCTAATAAATTCTAATCTGTCTTATCTAACATAAAATTATACTAATTTGAAATTATACTAATTTCACCTAACAGTTCAGTTCACTACCTAAAATAATCTAATTAGCTAATTAACTTTACATGAATAATTATCAAATACTTACCTCGTTTGTCCAAACAGAGTCGATACGATGTTGGCCGTGTCCCCAAAGAAGTGTCGGATCGACCGGACTTGGATCAATTGTCGCCGGCGGTAATCTCATCGAATAAGGATCCATAAGCCTCGGAACTGCAAAAACAAAGAAACAAAACATTAAAAAAAACACAAAACACTAAAAAAAAAATCAAACTACCGACGAGAGTCTCACCGCGCAAACGGCCGCCTCCACCACGACCTTGCCGACCTCTTCTCCCTCTGCCTCTGTCGGCGGCGAGTGGTTCTTCGTCGGAGGACATCTCGGGCGGCGGCGGGTCTGTCAAAGGCGGCGGCGCCGAGGTCTGGGGCGGCGGCGCCGGGGTCTGGGGCGGCGGCGCCGAGGAATGGGGCGGTAGCAGTTGCGGTGGGTCTCTGGTTCGCAGGGATGTTGGGGGGAGGAAGAAGGGATAAGGTGGGATGTGTGGTGTGTGGTGTGGGAGGGGATAAGGTGGGAAGGGAAGAAGGGGGGACCGTCCGAATTTTTAAAAAAAAAGGGTCCGGGGCCGCTTGAGACTGGGGCGCCAGCGCCCAGGACTGGGTAAAATATCAGTCCCGCCTGAGTCTCAGGTGGTCCCGCCCCAATCCTTACTAAAAAACACAATATTTGTGTCAATAGTTTTTAATTTGTAATATTAGTGGTAAATTAAAAAAAATAATAATAATATTTGTGTCATTTACCCTCCAATTCTCTCCTTCGAATGGATTTCCTCCTCTACCCAAAAGTCTTCCCTCTCTTCCGCTTCGCCATATCTGTGTATCAATCTGCATAATCGGAGCTAACGAATGAAAACCAAAACCCAATTCCAGCGTCACAAAGTCGCTCACAACACAACTTCCAAGTTCGTCGTAGACGAGGAACACTTTGCACTGGACCTGGAAAATGAGGACCAGACTCGTTGACCCGACCCGAATTCGTCCGAAAAATAGAGAATGGGTTGAGGTTTTTATAACCCGAATCCGAATGATCCGAACCCGATTAACCCGGATGCTTGCTGAAGAGAGATTGTTTCCCAAGATAAGAAGAAAGGACTCCCTGCCTTCCTTTCCTCTTCACGAAGTCGAGCTCAACTCCGAACTCATTCCTCTATTACCTCTTTCCTATAAGCAATGGCAAGGAATAAGAGAACTCCCACTCAGGTGCGGATACATGGAGGTTTAGGGGTGTCCCGGGACACCCCTAAAATTTGGAAAACGATTATCCAACTTTCGATAGTAGTTTGTGTATGTGTAAAAAAAAATTAGTGATAGTGGGACACCCTTAAAATATGGAAAATGATTATCCAACCTCCTATAGTATTCTGCATATGAGTACAAATAATATTTAAGTGATAATGTCTATGTGATTTGAACTTGGAAACACTGCTACTATTAGTAAACATAGTTCCAATTAGACTACAACTCATTTGGAGTTATGTTTTAGATCAAAATACAATAGTAAAAGGTTATTCTTATCCCCAATTTTTTTTTTCAAAACCTAACGATTAAACCCAATTACGGGCTACCCTTGTCTAGTAGGATATGTCACGAGAGATTTGTTGAGCAGTGTATACACCGAATGTATTTTACCATTCTTTCATAATACGGAACATGTTTGAACTTTTATTCTAACTTTTACTAGTTGAATATTTTCATATTTAATAATTATTTGATTTAATTTTAAATTATAATTACTTTTTTTAAGAGGACACCCCTATTTAAAATTCCTGAATCCGCCACTGCTCCCACTCCCAGGGGATATTAAGCATTGAATAGTAAACCCCTAGTTTTTGGGTTGGGTCGGGTTGATTTGTGGGTCGACCCGCTAGACCTGTTTTATTGCATATGTCACTCTCAAAATGATAAAATCACTCATACTTTGGTGAGATGTTTAAAAAAATTATTAGGATTTGAAAGACAAGTTTGGAGTGTTAAGATAATCAAACATTATTTGTTTATTGTAGTAGTATTACTTTCGTCATTGTTTTTTGACAATTTGTATTTCTTTTCATTAGCATGGAAGGAGTTGAGCATTTGTTAATTGACATGTGCTAGGTAAACTATTGTCGCACATACGTAAAAATTTGTGTTCTTTAAAAATTTATGAAGCATGTTTGATATTGTTTCTGAGAACGCTCATGATCTGAAATGACCCGAAACCCGATGGATTGGGTCAATATTTGACCGAAATCAGCAAACCCATCGTGACCCGACCCATGAAGACCCGTAACCTGAGATTTCCAACCCGAAATTACCCAACCCAACCCGATTGCCAGGTACACTTTGCACCGTCGGAAGATTTTCGGGCTTTTATTTTATTTATACGAAGACGGTAGCGGGGCGGGTCGGCCCAACTATAAAGTCTGTTTCAAAGCCCAACGTGTGGCGTATTTTGTTAGAAAAGCCCAACAGCTAGACAAATCAGCAAAAAAAAAAAAAAAAGACTGCAGTTGGCTCCCGGTGGACCAAAAACCCTGACAAAACCTCTCTGCGACGGAGTCACTGGTCGCCGGTGCCGCAACCTTCTTCTCGTCTTTTCCGGTAAACAGACGTTTCCGATATCCTTTAGCTTCTGTATACTATTACACCGGCAAGACATCAAGCTGCTAGGAATAGGATGATTATCCATAGCATAAATACTAGTCTGGTGTAAGCTCGGAATGAGTCCGAACGATGGTTCTTGTAGCTGAACATTCAATTCCAGTTGTAGGGTTCATGAATTTGCCTCGTATTATATTGCTTATTTCATCCAATATGTGTCTATTGAATTCTTATTCCTCTTGTTTGTTGGTTTTTGGTTGGTTTACTTCAGTTTTATGGTTGTCAGTGGCATTATAGGATGGAATCCAGAAGGTTTATGCTTAGGGCTGGATTACAATTCTCTGCAATGGAGGCTTTTTTGTTCAGTTGCTGCCTTTTATGTTTTTTTTTAAATGGATGGGGTTAACAATTTGCCAAACCTTGTTAGGGTTCTGTGCTTTGACTTGTGAAAGAGAAGGTGAGAGTAAAGAAGGGAGATGAAACGAAAGAATGGAGAAGGAATTGAGGGGGGAGAAGAGAAGATAAAGGTTTTATGCTTGGAACAAGCAAGTGATGAGCCAAACCCTACCGGAATTTCTTCCGGGCACGGGAAGAAGGCATTGGGTTTGGGAGTAGAAGAGGTGGCAATGGATCTCCCAGGGATTGCATTGGCACCATCCAATCCAGACTCCAAAGCTGGGGTGATTTTTGTTCTTGAGAAGGCTTCCTTGGTTCTTGCTAATGTTGGACGAGTAAGCTCTTTTCTGTTATCATAATGGTTCAATCTATATCATCGTGGATAGAAAGTATTTCGTTTTAGCCTCATATATACTATCACAGGATAGCTGCTTGCAGAACGTAAGTTGGCAGTTTTTAAAGCATAAGAATAGATGCTGCTACTAGTTAATCATATTTGTGTTAGAAGGTCCTGGTTAGTTATGCCTTCTCACAATAGAGTTGCCTACTTGCAGAGGTATAGGATTTTAAACGCAAATGAGCATTCCGACTATTTGCGGAAGAAGAACATGGATCCATACAAGTACAGACCTGATATTGTTCACGAGGTTTGTCATTCTTTTCGCACAAATGATGTACAGGCACCGGTGTGTTTAATTTGTCTTCTTTTCTGTCCCAAAACGATGCATGAAACTCTGTTTATTCTCTATATATTTTAGGCTCTCGTCGGAATTATGGATAGCCGGCTCCGTATGGCTGGTAAGTTAAAGGCAGTGTACATCAAGACAGATGAAGGGATTTTGATTAAAGTTGAACCTAATGCTCGAATTCCTAGAACGTTGGAGGAATTCTGTGATATGATGGGTGAGTATTAAATTTCAATTGGTTTTGGATAATGTGAATCATCTTCATCAAATTTGTCCAGTTGTTTTAACTCTTGGGAAGTATCACTTGTGCAGCTCAGTTGTTACAGAAATTGAGCGTCAAAGCCAAAGGGAAAGGTGGAAAATTGTTACGGTTGGTTCAGAATCCAGTAACTCAGTACTTTCCTGTTAACTCCATTAAAATAGGTAGGCAAGGGAGTTTATTTTTGCAAATGCTTCTATCTGTTTTTTCTTAAACATGCATCCTTACACAGTTACACTGCTTCCCCTGCTAGTCCAGGTCTCTCATTTGTTTCGGATAAGGCAGTCCCCATAGAGGAGTACATTACTGGAGTCAACAAGGACAGTGACCTCATTTTTGTGGTACATTTCAAGCTTCGTGTGATTTTGATGGCGCGCTTGGTTCTTCAGCCATGCAGTGATGTGATACTTTTGTTGCAGGTTGGCACCATGGCCCACGGTAAAATCGATAGCGATTACCTTGATGATCTTGTAGCAGGTATGTTGTGATCTTTTGTTGCTTTTCTTGCTTTCCTCTCTGATTTCAATGCTCTCCTCACTGATTCGATTGCTCTATTTGCAGTTTCTAGCTACCCGTTGACTGCTGCTGCATGTTTGAGAGACATATCCATCGCACTGGAGGGCAAATGGAAAATCCACTGATAATATTGTCCATCCTACTTGGATGGTGACCGCCAGAATACTTGTCAATGCAATGCAGCACTACCCTGTGCTCAAACCCTTGATTCTGCAGCTGTTACAGAAGTAATTTATCGAGTAAGATGACGATGAGGGATGAAGATAGAAAGGGCAGCTGCGTCGTAGCTGCATACGGGTCATGTTAGGTTATTGCATAACTGATAGACAATAGGTCACACTATTCTCTTACTTGGTTAAAGACTCATGGACCGCAGTGTGGAGTTGTGTTCGTGATCTTGGGACATTGATTTAGCTTTTGTGTATTTAACTATTTGTGCTTTGATTTTGGTTAGCAATTGTTGACTGTATTCTATGCTTTAGTTTTACTCACCTTAAGAGATTCAATCATTTTGAACAGAAAAGTCTCGACCTTTTGAAAGTACGACGCTGTCCTTGCTTCGACCTTTCTATTTTCGATTTTCATCAACAAAATCATGACATTACTGATTGCTCTACCATATGCAATAATCAGCTCCGTCAAAACCGCCAAATTACTCCCAGTAAACTTCAGGTTCTAACTTCTAACTACACCGAGCCTGCGAACTAATCTAGATTAAGTAATCCTACGATTAAGAAGACAACTACTCTAATGAACAATGTCAATCTGTGAACTATGGTCAAACAGCCTCCGCAAAGCGTAAATCTGGAGGTCCTGGACCCAAAATCCCTTTCTGCTCGCTGATCTTCCCAAGTCCAAGAGGGGCCTCGGTTGGTGCTGGTGTTTGTACCATAACTGGAGCGGTCTTCTCATCGGCTATCCATCTAGCAGCCGTTTGACTTAAAGTTAAACGGGAAGAACTATCCTCTTCTTGACTGTAATTGTTTTCCAGCAGCGGAGTGGCTAGAGGAGGACCGGCATCCGGATCAGGCTTTTGAAAAATGAACGTCGAATAAAGGCCTGCCCAAACAGCACCAACAGTAGGTATGTAAGTCTCACCAAGTAGCAGTTAGGATGAAATTCACAGTAAAAGGTGAAACTCGTACCAAGCACATCAAATGACCTAGTAACGAGTCTTCCTTTTGAATCCAAGAGATTTGGACCAGCATTCATCAGCATGTCGGCAAACTGCATTCTTCAAACATTGGAGAGAAACAAAATCGACATTATTATTGATGTTGAAAGAGTATTTTCCAACTCATACAGTCTGTTACCCTTAATTGTTCCATGTAATGGAGAATGAAAGGTATCGTTGTGATACCTGTTGTCGTCATAAAACTCTGTCAAATTCTGAATTTCTACATACTCCAGACCAGCTTCCCGAGCCAATCTAGGGTACAGAACGTTCAGTCATTCAGCAAAACACAGTGACTTTCAGCCATTGTAGTGTACAAGCGACAATAATCAATGAGAAAAGTATCTGCGAACTTTGTTAAAGGAGATTCACTATTAATTAAACAAAGACCATTCAGAAACACACCAACCTGATCAAGCTTGGAAAATGAACCAAGCAATAGGTTTCAGCCACGGCATCATGAGCAAATTTTAGCTGGTACTTCTTTCCAAATAAAGGGAACCTGAGTTTTCACACAACAATAGTAACAGAACAGTAGAAAGAAATCACAACCACTAATCTTTGATATTCAGAACAAGCAAGGGAAAGAATTGTTAAGATTACATACTTTTCCTCCTCAACCTCAAACGTGATCATATAATTCTCAGACCGTATGCAATTGGGAACAATATTTAGCTTCATACTTGCGCTTCTATTGTGGTATGCCTCCACATTCTTCTGGTACTTTGCCCTGCACAACGAAATTCTCGTCAAACAATTAACACAGTTAGACTTCTGCATAAGAGCAAAACAATGTTCAAATCCGCAAACACGCTTTATGAACACAAGTGGATACCATTGATCTAGTAAATGATTAGTATTCATACCATATGGTAGATGAGTCAGGAGTAATACCCAAAAAATAACCCCCTGGTTTAAGCAAAGATGAGACACTGTGCAACAATCTCCTAGCACTCTCCTCAGTTTCAAAGCAGAGCTGCAGTAGGACAAATAGAAATGATCTGAACCCCATCTCAACTAGCTTCCAAAAGAAAACAGATCAAAATACAAGCAAGACAGAACTTAAATCAAGGATGGTTGAAAAACCTGCAAATTCTGTAAGCAGCAAACAAAATCCACCTGACCAGCCTTCTCTTTGAGCTGGGTTTCAAAACTTTCCTGTCAAACCCAATACAACTATCAGGCAAGTTCCAATTCTCTAGCTATCTCCTCACAACTAGAACCGAGGAAAGCTTCCAATGAAATCTCTGGAACAGAATGTTCAGCTACGAAACTCAAAATTGACAAATTAAGAAGCTCGGGAGCAGCTCACCGAGCAAGGATCCGCTTCGAAGAACTCTGCAGAGTAGTCTTTCCTATGGCTCTCCCAATTTTCTTCTATTTCACTCAATCCAGAAGCCGGCACTTCTGCACAACAAACCAAAAAGCAAAAGAAAAAGATTACAGTCAGCATCGCAGTTTCTTGGAGCCGCCGTGACAGAATAAAGCTCCGACGTACCGACGCCGACATAGCGGCCAATTTGAATGCCGGCCCATGCCTCGGGGTCCAGTCCTCCTCCGCAGTACAAGTCGCAAACCTTGCACAGGAAAGAAAAAAAATACACGGAACCGAGAAATTGTCAGCTATTGTGGCCGCCGGTGGGCGTATAATTGGTGAAGCGAGTGGAGTTAGGGCACGATTACGGTGGCGTAGGGGTGAGCGAAGATCTTGACGAGCGCTAGCTTGGCGAAATCGTGGAGGCGGTGGTGAATCGACTCCGGCCGAGGAGCCGAGAACGGTAGCATCTTTCTTTCTTCCCCGTCGATTATTCGGGGGAAGCGTTCTGTCCTCGGCGGAGGCCATGTTATTGTTTACAGCTTCACGGGCCGGAAGCCCATAAAATTCAGGAGGGGCCTAATAAGCCCAAATTGCGCTACGAGCTGGCTCGCCAGTATAGTCACTTTAATTAGCAAACTTATGGGAGAAAATTGAAAAAAGTTATTTGCAAATACATGATGCACTGTTCGCCCAGACACGGAATTATTATTCATTTAGACTCAATTTTACTGTTCACCTCAATTTGATTGGTCGTTGGTCTGCAGTTGGTCCCGCTTGGTATTTCTTAATTGGTTGCCTATTTGGTTGTGGCCATTGCGGTTTTGGCTGCGGTGGTCTCTCTGAGATATGCGTTGCTCTCAGCAACGCCCTAATTCCCTCTTCGCTTTCTTCTTTTTTTTTTATTGTGTTTCTCGGCTATTTGCCGCCGGTCTTTGTCATAATCATTGCATTTGTTGTTTCCGCTCTCTCGCCTTGCGTGTTGATGTTTGGCTTTCGGAATTGATGGTAATGATGGGCCTTTGTGGAGAGCAAACCTGTCTAGGACTACCTAGATATCTGAAACCCGCCGGTTTTGCGTGCTGGTTTTTTCCCCCGCTTCTTTGTGTTCTCCCTCACTGGCGGTTCCTCTATTTGACGTCGTCCTTATCTCTTCGGCGGGCGGTTGTTTCGGTTTCTTTACGTTACCATTGGGCCGATAACTGACACCAACCGCCCTTACCCCTTCTAATCCTTCCTCTGATTTATATGTTTTTTTTATTTAGCGGCAGCAGTTCATCATTCCGCTCTGGTCTCTCTCTGTCATTCTACTCTCTTTCTAAACGTTGTTGCTGTTCTTTTCGGTTCTCTTTGTCTCGGAGAACATGGAGTTCACGTTGCTTTGCAACCTCGGCGGCCCTCGCAATGCTAGCGTTTCTTTACGTCTTTGGTTGCTGCATGTGTGGCCGTCGAAGTCTCCGGGTGATATTAGGATTTACAATTACTATACTCTTTGGACGGATGAGACGGTGCGCTCTCTGCTCCTATGGGGCGATATTTTCATTTTTTGTTCTGTCGTTGCCGCTATGTTTTTTGTTTCCCAATCACCATGGTGTGTTCTGCGCAGGGGAAGCTGATTCATGGTGTTTCGCCGACTTCAATGGCTGCTGGGATCCGTCGTAACCTTTCTGTTGGGAAGATTTATGTTGTCAAGTCCTTTGGTTTGAGCAACCCGCCGAATCAGTATCGCCCATGTTCCTTTGATTTGGCTTTGGGTCTCTCGCCCTCGACTTCCTTTCAGGCCTGTAGTCTTCCCGCTGAGAGTTTTCCGGTTGATGCGTATGAGTTTGTGTCTTTTGCCCAGTTGAGTTTGCGTGCTGGTAATCACCGTTTCTTGACAGGTTAGTGGGTATTTTTGTGCTGGCTCCTTATTGATATGCATGTGTTTGTGTATATATGAATGCTTTTTTATTGTGTTTTGATGTTTTGACTTCATTTTGTTTTCGTAGATGTCGTTGGCCGACTCCATTCAATCAGTGGGATATCGCATAAAATCACTAATAATGGTCCTGCAGTCAAGCAGACGGTTATCATCGAGGATGAAAGGTTCTCTCGCTTTTCTACGGTTCTTGAGTTTATCTGTATGGTATTAGTTTCTTTTGTGTTGTTCCTCACGTATTCCCGTGTTTTTTCCTTCCCAGTGGAGCGAAGATTACTATTACACTCTGGGATGAGTTTTCTGCGGTGTTGGACCATGTTGCACTTACTCAGGCTGACTCGATTGAGGCTGTGATCCTCGCTTTCGGTGGTTTGCTGGTTAATAAGTTGGGAGGTGTGTTTATTCCCCCTGGAGTGCATGTATATTTATCGGGATTATTCAAGGAATGTTGATGTCTGCTGATTTTTCTATTCCTTCTGTTTTTTGTTCCAGATGATTATATTCTCTCGAGCTCCGCTGGTACACGCATAGCAGTCAAACCTCCTGTACCAAAGGCTTACTATCTTGCATCTAGGTGAGTTGGTTATGGCCATTGCTGATTTTGTGTGGTCTGTTTGGGTGTTCGTTTTATGCAGAAGTGACAATATAGTTAAGTTTATGCTGCTTATGTTTGTTTTAGGTTTGCTGAAAAGCACGAAGTTGTTGAGTCCTTGCCAGTGGAATTTGCCTCTATTGCTGATGCTGCTGCTGATGCAGACCAGTGTACCAAGAGCCTGGACCAGTTGCTGATGCTGTCTCGAACGAATTCCTCTCTGGTTTATTGCTACTCTTTTTGAAAAGTTTAATGTTCGTCTTTTTCTCCCTTGGGAATGAATGAGTTTTCTTTGCTTTACTAGGAAGAGAAGTATCGTTGTGGTGGAGAGATCGTTGATATCGAGTCTGGTGCTCCTTGGTATTACATTTCGTGCAAGCTATGCTCGCGAGCAGTTTCAAAGCGTCGAGACAATACGTTTTGGTGTCCAAAAGACTGGCAGCTAGAAGAGGAGCAAACTCGGGTCAAGTATGTCTGCTTATTATTTGCGTAGATCTCTTGGTTGTTTCAGGTTTTTTTACTAACGTCTTTTTTTACTCAGTTATAAGCTCCAACTTACTTTGAGGGATGATTCTTGCGAGGCCCGGTTCATTCTGATGGGTGGCTGTTGCCCATTTGTTGGTTAATGTTTCTGCTGCACATCTGGCCCAGCGGTTTCCTCATCGTCCTGGTCAGTTGCCCCCACAGTTGCATCAATTGCGAGGACAGTATGTCAAGTTTGATTGTAAGTTACCATTGCCTGGTCCTACTGGCTTCTCTTCGGGTGAGTTCAGTGTAACTCAGGTTGTCCCGCTTGATGATCCTACGGTGGTTGGCGATTTGCTCGAGTTTTCTTTGCAATCTCCGTTACGTGGTTCTGTTGCTGCTGTTCCGACTTTGACCATGGGTGCAGCAAGTGTCGCGGGTGATTCTTCGGGTTCATCTAGGTTGGTGTTGGCTGTTTTGTTTTGCTGTTTATGTTCTCTGGTTTGTCAGCTATGCCTTATGGACTGTCTGTTTATGTTCTGAAGGGTTGCCAAGGGAAAGGAAAAGGTTTCAGGTCCTCTACTCACTGAGGTTTCAGCAGCTCCGTTTAGCATCACTGAAGGGCCAGATGAGGCTGATAGGTATCCTCATTTCTAGCGATACTTATTCTGGTCATTAATAGAATTGTTGGAGAATGTGTCCTAAGTTATTTGCCATTTTTTCCCCAGTCCGATAGCCGAGAATTTACATATTCCTTCTCCTGCAAGTATCGAAAGCAAGGGTATTGTTGTCGGCCCCAGGAGTCTCGGGGAATCTCATCCTTCGGGGATTGGTGTACAGGCTGGCTCTAGCCCAGCTGTTGTGCCTGTACCCGTTTCTTCTTTGGCCCAGTCCTCTACACCATCTGGCAGGTCTACTTTTTCGCCGATTGCCAAGCGTACATCTGGAATCGATGAGTCTGCCAGCCCTGAGGATGTTAGTCGTGGTCAGTTGATACCTGCTGCAAAGATTCTGAAGCCATCCCCTGAGTCATCTCCTGGGAAGACCTCTGGTTTAGCCTCTGGCTCTTCGCCTGCGTCATTGTAGGTGTTCACAAGTTAGTTAAGTATTTTTAAAAGTTTTTATGTTCTTCTCACGATATTCATTCCTGAGAGGTGTGTTTGGTTCAAGGTTGGCTTCTCCACTCGCCAAGATAAAGGTGGAGAAGTTAGGCGATGCTGAGGCTCCTCCTATGCCACACGGCGGTTCCTCACAGGCAGGTGCTGAGATGGAAGGGGATTCCCCAGTGGACAGTCAGAAGAACCCAGCTGCGAAACGTCCTCTGTTCAAGAGGTGATAATAGCGTCAAGGTCTTTTGTAATTTTCTTTGTTTGTCTTGATTTTCTGTCATTTTTCATTTGCGGTTAGGATCCTATGGCTGCTATGTATCTTATTCTTTTGCTGTTTATTTCATTGCAGGAAGTATATATGTTTTGGACTGAAATTTTCATTCATGGGTCCGAGTCTTCTCTGCGTGGTTGATGGCGTTCCTAGAAATGCTGGTTCCTGACTTTCAAGGAGATGACATATTTTGTTTAGTTTACGCAAGTTATTCTCCTTGTTTAGACAATCATATTTTGGATATCTAGGTTTCGGGAATGCAATGCTTATGGTTGCATGGATATTCTCATTTTGGATCTTGGGTTCCAAGAATGTAATAGTTGCATTAGTGTGGATATTATCAGGAGATACACTGCTCTTGTGCACTTGGTTTATATAGCCTTCTATCTTTTGTTGGGTGACCAGCACGTAATCAGTTAGTGTAAGCTCATACGTTGTTGATGTTTACACGGTGCCTCTGTGCATTTTGATTTTCATAAGGCTGCTGCCTAGTAGTGATTGCCTTCATTTAATGTTGTTTAGTGCTGATATGAGCAAGGTCGTGTTTCTGTTATCCGTAGTATATCTGGTCATTCTTCCCTTAGAATACGTTCACCGTTGACGGAAGGAGGAAGGGGAGTTTATGTCAATGTCTCCTGAGCAGTTCGGATAGAGGCACTGTCATTTTTGCGAAGCCTATAGACTGTATCCAGAACTGTTGAATTGCAATTTGGTAACACTTTGAATAAGTTCGAACTAACTATGCATGTTTCAAACGAACGAAACGTTTGTTCCGATTTATAATACGATCAATGTTATGAGAACATCTTTCTTATCTTTCTTAGACCTCTTGATATTTCTTACTTATTATAACGCAGCCTCTTTTTGTGCGAAAGATTAAACTAAGTTGATAGCTTTCCATCATTTTATTAATCCAACAGCATGTTAGATCTTTTCAAACTATAATGATATTATAAGGATCATACATGGCTCACATATCTATGATAACTATTTCATGTTAGTATACATCTTCTTCCTCAATGGATTGTGTCACTTTCTCCAGGAACTATCTTTACTTCATCATATTTCATCTCTCAACTGTTCATTTATATCCTTTGTTTGATGGGCTAAATAGAACAAAGGTAACCTGCGTTTTTATCTGACATTCTCATTGATGAGTCTGATGAATGAGTGAGGATGATTTCTGTGATCTCCCTTTAACTCTTCCTCGCTAAAAGCATTGGATTCATATATTGTTGTCTGGATTATACTATTCGTACATCCCAACAGTTTCTAGCCATGTTTGATTTCTTTTTTCCCTGTGCAGCAATGCCTCCCAAGAAAAGAAAGACTCAGTATCAAACTCTGGCACGTAAAAGAGCCAGAATTGAAATGATGGAACATCCATCGCAGGGTTCAGTGATTCCTGAGACTGTGCCTGAGAATGATATACAGGAATCATCACGGTCTCTTCATCGAGTCCTACCATCATCATCAGGTGATGAACGAACCGCCACCATACCATTGTTATTTGAATTATAAGATTCTCATGAAGCCATCAAGCATTATGAATCTTTGATGATATAAAATCTTTATTGTAAAGTTCTCTTTTGTGTGCATTGCACTTATCAGAATCTTCAAGGCCAAGGAAATCGCGCTACCAGACTTTGAAACAGTTGGCCTCTAAGAATCCAACGAGCCATTTTTCTTTTCTGGAACAGGGGGAATCCAATGTGGTAGCTGAGTGTAGTGAGAATAGCAATCAAGTGCACGAAGCTGAACAGCGGAAAACTGGTAGTTGCCGGTTGCAGAACTCAACTGGGACCCCATCCTGTTTTAGGTCCATTCCCATGGTTAGAAAGCCACTTCATGATGATATTCTGAACATAGGTCAACCAAAATGTGTCTGCAAGTTCTGTGGTACTTTGTTCTGGGATTTGGAGAGGCTTGATCGCCGCCGAGCAACAACTGATCCTATCTATGGACTTTGCTGTCAGAAAGGTCGTGTTGGTTTGCCATATATAGCCCAACCTCCGCGGTTGCTGGCTGAGCTTCTGCAGTTTGATGGTGGCGCTATGTCTAAACATTTCAGAGATAACATCAGACCATATAACGGTTCATTGTGTTTTATATCATTTGGTGCTTCTATTGACCCTCGCTCCCTTTCTGGTAGGGGGCCGTATTCGATGATTATATGTGGAGAAAACTATCATAGGATCGGTTCATTGTTGCCTCCTGATGGTGAAAAACCCAAAGTTTGCCCAGCTTTATATTTTTGAACCGGAGAATGAAATCGACAATCGCTTGGCGAACTTCGCATCCCGTGATGGTCTACTTATGCCAGAGCTGCTCACATCATTGCTCCAAATGCTGGATCAACATAATCAGCTCGTCAAAACGTTCAGGCGAGTTCGGCAGCAGCTTCAGGATTCTTCGACAACATATTTAAAGCTACGAATATTTGGGGCGAAGAGCAGGAATCGGCAATATGATTTGCCTAGCAACACTAAAGTTGCAGCGCTTATACGAGGTGATTTCGTACCAGACAGAGATGATCGCGATATAATAGTTGATCATGTCTATGAGGGTTTGAAGAGGATTACGAGTCTCAATCCAAAATTTGATGCGTTACATTTCCCACTTCTATTTCCATATGGAGAGGATGGTTACCATCCACTCATCAAATACAGGTCAGCTTTCTGCCCGCCTTCTATGCGGAGGCAGTTTGTTACTCAGCGAGTATTATGCATTCAGGCTCCAATATCGCAATGGCGAAGGTCACACGATTGTTCAGGCTGGAAAAGCTCTTTAGCATTTTTGTATTGACGCCTACTCATCGATTGAACTAAACAGGCTAGCTTTTTTGAGCTATCATCAGCCACAGCTCAGAGCCGAGGTTTATCAAGGACTGTAGGATGCGATGGCACAGGGTGATATTGACGGAGATAAAATGGGCCATATTGTACTCCCAGGTACCTATATAGGTAGCCCGAGGTATATGCAACAACTATATCATGATGCCATGGCAGTGGTCGAATTCTTTGGAAATCCTGATTTATTCATCACATTCACCTGTAATTCTTTGTGGGAAGAAATCACCAAGGCCTTTCGTGATGTTGTTGGTCCAAATAGCTCAGATAAACCGATGGTGATTTCAAGGGTCTTCCACATTAAGCTGAGTACTCTCATAGATGACATTAAGAAAAACTCCTACTTTGGGAAAACAATTGCAAGTAAGTATAGGTTACTCATTTTATATCAATATTCAAGATCCGCAAGTTTAGTGCTTTCCAAAACAAATGTTTGGATATTTGTAATTCTCACTTTGTTTACTCTGTGACAGTTATCTATACAGTGGAGTTTCCGAAAAAGGGTTTGCCCCACATACATCTGCTGGTTTGGTTGTCTGAAGAGAATAAATTGAGGACGACAGAAGATATCGACGAGGTGATCTCAGCTGAAATTCCAGACCCTCAACAAGATCCGGTTGGATACGAAGCAGTCTGTAAATCATGCTGCATGGCCCATGTGGTGAAGCAAATTCCAATGCATCGTGCATGCGAGACAAGAAAAAACGCGCGAATGGTAAATGTTCCAAACAATTCCCAAAGGATTTCAACTCAGCCACAACATTTGACAAGTTTGGAAATGTAGTCTATAGAAGATCAAACACTGGCGTCGAGGTACAAAAGGGAAGTATGACACTTGACAATCGACATGTTGTTCCATACAACAGGAATTTGCTTGTCAGAATGCAAGCTCATATAAATGTCGAGGTATGTCACAAAGGTAAACTTATCAAGTATCTCTTTAAATATGTGACAAAAGAACCAGACAGATCACTGGTAATTGCTGAAAACGCTGATGCATCGCAAAATAATCCGGAAATGCAATCTGGGAGGCACAGAGATGAAATCCAACAGTACATAGACTGTCGATCGCTGTCTGTTTATGAAGCCATATGGAGACTTAATGAGTATACAATTCATGTAAGAGAACCATCAGTGGTGCGTTTGGGAGTTCACTTGGATGGACAGCAAAAAGTACCTTATAAGAAACAGTCCAATGTGCGAAATGTTTTGGGGAATCCTAATGTCGGAAATACACATTTGACAGAATGGTTTGCTCTTAATCGCAGGGATCCTCAGGCAAGAGTCTTGACATATGCACATATACCAAATAATTGCACCTGGCTTCCTGATTGTAAAGAATGGAACCCTCGCAAAAAGGGATTTGCGATAGGGAGGGTTGCATATGTTCCACCAGGTTCTGGCGATGTATTTTTTCTCCGAATGATGCTCACAAAAGTCCGTGGCGCTCTCAGTTATGCTCATCTCAGAACTGTCAATGGAGAACTTTGTCCAGATTTTGAAAAAGCTTGTGAAAAGTTGGGTCTATTATCAGATACTTCAGAATGGATACGTGTTCTGTCCGATATTTCTACTTCCAGAATGCCACGGGTGATACGGAGCACTTTCGTGTCAATGCTCATGTTCTGCGAAATTCCAAGTCCAATAGCTTTATTCAATTCGTCATGGAAATCAATGGCTGAAGATTACGCATATAGGCTAACGAAAGATCTCAGAGATCAAACTCAGAAGCCCAGTGATGAACGACTACAAAACTGGGTACTCCGTGAACTGCAGGCTATGTTGAGCTCTCATTCAATGACGCTTGAGGACTTCAATCTCCCAACCCCAACTGATGGTCCACATGAAGATGGAGAGAATCCACTCATTAACGAGCATCTGGCTTTTGATACTGACCAGCAGCATGCACTAGCAACCTCTATGCTACATTCATTGAATCCTGAGCAAACTAATGTATATACATCTGTCATCAGTTCAGTCCTCAACAAAATGGGTCGGGCATTCTTCCTGTATGGTCACGAAGGTACTGGCAAAACGTACCTCTATAATGTCATTGCAGCAAGGTTCAGGAGTTTGGGGAAGATAGTTGTACTGGTTGCATCATCGGGAATAGGAGCAACACTACTTCCCAAAGCGACCACTGCACATTCAAGATTCAAAATTCCACTGATTCTAGATGCAACATCGACATGCCCTATTAAACACAGAACAGATTTAGCTGATCTGTTAAAAGAAGCATCCTTAATCATTTGGGACGAAGCACCAATGACCCATCGGCAGGCTTTCGAGGCAGTAGATCGCAGTTTATGCGACATATTGAATGTTCCACTGAATGGACATCACTATAAACCATTCGGAGGGAAGAAAGTTCTCTTTGGTGGAGATTTTCGCCAAACACTCCCAGTTATAACTGATGCTGGACGTGAACAGATGATTGATGGCTCATTAACTAGGTCCAAGCTATGGAATACTTTTAAAGTGATGTGCCTATCGACGAACATGCGCATAACAGCTGTCCACTCTGCTGACCAACAGCTAATGCGTGGATACACGTTTCCAGAATGGGTCCTTGCCTTAGGAGATGGGAGACTTAGAGCAAGATCGTTCAGAGAAGATGGGCCATCAGATTGGATACAAATACCATCACTGTTCCTAATTGATCCCGGGGATGACACTGTTAAATCAATCGCAGATGATATATATGATTTGTTTCCTGACAATCACAGGGATCCAGCATACCTAACCAGCAGAGCAATAGTGACGCCAACGAATACGACAGTCTCTAGAATCAATGACTATATGCAGCAAAGGGTACAAGGTAACATAAAAAATATTATAGTTCAGATTCACTGCAGTTATCAACAGAAACAGCAGATTCGTTTGACGAAAGCTATCCGACAGAGTTCCTCAGTACTCTCACGTTCAATGGAGTTCCAGACCACGAGCTTATGTTAAAGGTATGCACGCCAGTCATGCTCCTGCGTAACTTAAACCCTACCCTTGGTTTGTGCAACGACACAAGTATAGGTGTCAATCGGGCGAGTTCGGGCTGGGTTCAATCGGGTTCGGGTTCAAACGGGTTGCGGGTTAGTCGGGTTGCGGGTTCATCGGGTTCGGGTTCAAACAGGTTGCGGGTTTGTCGGGTTGCGGGTTCATCGGGTTCAGATTCAATCGGGTTGCGGGCGGGTCGGGTTGCGGGTTCATCGGGTTTTGGGTCGGGCGGGTTGCGGGCGGGTCGGGTTTCGGGTTGTTCGGGCCAGCGCATCAAGTAACTTAACTCATTACTCATTATCAACTTACACATTTTATTACACTAATTTAAAATATTTTCTCAACTTTTTAACCAATTTATTTCTACCTCGTATACATATATACTTTATTTTTTTGAAAAAACTAGTCAAAATGTTAAATCAATTTGTATGACTTGCAAACTTGTTATGTAATTAATCATAATTGGTAAAGTATTATAGCTAATAGTAATGGTGATATCAATATTTGCAACCAAAAGACACCGTTAATTGTTTATTTGATATTTTAGTATTAATTCAGTAGTAATTGGATTAAAGTATCTCGTTTAGTATAACCATGCAAATATGGTATTTGGTGTGTGGTATTTGGCAAAAACATAGTGATAAAAGGAGTTATTTCGAAATAACTCATTGCCCAAATAACTTTAGTAAACTGTTGTCAAACGAGTTATTTGTAAAATTGTTCGAATTATCCTAAAAATGGAACCATTAAAGATTAGCTGTCAAATTTAGTAAAATTATTGTGACTTCAATCATAACTTACTCAATAGCATATATCCTATACACTTAGCTTTACCCTCAATCAACAATATTAAGTTAGTATATGTTGTTGATTGTATACCCTAAACCATCAATACATTATACACTAACCATATGTCCTTGAGTTTTGATTTTGCTAGTATAGTTAATTTAAAAGTGAAATTCATACTTTGATTTTCAAAACATAGATAAAAAGTGATATTTGCTAATTGTTATATCCTAACCATATATCCTATACACCACATACCTTGTACCCTAACCACGTACCATAAACATAAATTAAAAAGGGATCTCCTGCCGTTAAAGACTTCAAATGACTTCAAGTGAACATATGCTAATAAAAAGGGTTATAGGTATAATATGCCCCTCTACTATGACGTATTATCAAACATGCTCCTCTACTATTTTTTACATCAAATATGCCCTTGTACTTTGAAAAAATTATCAAAAATGCCCTTCTGTTAAAATTTTCATTGAAAAAATCGTCAATCGTGGTTGAACCGAGATTTAGATGACCCGACATCGGCAAATGGGAGGAAAAATGTTAGTTTTGTCCCATGTTTTATTTCACCGGGTCTTTTCAAAGTGAAATTCTTTGAATGATTTGATTATACAAAAGAACGAAAAAATTCTAAAGTGAATTTATTATGGATATTTTAGTCATTTGTGTCACCCAAACTAAAGTTCGGCCTTGGTTAACTGTTTTTGGATGAAAATTTTAACAAAATGGCATGTTTGATCATTTTTACAAAGTACAGGGACATGTTTGATGTAAAAAATAATAGATGGGCATGTTTGATAAAACGTCATAGTAGAGGGGCATATTATACCTACAACCCTAATAAAAAACTTAGAACCGTCAAAACCATCAATATCTTATACCCTAACCATATACACCCTAAACCATATGTACCTTATACCTTATACCTTATACCCTAACCATATACTTTATATCATAAATAACGAACCGTCAAAGATTACTTATCAAGTTTAGTATAATTGTTGTAACTAATGGTTAATTTATTTATTAGCCCATAAAAAATTACATACATATATACATATTAGCCTTCAAAGCATATAAGAATAATTTTAACTAGTCATGCCCTCACTACAGGAAAACAAGTTTCTAGTCACGGTATCTTATTCATGGGAATGTTTCCCGTACTAAAAAGTATACTAATAATCACAGGAAATCTTCTCGTATTTAATTGTATAATTTTAGTCACGATAATTAATTTATCTATTTTTCAGAGTTATTTCCCATGATTAATGATTGGTCACTGTTTAATGACCGTGAACAATCAACAATGTATAATATAAAAAAATATATAAATTTGAGGAGGGAACTTCACCACTTTCTTTTTGGCTCCATAAAGTACACCAAATAAGAAAATTCCCCGCCTTTCTTTCTCAATAATTTTGCCTTCGCTCCAATATTTCCCCGCCTGATTTTTAACGAAAATTTTGCATCCCCCGCTTGTTTTAGAATGAAAACTGGAATAAGAAAAAACTTCAGTTATTCCTTTCATTGGACAGAAATTAAAGTCTCCTCATCCTATCCCCTATCTCTCTCAAGTTATTCTCTAGAGAAGAGCCAACCCACCACTGAAAAACTATGTATTGTATATTTTTATAATTATTCAAGTGGATTAGATGAAATTCGGGTTAAGTCGGTCGGGTTACGGGTTAGTCTGGTTTGGGTCAATCGGGTTCGGGTTAATCGGGTTGCGGGTCAGTTGGGTTGCGGGTCAATCGGGTTCGGGTTAATCGGGTTGCGGGTTAGTTGGGTTGCGGGTCAATCGGGTTATGGGTCGGGCGGGTTACGGGTTGTTGACTTTTAGTCAATTCGGGTTGCGGTCGGATTGCGGGTCAGGTTGATCGGGCGGGTTAATCGGGTCGGGCTATGTTTTGACACCTATAGACACAAGGATCATGATCACAACATTAGGGGATAATTTCATGAAAGGCAACATTATGGGCGGTTCTTATGACGCTGACGAAGTCATTATACCAAGAATAGTGCTCAATATAGAGAACTACAAGTGGCCCTTCATACTGAGGAGGAGGCAGTTCCCAGTACGGTTATGTTACGCAATGACTATAAACAAGAGCCAAGGGCAAACACTTGAAAAAGTAGGGATTTATTTGCCTGAACCCGTATTCAGCCATGGGCAGCTATATGTGGGGGTTTCGAGAGTAAAATCAGCGAAAGGTTTGAGGATCCTTATACAAAACCCAGCAGAAATACCTTACGATTTTACAAGGAACATAGTCTTCACTGAAGCCTTTGCTGATATTATGAACACCTGAACCATATATCAGGTGAGTTCGTTAAATTAAACAAGTTATTCGATATGCAAATGTTCCTAATAAAAACTATGTGTTTTGTAGGATTGCAGTAATACCCTGATGCAGCCATGTCAATCCACAGAGGTCAATGCCATGCCTCAAATACGGCCCATTTTGCTAGGATTAGAGCAATGCCCTGATGCAACCATGTCAATCCAAATAGTAAATAAATGTATCTGTCTCTGTTTTTCAGAATTAGTTTTTCAGGATTGCATAAATAGTTTGCTCTAAGTCAAGAAAAATCATCGGCTGAATAGTGGACCAAATAGTTTGTTGACTCTCAATAATCGCAAACATTTCAGGGCCATTAAATTTTTTGAGTCCATACTAATACATTGGATATATTATGACCCAAGTGACTTCGGCCTTAAACGCATACCAAAACCGAGTCCCCGTTTTCTTACGTTTTGATAGTGATGGAATGGTAATGAGCCCAACCCGAAGATGCTTTAGGATTACAGACAAAAGCCCATGGGAAACTGACCCAAAATCAACACTTCCTTTTAAAACCCTAACTGTCTTCATCAACCAGATCCGCCGTCCACATTTCCATACCCTTTGCTCCGCCGCGGAAGCCCCACCACCGAACTACACGACAACCTTTAAAACAAAGGTAACTCCACGTCCTCCTCTTCCTCACAGTCTTCACACTTGGGAATTAACTTCTGATCATCATCCACGTTGTTTGCATAAAGACCCCACCAAACATGGAGGGTTTGGGCAAAAACCAGCAGTCAACAGAGGACGCTAACATGGTCCCCACCGACAACAAAGGTGAATGCCTTCCATTTTTGTTAAAGAATACTCCCAGGTATCTCGAATCCTCTGCTACAAAGATAAAATATGTATTTCATTTCCCTATACTGTCTTATTATAGATCCGATCGAAACTTGCATGCCATTTCCGAGGGTTGCGGGCACCAACGTTCGCATAGTAATTGCTAGGCCTGTGATGGCATGGCTTGAGTATCGAGAGGCGCCTAAGCTTAAAGATCTTACCATGCACATGATCTGGATAGATAAAAAGGTTTGTTTGCATTTCAGTTACAGAATTAGATAATCTCTTCATAAACAATTTTAAACTACTATAATACACAATTTGGAACCGTTTAACTGTTTATCTTATAGGCACGACTGATCGAGTCAATGGTTGATGAAAAAGATATCGCCGAGATTTCTCGCAAGATAAAGGTCGGGAACCTTTATCGGTTTGATTCGGTTGAATCAATACCAGCAAGAGAGAATCCAAAGATCGTTGCAGGAGAGTTAAGGGTGCACATAACCGCTAATCAAAAAATTTCAAGGTTGAGGAGGACCCAGATGAGCCACGCTTGCCAGTTGGCTGGGACATTGGGATGACTTTTTCGATGGTACCACTTCAAACAAACACCATCGACTATCATACAGGTACATTAACTATATCTATTCGCCATAGTAAAATGAACTTAAGCTTTTAAATGACAAACTCTTTTGTTGCTTATAGACATCACCGTATGCATTAGGCGTCTCAGTGTTCCCACAACAATTCGCAGTACTCTCAAAGAATTTCACATGGTCGTACAGGATGTGAGGTACATTTTGTACAATAGAATCTCGATCTGCGAATTGTATGAATAAACAACCTCACATATTCGTGTCACTGACAGTGGCGCTAAGGCAACTGTTCGGTATCGTGGATATGATATACCGAAGTTCTTAGAGAACGCCCCGACAGCTGAGGCTCATCTGCCTCTGATTGTTACGATCAAGTCTGTCATTCGGGTGGCACCTCTATCCGACCAGAAATACAAGTATCGGTTCGAATCCACTCCTGCCAGTGCACTCATAATCAGATCTTATACAGTCCCATTCCAGGAGATAATGCACATGTACATTTAGTTTGACAGAATCCTTTCCATTTTTTGAATCATATTTTTTGCCAGTCGGCCAAAACAAATTAAATTAACACTTTTGTCTCTTTTTTGCTACAACCAGTTTCCTTTATAGTCGCAGGCAAGTTTATTACATGGATGCCAATACCAGTAAGAAAACAGGTTGCCTTCGATCAGGAATAAAAAAGAAGACACTCTCTGACATGGAAACAATGCTTGCATCTGATCAGACTGCCCACAAGGTTAGTGAGGGACAAAACATGGACCAAATTCCTATACTGTGCACCTACATTTTTCGTAGACCTATGTCTTATCAATATCTGATGTTCATGCTAGGTACTCTATCGTGCTAAGTTCTTCATCTCACAGATGAAATTTCGAAAAGCCATATGTCAAGCGACTGAGGACTGGCCAGAGTAAGTTTTCTATTTCAATATGACAATTACATCTCATGCAAATCAATCTATCTACGAATAAGCTAACAAGTTTCTGAACTTATACTTATGACTAGGCTGCACTATGAGTTGGAGGTCAAATGCAAGCAAGGAGCTGATAGTATTGATGCCATACTGGACCACGAGGCTACGCTCTCAATAATAGGAATGTCACCCAGCAAATACAAAAAACTCGATGCAGAATCGGCCAAGGCGTTGCTGGTCAAAAGATGTAGCAGAATGTTTGCAGGAGAGCTCTACATCGGTTCCTCAGATCTGAAGAACAGAACCAGGACAACCGTACCCCACATAAGAGTAGCGACACTTTGGCATACCTCAAGGATAGACAAGTGACCATCAGCACCACTGACAGAAAGACCTACCGAAGTATCCTATCCACCCCTAGAATCCTCCATTTTGAACTAAAGTTTCTATTCCCTATTTTCAGTGAAGACAAAACTATGGCAGATGTGTTTGTGTGCTGTGCACAAACTTTTAAATTTCATCGAGGCATCAGATACTATCGTTTGTTAATATGTCCTGACAAACTAAATCTCCAATACATTTCTGCGCACTCTGCCGCAATGAATCTCAACTACTTGCGAATGGTATAGCAGAAAGAACACGACAAAATCCACAAAACGACTGGAGTCAGACTTACCCCGCCGCGGAGCGCGGGCCGAGTACTAGTAGAGAATAACTTATGTTGACAATTCATCTGGTTAAGAATATGAGCACGTAATTACGCACCATAAATTGCTCAGATACTAATAGCTATTACACATCATGATATGAACAATCAAAATTTTATGAACTAAATGATATAGTACCTCAGTTCGAGCCTATCTCCCGAACTAATAGGTTAACCAAGCTCAAAATCAAACACAAACAAAGATTTCAGTAAACAAAGTGAGCCAAATTAGATTTAAAACTCGATTTTGGTTTTATTTGCCGCACTAATATAGAAGGGGGGTTGGGTCGAAAACCCACTGCCGTCCGTCTTTGTTAGACACGTCAGCAGTTAACTGACGACACTAACGAAGTCCGACGGAGGTTAACGGAGAGTGACCGAACTTGGACTGTTCAACTAATTTAAGTGACTACGAATTGAATAAACCAATTTGACCTGGCAAATTATAACCCGACCCGTTGACCCGACCCAAAACCGTCCGAAAACTAGATTTTTTTGTAACCCGAAATCCGAATGACCCGAACCCGATAACCCGTAATTTTTTGGGTCGGGTTGGGTGGGTTAGCGGGTCGACCCGTTCCATTTAATATATTACTCCCAAAATATGATAAAATCACTCATAAATTGGCGAGATGTTTAAAAAAATCACAAGGATTTGAATGACATGTTTGGAGTTTAAGGGTAATCAAATATCAAGTGTTTCTTGTATTAGTATTACTCTTGTGATTGTTTTTTGACGATTTGCGCAATTTATATTTCATTTCATTAGCGTGGGAGGATTTGAGAATATGTTAATTGACATGCGTTAGGTAAACTATTGTCATGCATATGTGAAAATTTGTGTTCTTTAAGAAAATATGAAGCATGTTTGATATTGTTTATGAGAACGCTCATAACCCGAAATGACCCGTAACCCGACCCAAAACCGAATGGGTTGGATCAATATTTGACCCGAAATAAGCCAAGAAAACATGAACCAACCCGTAACCGAAGTTCCCAACCCGAAATTATCCAACCCGACCCGATTGCCAGTTTTGTAGCAATTCGAGTGACCAAATTTGCAATTTAGCCAGTCAACATCGGTTATTATCTGCTTATACCGTTTAAGGTCAAGGGAATAAAGACTGGAGAAGCCCAATTGATTACACCCAGAAGCCCAATCTTCGGCAAAATATGAATGACGCGATGGGCCTAAAACCCTGAGAAAACCTCTTCTCCGTTGAGGACTTTTTGCCGCAACGCTGAAGGCAGGGATTTCCTTCCGCCTCTCTGTTCGTCTCCGCCGATCGACATTCTTCCCCGTAGCTCTCATTTTGTCATATACAGGTAACGTCATCCAAACTTTTTGAAAGAGTAACCCTAACCCTAATTCTATCACTATCAGAACAGCCTCATCTAGCTGCTAGTTCCTTTTTGCTTTCAGCGGTTCCCTGCTCTTCTCAGTGGAGTTGGAGACCGGGGCAAGTTGGTGTGGTGCGGTTTTGGGCTTGGAGCTGTCTGTGTTTCTGCTCTCATCACGCTCGAATATCCAAAAGATTACGCGCTCGTGAAGTTGCAACGGTTTGCTGCTTGTGGCTTCGAGTTATTCTTCTGGTAAGGTCTACTCCGTTTAAGCAAAGGAGAGAATGAATGGAAAAATTGGAAGGCTGCAACTTGAGGATAATGTCACTGCATTCGGTAGTTAGACCAATTTGTGTTAACCAGCTTCTTTCGTGGCCTGTTCATACTTGGAGAGATAGATTAGTTATGGTTGGTTGTGCCTGGCATTTCTAATTGGTTTCTAATGCTTCCTGAGTTGGTTTTTGGGTGGAGGGCAATAATGGTTCACTGTTGCTTAGGGCTTGCTTCGTTGTTCCTTCTCCTTTTTGTTGGTTCTGTGATCATGGTTTATTACCAGTGTTTCAGTGTATAGCACCCCTAATTTGAAACTTCTTATCTTCCTTGCTTTGGTTGAATTGCATCTCTCTTGCTTCTCTTAATTTGAAAGTTTCCCTTCTTCCTTCTGTTGTTTTCAGATTTATTTTCGGATTGACTGCTAATAAGCAAGATGGGTTTGGAAGAAGAAAATGGTGGCTCTGCCAAGGATGTGCCTCCTACGGAACAGGTATGTATGAACCCCTAATGTCACTTCCTAGGAAAACCTGTCATCTGCTGCGAGGTATCTTGGTTTGATCAATTTATGTAATTACACTCGAGAGGATTTGCTCATAATGGGGGTTACATCTTTCTTCTGGTACATTCTGAGTCTTACTTATCATGACACTGCAGTTTTCTCGCTGGAAGTTATGAGCATTAGCCAATTGTCGTAGGTAGCAAAATGAACGGGAGAAAATTGTAGAAAAATTAGATGTGATTATTGCATATAGCTATACAAGTCTGTTGAAGCCACTCATCTGAATCTACCATCATTGCTGTATTGTGGTACTAAAGAATGTAAATGCTTGATAGCCTTGAGCGGAAACTGATTGAAATTCCTTATTATTGATTGCAGGAATTATCTGCAGAGTTTGATACTACATTGCAGAAGTATCTTAGAGGAGAGGGTGCTGATCTTGAGGTATGTACTTGTGATTCAGATTGTTTTATTTGACAGCGGTGTGCTTGGTATATTATATTGATTCTTCTTACTCTGCAGGCTTTAAAAGATAAAAAGTTGAAAGGCCAGCTTGCCGTTAGAGAAAAATTATATGGAAACTCTGCAAAAGCTGCTGCAAAGTTTGAAAAGGTCAGTTTCGACACTAGTCTGTCACTTCTCTGTTCCAGCTAATAACTTAGGTATGCGATGCTCTCCGTTGATTCCCAATAGACTTAAATCAATCAACTGATCTGCCTGTCAGAATAAAGGCAGAATGAAGTATATGTTTGTAGTTTGGTTTTAGATATGTTAGGTTTGGTTACTGTTGAATGATAGCTTTCCTACTTCTCTGTGCTCATATATTTTGTCAATGATGTTCCGTACATGTTGGTATCAGTAATCATTGTGAAACTGCGATCTCCCTTCACTCACTCAATTCACGCAATTCATCTTGCTTAATTGAATTTGGTAGATGGAAAAGTGCAGCTGTTATATCAACCATGTTAACATTTTATTTTTTGTCAGTGGCTTATGCCAAGTGAGGGAGGCTATCTGGAGGCTGAAGGTATAGAAAAGACATGGAGGATCAAACAGGATCAGATTACTCGTGAAGTTGATATCTTAAGCTCAAGGAATCAATATGATATAGTGCTGAAAGGTTCGTTTATAATGGCCTTTCCACTTGGAACATTGATATGCACAAAATCCCTTTTCCACTTTCATCCAAAATCTTCTCTGCAATTTTCTTCTTACCTCTGCGATCTAGTGGCACCTTGCTGTCATTTTGGAGCCTCCTCTTGGATTCCCCTAGTAGCACTTAAGATGAATAGTACGTTAGGAGACAGAACCATGAAAGTTAATGGATTGTATGGCTTTGTATTTGTAAGCTCTGCTACTTCTGCAATTTGCCCGCCGCTCTTCTGGCTGTTAACTCTGTGCAGTACTTGATGCCTTCACCCGGAGTAATTATCCGATTGACAATATTGCGATGTGCAGATCTTGGCCCCTACACTCTGGATTTCACCCCTAGTGGTCGATACATGGCAACTGCGGGACGTAAGGGGCATGTGGCTATTGTAGACATGAAGAGTATGGAGCTAATTAGAGAGATGCAGGTACTGTTGGGCTGCCTCATAATGGCCTGTTACTGTATCCCAAACTAGTCACTTTGTTCAAAATTAATACGGGATGCCTAAGCACTTATTAACGTTATTTACCCTCTGTGACAAAAGTTTTGTGTATCAACTTACAATTTCAGAAAGAAGATTCAGTATTCAAGTTTGCTTTATTTTGTTAGACTTTTGAACACTCAAATCTAGCTTGCATACTAAAATCAATATAGCATATACTTCTGGTAATAATAAATTTCTGGACTTTCAGGTAAAAGAAACAGTGCGAGATATTGTGTTTTTGCACAATGAGACATTCTTTGCAGTTGCACAGAAAAAGTATGTCCCCTCTCTTGTTGCATATACTATTGACAGTAACATATATTTGTCTATTGTTAATGCTCGGAGGATTCACTATTTGATAAGTAATGCTGCCTCTGGTCTTCCGGTATCAGGCATGCACTTGTTCCTACGTATGTTATGTTGGATCTTATATAACCCAAGTGGGAATTAGCATGCTTGGTACTTGAAAATTGTAATGAAACACTGTGCTCCTTGTTTCAAGCTTCTTCATTTTCCACTTATGGATCCCTCATTCTCTTTTGCTAATCTGTGATATTAGTTCATTTTGTCTGGCAAGCCAATGCAGTTTCAGTATGCTGTTAACTCCACATGTCAGGCTCCCTTGTAGAAAGGAGATGTCTAAGATTCTATCCTTTTTCAGGTACCCATACATTTATAACCGGGATGGAATTGAGCTTCATTGTTTGAAGGTCAGTAACACTTCTTGCTGATGGCTTCCATCACAGTTTATGTTGAAATGCTGGCCGTATCCTTAATATCATAGGAAGGCAACTGATTTCAGTTCTGATCGTCAGTTCATAATTATTTATTGCGTCATTATATTTTTTCTTTTTTCTTTGTTATTTCCCCAATTCCCCCTACATAAGTAACACCCCTTGACTCTTGGGTTCTGCGTCTTGCAAAATAATGGATTGAAGCTATTCACGTCTTTAAATAGAATCGGTTTCCAAGATGCAGCAGAATGTAACTTAGCTTGTTTGTGTCCAGGAACATGGAGCAGTGTCACGGCTACAGTTCTTGAAGAACCATTTCCTCTTAGCAACAGTAAACAAATTTGGACAACTCCGTTACCAAGATGTTACCACCGGTGAGATGATAGGTAACTTCCGTACGGGATTGGGACGTACCGAGACGATGCAGGTCAACCCTTTCAATGGTGTCATTGCAGTTGGTCACTCTGGTGGTACGGTAAGCATGTGGAAGCCCACCAGTGCTGCTCCCTTAGTCAAGATGCTCTGCCATCACGGCCCTATTTCAGCCCTAGCATTCCACCCGAATGGCCAACTCATGGCAACCTGTGGAAGAGAAAAAAAGATCAAAATTTGGGACTTGAGGAAATTCGAAGTGGTTCAAACAATACCCGGGCACCATGCTAAGACCTTGGATTTCAGTCAGAAAGGTTTACTAGCTGCAGGAACTGGATCATATGCTCAGGTCTTAGGCGATTTCTCAGGATCCCAGAACTACAGCCGGTACATGGGCCATTCAATTGCTAAAGGGTACCAGATTGGAAAAGTATCTTTCCGGCCTTATGAAGATGTCCTGGTGATGGGTCACTCCATGGGATGGTCATCTATCCTCATTCCAGGTTCAGGTGAACCTAACTTCGATACTTGGGTTGCCAACCCATTTGAAACGAGCAAACAGCGCAGAGAGAAAGAGATCCACACTTTACTCGACAAACTCCCACCGGAGACGATCATGTTGGATCCTTCCAAGATTGGTACAGTGAGGCCATACAAGAAGAGGGAGAAGCCCACGAAGGAGGAGATTGAGGCAGAGAAGGAGGCTGCAGTTGAAGCAGTCAAAGACATTGCTTTGAAGAAGAAGACCAAAGGTAGGAATAAGACTAGCAAGAGGGTGATGAAGAGAAAGGTGCTGATCGACAAAGCGAAGAAGCCTTTCATTGAGAAGGAAATGCAGGAGGCAGGTAAAGTTGCTGGGAAGCGAAAACTCGGAGAGGAAACCGAACTGCCTGCGTCTCTGAAGAGATTCGTGCGCAAGAAGGCTGCAGTGTAGTAGCCTATCCTAGTAGGTGTTTTTCTGTTCAATTCTTCCCACACAGGGTTTCGCTATTCGCTCTAATCTCCCTCAAAATTTTGTTTTGTGATGATGATAGGTACTCAAATGTATCCATTAATGTATCATATTGCATTATCTACTCATGTTGGGTTTCAAATAACATCAGACATTTCTAATTTCTCATACTCTGTTGTTGAAATGGTGAAACCTATGCATGTCGCGAATAATGATCTCCCTTCCTGTTGCCAGAGTAATGTACTTCGTCACACTATCAGTCGGTTAAAGAGGTCACCAGTATTCACCACAGGAACATAATCCATTCTTGAAATGGTGAAACCTATGCATGTCGCGGACTATGATCTCCCTTTCTGTTACCAGAGAAATGTACTTTGTCGCACTATGGCAATCCCCACAAACTCTCAGGTTCTTCCTGATGTGGATCGTTGTGCCCTGGGTTGTATTTAGGAGCCCAAAGGCAATTGCCAACTTCTCGCTGTGAGTGTTCAGTAACTGCTCCTTCACGTGATCTTCAACGTCATGGATTGAATTGATCTCGGGCACGTAACCAGCAGCTTTGATCTTGCCAACCAGTTTCTCAAGGAAAGCATAGATTTTTCTGGACTGTGGATGCTCCGTACTCCCTGAATAGAAACTGTGTATTTCATTCCTCAGCTCCACCAAACTGCACCCTGGAGTTTTCTGCAGCCCTTTCTTCTGCATCATTCCTCTCACTTCAGCTAGTTTCTTCCACATTGACGCAGAGGCGTAAATGTTAGCTAGAAGCACATGGTAGCCACCTTCTTCTGGGTTCAATTCAAACAGTTTTTCGGCAGCTTTCTCAGCATAATCGACGCTCTTGTGAATCTTGCAAGCTCCCAACATTGCTCCATAAACTGAAATCTCTGGTTCAACAGGCATCTTTTTGATGAAGTCCCACGCATCATGTAGCCGGCCAGCTCGACCAAGAAGATCAACGGCAGCTCCATAGTGGTCCATTGCAGGCTCTAGACTATAATCTTTCTTCATGCTATTGAAAAACTGCATACCTTCATCCACCAGACCTGAGTGGCTGCAAGCTGATAGAACACATAGGAACGTTATGTGATTTGGCTTGATATCTCCCTTCTGCATATCCATGAACAATTCTACAGCAGCACGCCCATGTCCATGTACCCCATACCCATCTATCATGGAATTCCAAGTTATCACGTGCCTTGCGTTCATCGTGTCAAAGAGTCTTCTCGCGGTATGAATAGCTCCACATTTTGCATACATGTCCACTAGAGCTGTTATCACAAACACATTTTTGTCCAGAAACCGTCTTATGACAAGTCCATGTATCCACTTTGCTTGTCGCGGAATTGACAGCTCTGCAAGGGCGGGAATAACACTCACCATCGTGAAAGAATCTGGCTTTATGTTCTGCAACTGCATTTGGCAGAAAGAGTTTAAAGCCTGGTTGACACATCCATTCTGGGCATAACCTAGTATCATTGCATTCCATGACACCAGTGTTTTATTTTTCAATTTCGCAAACAGGTCAGAAGCAAGGTCGGCCCTCTTGCACTTGGAATACATGGAAATCAAGGAGTTCATGACGGAAACATCCGCACCAAGTTTCAATGCATCCACCAACCTATGTAAAAATTTCCCTAGCTCCAGGTTACTCGAATCAGCACAGGCATGTAGAGCTTGCATAACAGTGACATTAGTTGGTTGAACACCTTCATCCATCATCCCCTGAAATATAACCAATGCTTCTTCAGGATCCCCACTTTCTACATAGCCATCAATCATCGAGTTCCAGGAAACCACAGACCTACGGTTCATCCCATCAAAAATCATCCTTGCCGTTCTCACATCCTTACATTTTGAATACATATCCACAAGAGCTGTAGAAACATTCACAAGACCTTCAAATCCTGCCCGAATGGAGTAACCATGAATCGCCTTCCCAATTCGCAACGACCCAACATCAGCAGCCGCAGGCAACGTAGAAACAATGGTAATCGAATCCGGCCTATGCCCTTCCTCGAACATCTTCGAAACCAACTCTAATGCAACCCTTGCCACCCCATTCTGAGCATACCCAGAAACAATAGTATTCCAAGACACCAAGTCCCTCTCTGGCATTCTCTCAAACATCCTGTAAGCATCATCAATTTCCCTACACTTGCCATACAAATTCACAACCCCAGTCATGGCAAACAAATTCCACGACAACCCACTAACTACCAACTGCCCGTGAATCTCCTTCCCCCTCCTAAGATCCGAATTATCCCCGCAGAGTTTCAGCAAGTACGCGAAATTGTACACCACGGGCGCAACGCAATCGTGCCTCATCCTACAGAAAAACGGAAAGGCAGCATCCAGAGAAGAGTGATTGACATAACCTTTGAGCATAGTGTGGTAAAAAGCATCCACTTTGTGCTCAATCCGCTCGAACACCCGAGCCGCCTCATTCAAGCGGCCGTAGCTGCAGAAGAGGCTGACGAGCTTGGTCTGAAAGAGGTGTTCGCCGCAGAGGCCGTGCTTGATGACGAGAGGAAGGATTTGGTTGAGCTCTTGGGCGGAAGTACAGAGCTCCAAGAGGACGGCGGCAGGGTGCTTGTAGATATGAGGCGGGATGTGAACTCTTGGGGAGAGGGAGTGGCGAGGACGAGCTGCTGCGGAAGGGTGGGACGAAGAAATGGCGGAAGGGAATTGGGGCAAAGGCGTTTTCTTGGTCGTGCCGATGAGGGGAAGAGGAAGGCTGACGATGTTGGAGCTCATTTCTCAGGGTTCGTCTCCTTCATGCTACTACTACTACTAATGCTGGCCTTTGATTTTAGCTCCACAGGAAATTTGTAGACATTCACTGCAAATTCTGATACCATTTGAAGAAATACTTTGGTTTCAATAATTCAAATTGTTTGAAAAAGTTAAATAATAAATCTTATATCACGTACTAATAACATCATAGGAATATAGAGATGTTGGCACTGTCTATACTGTGTGTACGGAATGTCTGTAAACAATTGATATGCATACCCTTTCCAAATACATTCCACTTTCTACCCCGATTGCAGAAGAACGGAAGTTACCGTATGATGATTTAGAAGACACCTAGGGTCAGTCCACGTTTCGCGATCAGCTCAGCCGGCACGAGAGAGTAGTTTAGGGGTTAATTGGTACAGTAGGGTTGGACTCTAACTATGCCTAAAAAATGTTACTAGAGATAGCGGCTGGAGTCGTTCACGATAGGTTTGGCGATAAAAATTCGTTCAACATTTGATTTGTTACTTAATGAGTCAACTTGCGAACAAACTCATTTACTAATGGACCGAATTTGAGTTAATAAGTCAACTTGCAGAAAAATTCAAATATTAATTAGTCAAATTTGAATTAGACTTTGTTTGGATCGATCGACTCGGCGAGCTATTATCCGATTGATTTCAGCCGTAAAGAGCACACTAAAAGCTATAATAATTTTTTTTTAACGGAAAGGACTACAAAGGCTATAATTAATTAGTTAAACTAAGGCAAAAAAAAGAAGAAGAAGATATAGTTAATCAATTAAACCTACATGGCAACCAAACAATTGGATAAAAATCCACAACATTTTCAGGAGGGATTGGCTTGGTGGAGTTGTTAACATCAATTTGATTTTGGAAGTCGACATTTCTTGTGGGCCAAGCTTCCAGAATGTTTATTTAACGCGTAGTGGGCTTTATTATAAAATCCAGCAGCCCGGTTTCGGTCAAGCCACCGCGGCCCAACCCACCTCTCTTCCTCGTCCGCCACCTTTCTTCTTCTCCTTCCTCCCAAACAAAGAATTACTCTTTCCTTTTCAATTTTCTCGCAGGAGAGAGAGACTGAGAAACCAGAGAGGAAGAGAGAGAGAGATATGAAAACTCCAAAACAATAGTACAAGACGCAGATTTTCCTCTTTGGGCAGCCAAACAAGAACGAATAAGCGAAAAAACCAGAGCCAGGGGAGATGGTAAATCAATAATTCCGCCCGCCGCTTCGCAACCTTTGCTCCCTCTCTCTGTTTCTGTTTGCTTCTTCTTCCTCCCCACTGACCCACAAACCCGAAGCTTCTTCCGCTTTGGAATTTCCTCCTGTCTCTTCTTATCCTTCCTATTATACGATACTAATTTAATATAAAGGACAGGTAGGGGCGATCGCCCCCCCAATAAAAAATTCGCCTTTCCTCATTGTAAGAAAATGTTGCCCTTGCCGCTTCTCTTGTTTTTCTCGGCGTTCACCAGGAGTTTATCTCTCTGACCCAGATTTTGGCCCTTCAGGCTTCAACCCACCAATTTTGTTTTTGTTTTCCCCCTTGATCAAGGTCAATTATGGCTGTCGTTGTCGGTTCCGGTGGGTCCGCAGGCGGGCCTGCCGCTGCCGGCGGCGGCGGTGGTGGAGGGAATGGTGGGTCGGCGGCGGGGAGCTGCTGTGATATGAGTTTGAAGTGTTGGTGTAAATGGAGGTGGGACCACCACCAGCACAGGTTTCTTTCGGGTTTCTCATCTGGGTTCCTCTTCATGCTGGGCTGCTTGATTGTCTACGGCTTGATTGGGGTGATCTATGGCTGGCTCTTCTTCAATAAGCCTTATTATGGTCGTAATGGTGTGGTGGGTTTGAACTCTTTTGGTTGCCTGGAAGATGGTGAAGGTTCTTGGTCAGTTGGGGTCTTCTATGGCGACTCCCCTTTCTCCCTCAAGCCGATTGAAACTGTGAGTCAAGTTTCTTTTGGCTTTACCCTCTACCTTGTTCTCTCTTGTCATCTTGAAATGCTTTGTGCTTAGGGTGGCCATTCATGTATTTGATTTTGCTCTTTGAGACTAGGGTGTTCTTTGTCAGTTCTTCCTGTTCTTGAGTTTTTAGCAATGGCTGCTTTGTTCTTGGCTTCTTGCTACTTCCTCTGCCCCGTTTGCCGTTTGGTGTGTTTTCTAGATGTTCGTACATACTTTTGTCCAGTTCACCATTAGTTAATTCACTGCATACAGATTACAAATGAATATGCGCATCATACAAGTTGCTATCACCATCTCCAGTTGACTTTTACTTGTATCTGTATTGGGCTGAGTATTTCAGCTTGATGTATATATACTAACTTGTTGTACTGTATTTTGGGAACAGGCCAACTTGTGGAAAAATGAGAGCAAGGCATGGCCAGTATCTAACCCAGTTGTCACCTGTGCCTCGGTCTCAGATGCTGGCTTCCCCAGTAACTTTGTTGCTGATCCATTTCTCTATGTGCAGGTAATTTGTGACGGTTTTGGTGGTTTCTCCTATCCATTTCCTTCCTCTTAATTTCAAAACCCTCTTCTAGAAACCATGTTGTTGGTTTCTTCATGTGTAAGGATTTCATACATGTGACGTGTTTGACCGCTATCCACATGTGTAAAGGATTAAGAAATCCTAGGCAAACACGAGAGTATTGATGAGCTAAATGGTTAATCCAGAGTTGGGGTATTTATTTGTTTATTATTATGTGTCTTGAATTTGTTTATTATTATGTCTCATTGTCTTCCATATCTGCTATTGTTTAATATGTGTGCGTGCCAGGATTTGGCTCTGACTTTTCCTTTATTCGGCCAGTGAAATTTTAGTGTCATAAAATATTCCTACACCTATTAAGGTGATCTCCGGATTCAATTATTCTATTATATGCTTTCCCCATTTTGCAACATTTTTGAAGTTGCTCTGAGTGATCTTAATGCTGTAAGATACTCTTGTTGTTTGAATTATTAGAAATGTGATGTTGGAGCACATGTGTCACTGGTGTAAAGTGTTTGACAACCAAAAGATTACTGGTATGTTATGGCATAATCAAAATCGGCATGTGAGGTAGGGAGCCCGATGCAGCAGTAAAACTTTTGGGTTGCTATTAAATCTGTTATACCACTGGTCTTTAGTTCCCCGGATAATTGGAACAAGAGCCTTCAGATCAGGAACCCTTAGTTCACAATTTAATCGAGGCTGCAGGTAGGTCTCGTCTTTCCCTTGAGGATAGTCACCTTGTCGCTATTTTACTGCAGTTAGCATTCAGGTGTCTCACTGGGAAGGCCAAGTTTCATATAGTGTACCTATTTTTAGGAAATGTGGGTCATGCCATCCCTGTCTTCCTACATCCGTCTCGTACTTCTGGTGCTATTAATTTTTGCCAGACGAGGCGATGGGGTCGCTGTGCTAACTTCGGAAAATTTAACTCTGAATGAAGGCTATTCCCTAGATTTGTGTTTTTTCAGGAGAGAGGGTTATCCTGCCATATTATGTTTAGTCGTCGCTGTCATCAGTTTGACACTATAAATGAGGTTCTCAGGATAATACCTCAACAAATTGTTTTGGTTGAAAGTTACAAGGAGGTGATCTTAAACTAATGAATGTGTCATTGAATCAGGGAGATATACTTTTTCTTTTCTATGAAACAAAGAATCCACTTACCATGCAAGGAGATATTGGAGTTGCAAAAAGTACTGATAAGGGGGCAACATGGCAACAGTTGGGAATTGCCTTGGACGAGGATTGGCACCTCTCATTTCCTTATGTGTTTGATTATCATGGGCAAGTAAGTTATATGCTGTTTTAAACTCAAGTTATTTCTGTCATGGTATTGCAAGGCCTTGCAATGATTCCTGAAAAGGATTATACTCGAAAACACATCGATATTTCTCTGTTCTTCATGTTAATTATTCAATGAGGCCTTATTTCTTGATCTTCTTCTAGGTATATATGATACCGGAGAGCAGCATGAAGGGAGAACTTCGTCTCTATCGAGCACTTGAATTTCCATTGCAGTGGACATTGGAGAAGATCCTCATAAAAAAGCCTTTAGTTGATTCTGCCATCATTAATTATGAAGGACAGTATTGGATTTTCGCGTCCGATCATAGTGGTTTTGGGACAGAGAAGAATGGACAACTGGAAATCTGGCACAGTATCTCGCCTCTGGGTCCTTGGAAACCACACAAGAAGAACCCCATATATAACATTGACAACAGTATGGGGGCAAGAAATGGCGGCAGACCATTTGTGTATGATGGAAACCTCTATCGCTTTGGTCAAGATTGTGGTGAAACGTATGGGCGACGAGTACGGGCCTTCAAGGTGGAAACTCTTAGCAAGGATGATTATAAAGAAGTTGAGGTGCCCTTGGGCTTTGAGGAGCCCACAAAGGGGCGGAATGCTTGGAATGGTGCTCGACACCATCACCTTGATGTCCAGCAGCTCAGCTCTGGGGAATGGATTGGGGTTATGGATGGAGATAGGGTACCATCTGGAGACCCGAGTCGCCGTTTTATGGTTGGCTGTACCTCGCTTGCAGCTGCTGCTGCAGTTGTCATTGTATTAGGCCTGCTGCTTGGAGCAGTTAAATGTATCATTCCACTCAACTGGTGTGCTCACTATTCATGGAAGAGAAGCGATGCTCTTTTGGTCTGGGAAAGGTCAAATTTGTTCTCATCAAAGGTAAGGCGGTTTTGTAGTCGTGTCAACAGAGTACCTACCTCGATTCGAGGTAAGGTAAAGTACAATACTTGGGCGGGAAGATTGGTTCTGGCTGTGTTATTTGTAGCTGGTGCTGCATTAATGTGCACAGGTGTTAAGAACGTCTATGGTGGTAATGGAGCTGAAGAAGCCTACCCTTTAAATGGTTACTATTCTCAGTTCACTTTACTAACTATGACATACGATGCTCGGCTATGGAACTTAAAGATGTATGTGAAGCATTATTCGAGGTGTTCTTCAGTGAAAGAGATTGTTGTGGTGTGGAACAAAGGGATCCCTCCAAAGGAAAGTGACCTGGACTCTGCAGTGCCTGTTAGGATCAGGGTAGAGAAAGAGAACTCACTGAACAACCGCTTCAAGAAGGATGAAATGATAACAACGCGAGGCGTGCTTGAGCTTGATGACGATATTATGATGACGTGTGATGATGTGGAGCGTGGTTTCAATGTCTGGCGCCAGCATCCCGATCGAATCGTCGGTTTCTATCCCCGTCTCATCAGTGGGAATCCTCTCAAGTACCGGGCTGAAAAATATGCGAGGAGTCGCAAAGGTTACAACATGATACTTACTGGGGCAGCCTTTGTCGATAGCACGATAGCTTTCGGAAGGTACTGGGGTGAGCAGGCCAAGGCAGGGAGGGAGCTGGTGGACAGGTATTTCAACTGTGAGGATGTGCTGTTGAATTACTTGTATGCCAATGCAAGCTCAGGAAAGACTGTCGAGTATGTGAGACCGGCATGGGCGATAGATACATCCAAGTTCTCTGGCGCCGCAATCAGCAAGAACACACAGGTTCACTATGGGATTAGGAGTAGATGCCTCATGAGGTTTACCCAGATGTATGGGAGTTTATCAGATCGCAAGTGGGAATTTGATGGGAGGAAAGATGGTTGGGATTTGTAGGAACAACAACTAGTAGTAGTAGTAGTACTCTTGACAGCCTGCCTTTGGTAAATTCTTGGTAAATTGCAGTTTCTAGAGCTGTTCATCCCCATCTGGTGAAGATTTCTCGTCTGAGAGGTGGATTTTAGCATCAACAGGGGTAGATTTCGCAACTTGTACATTGGTTTTTTCACCATACCTTTTTTTTCTTGAGAGTTAATGTAGAATGTAGCGTCTTCTTCTTGGTTTTGACCCTTTTTCAGAAAGCTGAAAGTGTAAAGTAGAGATACATATAGTAAGTCAATATGTTGTTTGCAGTTTTGTTTCAGAAAGTTCTCCCTCTCCGATCTCTACCTGATTGTCTTTGATCCAGACCCAATCTATACGGAGAGTTTCTGTATTGACTGGGTATGATAAAATTCGAGAGAAAAATGATGATGGGATGGATATGATTTTAGGCTTTCCGTTCCATACACATTCTTACTACAAAATATATCTCGATATATATAAAAAAAATTAATGATTGAATGCTAAAATTGTCATTGTCTTATGGGTTAATAGATGTTGTAGGTTTAGATGTTTTGAATTTGAATTAACAACGATTATATCTTTGTTGAATTTACGATTTATTAGCTCTATTTGAATGTATAACCAAAACTCTTAAGCTGGATTATAGTTTAGGTATGATATATTGGATATTCAGAGTGAGTGTTACCCGCGGGTATCCGAAAATCACATGTATAAGAATAAAGTTGTAAAATCTTCTCTCTATAGATATGAAATGGTTATGGATTTTGATTTTTCGAGAATGACGAGTATAAGGATGAAGTTGTAAAAATCTTCTTTCTATAGATATGAAACGGTTATGGATTTTGATTTTTCGAGATGAGGATGATAATGGTTTAGAAAAATAGACTCCAATTCGTCACATTATATTTCTTAGTAGTATTAGTGTATCTACACCATCTCTTAAGACGATTTTTCTTTATCGCTAATTGGACTACTCATAGAGTAATATGTAGAAGTATGTTGATGTTTTAGAGTTAGCATCAGTCTAGTTGTACTGTTGTAGGCATTTGTTTTGGGCATGGTTGTCACGCCGGCCGGCGTGTCACCGGTTGTACCAGGTTCAACCGATACCGGTCATAAAACCGGCGTGACACCACCGGTATGACTGGCATGATCGATATACGAATCTCTATGTAAAATGACCTTATTTTAGCGAATTTAATTGATAAACATTATTTTATTATTTATTTTATGAGTATAAAAGTTAAATATTGATGTTATTTGTTGGATTCAAGTATAAATGTTTAGCTATTGGCGTTAAATGTCATGTTTAAATATGAGTATTTATAATTTTATTTGTAATATTGAGCGGTATGTGCCACCGGTCGAACCATTCCACTTGCTAAACCGCCACACTGACATAAACCGGTTTGACAACCTTGGTTTTGGGAAACACTAGACAATCCTACCATTACTATATAGAGATTCTCCATCACAACATACTCTATTCCAAATTTTCAGCTTTGTGAGAGTTTGTAGGAAGGACATTTTTGTCATTTAAATAATTAAAATAAAGCATTTTTAGACTACTAAATCAAATTAATATGTATATGCCTTATTTATACGTATACTGGTAGGATTTATTCATTGATAATAAATATGTCCAAATATTTTCAGACTTCTAAATCAAATAAATATGTCTATTAGAATTTTTATTCATTAATAAAAATATAGGCCAAATATTTGTAGACTTCTAAATCAAATAAATATGTATACATTATGTATATATGTAGTTTTAGGATTTTTATTCATTAATAATCAATATGTCCACTTAAATATTTATAATCTATAGTTTGGAAACTAAACATGTGGGATTTTAAACTATTGGGTTAGTAGCCAATTAAGAATCTTTAAAAGATAAAGGTTTCGTATTTGCAAACATAAAGTAAAATTTCAATGAAATGAAGGTGAAGAAGAAAAATTCGTTTGATGGAGTTATTGAATTAAAAAATAGCGATAGTGAGTAGTGACGTTGTTCAGAATAAGAGATAGACTATTGATGATGGATAGAGAGACTTTAGCGATGATTATAAAACTATAATTATTGACAGAGATGATGATGCATATGGTGAAGCAATAGCAAAGAAGTCCATAAGAAAAATTATAGTAATTTCTACTCAAGTAGTAAATTGAATGTAGTTTGATTAAGTTTTTGGACTTTGCTACGGTGACATGCACTTTTCGGTCGACCTCATATAGGATCAGGTCGACCTAATCACTTGTTTCAGTGTAAAAACAGTTTCATGGTGCCTACTTTGGAGATTCATATCTTACAATTGGCTAGATGGAAATTGGAGATTAAAGGCTTGTTTTGAAGCTGAAATGTCCATCTACACATTAAAGTACTTGGGAGCTCAATAGAAAGTCCAGAAGACCTTTTTTGAATCTGACCAAAAGGCTATGCCAAAATTGGGAAACTGCCTGAAAATGGCTAAGTCTGGCAACGTGTTTGTCAAGCCTACTTTGGAGCTCAATTTGAGAATCATGGATACGAGTCAAGTCCATGGGCCTCTACCACGTTAAATTACGTATTTTTTTATACAAAGGCAAGGCATTGGATGAAAGATTCAATATCTTTAAGGCTTCAAACAAAAGGCTCGAAGTTGCTACGAAGGCTGTTTTTCTGGCAGCTTGCTTGTGCTCAAAGTCTGCCAGAAAAACAGCCTTCGTAGCAACTTCGACCCTTTTGTTTGAAGCCTTAAAGATATCCAATCTTTCATCCAATTCCTTGAATTTGTATAAAAACATACCTAATTTAACGTGGTAGAGGCTCCTGGACTCGACTCGCATTCATGCTTCTCGAATTGAGCTCAAAAATAGACTTCACAAACACGTTTCCAGACTTGGCCATTTCTAGGCAGTTTCCCAGTTTTGGCATAGCCTTTTGATGAGGTTCAAAAATGGTCTTCTGGACTTCCTATCGAGCTATCAATCACTTCAATATGGAGAGGGACACTCCAGCTTCAAAACAAGTCATTAGTCTTCAATTTCCATCTAGCCAATTGTATGATATGAATATCCAAAGTAAGCACCGTGAACTGTTTTTACACTGAGACAACAGATTAGGTCGACCGAATCCTAAATGAGGTCGACCGGATCCTATATGAGGTCGACCGAATTCTAAATGAGGTCGACCTAATCCTAGCTGAGGTCGACCGGAAAGTGCAAGTCACCGTGACATGCATGTCACCGTAGGCACACCCTAAGTTTTTTAAGTGTTAGTCCCCTTCCATGAGTTCTATTTTTAATTTTCAGTAAGAACTTATGTTGATGAACCGGTTAAAATATAAGAAAACTCGTTGATGCATGTTCTTTTTTTATTTTCCCATTAATTGAATAGTTCAATATTTTGACTTTTGATATCAATAAAAATATATCTTGTTTAGTACAATTACAATTGTTACTTATGTGTTTGAAATAATGCATCCATCCAACTTGCATGGTACTTTTATTGATGACCAATCAGAAAATATTATGATGTTTATTCATTTTTTATTTTTCACTAATTTAATAGTCCGTAAATTTTTAGTTTTGGGATATTGCATCCGACCAACGGGCCGGGTTTCAATATAGTTAAGAAAATCCAATTCCGACGTGGCGAACGAAATATATCCTAATCATAGATGGATAGCAAGATAAAGCAAAATCAAGGATATCATTTTTTTTTTTTTAAAATTTTGGGAAAAGCTGAGGGGAAAAAAGCAGGGGAACTGGTGAATGAACCATCAATTTCTTCCTCTGCCTTCCATCCATTTCTCAAAACGTGGGTTTTCCTTTAAAATCTTCGCTCCAAAATCTTCTCCCCCTGAATCCAATCCCCATTTGCAGGGACGTCTACGAATCCAGTCCTCCTCCAATATCTAGGGTTTCGAATCCCTCTCCTTTCTCCTCTGGTTTCCTTTTTTGCATTCGTTCCCTCAGCTGACTCTCCTTGGAGAAAAAGCTGAGTTGATGATGATGATGATGGTATAGATAGGCCGGAGGAATCTTTGTTCACTTTTTTGCCACCCCGCCTTTAATTTCTGCTTCTGTAACAGAGAATATATAAAAGGAGGGGGTTTGGTTTTCCGTCTATCTGATTCTGATCCAATTGGAGGGCTTGGCTGGGCGTAGGATTCGTCTCTTCTTTTGACTTGAATTCTCTGCTCCCGAGGTGTTCATTGATTTCTTCCCCGCTCTCTCTTTTAGCAGGAGGGAAAAGACGAGGAAAGTTGGCTGCTTTACTTTGTTTTCTGCATTTTCTGTTTCTTTTATTTTGTGGGTTTTGGAGGTAGAGGGGAAAAGGAGGTGTGGGAATGCTGATGATAATGATGTGGAGATAGAGATTGGGGAGGTAAAGAAAGACAAAAGTGCGAGATAGTTGAAAGAGATGTTGGCAATGGAGAAGGATTTTGATTCAAAGCTAAGGATTCCAGGCGGGGGCGGCGGTTCTGTTACTAGCACCACCTCTTCAACGTCTTCTGCTGGTAATAACAATAGTGCTAGTAATGGGAACCCACCGAGATCTAAGAGTTTTGCTTTTAGGGCACCCCAGGAGAATTTCTCCATTCAGGATTTTGAGCTGGGCAAGATCTATGGCGTTGGTTCTTATTCAAAGGTGGCTTTTTTTCTCCTATAGTTTTTTTTTTCTGGACTACTGTTTAAGTTGCTCTCTTTCATTCTTCTGTATTTTCTGTTTCTGGTTTTTTGGTGAGGAGTAGATTAACTTTAGGGTTTTGATGGTGGATGCTGTGGATTCAGAATCTTGTTTTTTCCAGTCACCATGCCCTCTGGTGGTACTAGAATTCTTGCTAGTTCTCCCTTCTGCTCTTTACATTGCCAGAGGATTGAATCGCTGATGCCATTTGATATACCAAATGTGTCTGCACTGCTTGCATTTATTTGTCACCTTTATCCTGTGCTAAGCAATATCTTCTGGTGAAAGAAAAAAAAAAAAAAACCTTCCCATTGTATTGTTATGGAACCAAGGAAGTATTATTTCCTTCTCTACATGGTTGAGAGGAATTTTCATCCGAAATGGGGCCTGCAGAGCGGCTGTAATGTGTTCATATTTGGTTTAGTGTTCCGAAGTTCAGCCTTGTTGGCAACATGAAATATGCATCTAATAGTTCTTTTGAGTGATCATGATGGAAATTGTGATAAGATGCCCACTGGGGACTGTCTAAGCTTTCAGATATCCTTCTTTTATAGATTGCTTAAATGGAAGTCATCGTCTTTTTAGGGATATAACTTGTTTGCATTTCTCAAGCTATTTAGTTTCTGGACATCTGCACCTTAATGAATTATTTGTGGCTATTTTTAACATCAATGTCATACCATTTTATATCACCTCTATCAGGTGGTGAGGGCCAAAAAGAAGGATTCTGGAATTGTATATGCGTTGAAGATCATGGACAAAAAGTTCATCACAAAAGAAAATAAAACAGCTTATGTGAAGTTGGAAAGAATAGTGCTTGATCAATTGGATCATCCAGGAGTTGTTCGCCTGTATTTTACTTTTCAAGATACATTTTCCTTGTGTATGTATCCATGATTTGGCATCCTGTGCGCTTCTTTAGCTTTCTGTTATATTATCTTCCGCGTTCTTTGCCTCTGATGTTATTCTTACATGTTTATAGATATGGCACTTGAATCCTGCGAAGGTGGAGAACTTTTTGACCAAATAACTAGGGTAAGTTCATATGAGCACCTCACAAATTCTTTCCTTATTTTCCACTTGTGTCTATGAAGTGACTAATTTTTGAATTACTTGTGGACTTTAACAGTCTAAATATCCAAGTACTTCTAGGGGATAACTTGTGTCTCTCGCTCCACTTAAAGTTGACAGTATTTGGAATTCTGTTTATATAATTTTCCATGTGAATTTTGTTAGACACAGCTACACAACTAGTTGGCTTGGTTTAGATGGCAAAATGTTATCCAAAAGTTTATGTCTCTATACATTTTAATACTGAAGGGACTAGTTCCTATTTGCAGAAACGCCGTTTATCAGAGGAAGAAGCTCGATTTTATGCGGCTGAAGTTGTAGATGCTCTTGAATACATACACAAGATGGGGTTAATTCACCGAGACATCAAGGTAATATCTGAAGGCAGGTGATGCATGCATGACCCCTGTTATCTGAAGTTGACTAAAAGTTTCTTTGATGGCAGCCGGAGAACTTGCTTCTAACAGCAGATGGACATATAAAAATTGCTGATTTTGGAAGTGTAAAACCAATGCAAGAGAGTCGCATTACTGTGCTCCCAAATGCAGCTTCTGGTATCTATCATGACATCCTGATCTTGGAACTAGTTATGCTGCCTGGAATCAAGCTCTTGACTTTCTTGGTTTTGCCACCTTTTCAGATGATAAAGCTTGCACATTTGTGGGCACCGCTGCATATGTACCTCCAGAAGTCCTCAATTCTTCCCCTGCAACTTTTGGGTAAGTTGAATAAATTCCTTTCTGTAGTGTCTACATTTTAGCTTCTTCTACTTCCAAAAGCAAAGATTAGGTGGATGGATGTCACATTAGAGTTATGGTTCTTTCTTAGGATAATCCTTTCGAACCTTTTTGGTTGATGCTTACATGGGCAACCCATTTTTCTTTTTTGACCGAATGAAAACAGAAATGACCTCTGGGCACTTGGATGCACATTGTACCAGATGCTTTCAGGAACTTCTCCGTTCAGAGATGCAAGTGAATGGCTTATATTTCAAAGAATTATAGCCAGGGATGTAAGGTTTCCTGATCATTTTTCAAAAGAAGCTAGAGACCTCATAGATAGATTGTTGGTAAGTTGTGGATTCTGTTATAAGATACTACGTGTCAGTAGAATATGCTATTAAATCCTTATTGATTATGATTTTTCTGCAGGCTGAATTTGTTTCTTCTCTCTTTAGATGTGAATACATAAATGAAATCTAACTCCAACTGCATGTTTTAAATTAATGACGTAGGACACTGAACCTGTAAGAAGACCAGGTGCTGGCCCTGATGGTTATGCAACTCTCAAGAAGCATCCTTTCTTTAAAGGAGTTGACTGGGATAATTTAAGATCACAAACCCCTCCGGAACTCGCTGCTGACCCAACTGTAAGGATTCCTTTTCATCCTCTGGATTTCTTTCAATCGGGAAACATTTTTCTTGGTCTCAACGCTTGCTATTTCCCATGTTATTTTCTTTTACATTTGGCTTTGAAATTATTCAGGCACAGTCAGGTGATGGTGTTGAGCCTGATTCATGGAATCCTGCACATGTTGGTGACTGCTCAGGTCCAAATGATGGGAATGTTCCTACTGCTTCATATTTAGCTGAAGGATCTGGTCACATAACACGTCTTGCCTCGATTGACTCGTTCGATTCTAAATGGTATAAACATTAGGATGTCGGTTTTCTGTCTTTTCCCTCAAAAGTAGAACCTGATTTTCCCTTTTCAAGCTAACATGCATAGTAATTCTTAGATGTTGTTAATATCATCAGGCAACAGTTTTTGGATCCTGGGGAGTCTGTAATTATGATCTCCATGGTGAAGAAATTACAGAAGTTGACAAGCAAGAAGGTGCAGCTTATCCTCACCAACAAACCGAAGCTGATCTATGTAGACCCTTCAAAGCTTGTGGTGAAGGGCAATATAATCTGGTCTGACAATTCTGACGACCTCAACATCCAAGTCATCAGCCCTTCAAATTTCAAGATCTTTACGGTAATTGTGGCTTTTCCTTCCTCCAAGACCCTAACCAATTTAACCTTTGCATGTTTCACACCTCACTCACATAGCAATGCTTCTACCATTTTGGATGTCTGTGTTCTATCATTTTCTCGTTCCAGCCGAAGAAGGTACTGTCATTCGAAGACGCGAAACAGAGAGCGTCGCAGTGGAAAAAGGCAATCGAGAGTCTACAAAACCGGTGAGAGAATCTGATCCCATCTCTCGCGGTTTTGAAGTTGGTACAGAGTACAGAGCAATTAACATAGATGACAGAATGGTGAGGTGGGAGAAGATAGATTCCTTATTCAAATTGAAGCCTCCCACAAAAGCTAAAGCTTCATTGTTACTATTTTTTTGCCCCCGACAAATGAAAGAGATTACTACTGGTTCAAGGGCAGAAAATGTTCTCCCTGAAGTTGGTTCGTGTACAATACAATGCAGAGTAATCTAGTTTTGGCAGGAAGTTGGCCCAAGGGGATTTGAGTTTTTTTTTTCTTCCTGTTTTTCCTTTCTTTCCCTACCTTTTTTGTGACTTTTAACCTCACTTGTTACACTACTGTATTTATGTAACGTTACAACAACGCCTCAATGGTAATATATATTTTCAGGTGAGGATGATTCTTCATTCTTTGAAGCTGTTCTTGTTGTCATGGTTCATTTTACCTGTGATCTTAGGTAGCTTTTCCTTTAATCTCACCAAGTGTAAGCTTCGGTCTTCATACTTCTTTTCGATTCGATTGCGCGATATCAATGGAGAATGATTCCCACACTTCTGCATTGGTTTAACCGTGATGTAATCGGAATTTCTCGATTACGAATCAGGTGCATAACTCGAGAAGCTTATACCCGAGTCCGGAAGGGTATGTCGAAAACTAGCAGCTGGGAAAAATCTAATAACTGGTACAATCAACAAGACTCTGCTAAACAAAAAAGAAAATCCATGCTACTGTCCCAGAAATCAGGCTGCCATTATTATATTGACAGCTAGATGATATTTTTATATCCACAAGCACAACTTGTAGCTGCAGATGGATCGAATTTTCCACGTGAATCATACTCCTACTGAGAAAAGATACGATAACTGATACAATCAACAAAATGCTGCTACTTAATACCGTAGCAAATTTACTTCCTTTTCTCTTGCAATCATTAATCTCAGGTGTTGACCATGCGGTCCTCTCCGACGCCACGGTTCCATAAACTGCCCCTGTTTTGGCTCTGTTTCTGGTTAGCACTCTGTTCCGCCTCTGCTGCTGCAACATCCCGGCCGGCACCGGACCAAAAGGCATGGTCTTTGAATCTGATTAACCGGAGAGGCCCCTATCTGGGTCTCATCACTGTCTACCCGCCGGAAGAAACTGCTTTCTTCTCCACCGGAGCTTTCATTCCTGACCCTAAGCTCCCTTTTCTCGATCTCTCAGGTCTCTGCCACCGCCAATTCGGCAACTCGTTCCCACATTCAATATTGGGTTATAATTTGTCATCTGGGTTTTGTTGTTTACAGGCCGCAGATTCCATATTGGAACTGTTCACGGCCAGCGAGTCGTCTACGTCAGATGTGGGATCGGAATGGTGAACGCCGCGACGGCGACGCAGCAGATGGTGGACTCGTTCGTGATTTCAGGAATCGTCCACTTCGGGATATCCGGCAACTTGAACAACTCCATGAATATTGGAGATGTCTCTGTTCCCGCTCAGATTGCCGACACTAGCCTCTGGAATTGGCAGAACCCAGATGCGAATTTGGATCCGGAAGATATCGCTCACCTGGAAATTGGGAGCTTCAATGTGCCAGTCGGAGACGGAGTGAACCAGTTGGGACAAATCGGGTACAGCCCGGAGCAGCTCTACTCGTCTTCCTCGCTGCTGCCCAATACTCCGGCGACCGTGCTCTGGATGAACGTCACCCGCCGGTGGCTTCATCTCGCCGCCGCTGCTGTCCAGGTTAGAAACAAACACGTTTCACAAAAACACCCCTGGGTTTAAGTGGTCTCTCATTTCAGCCCCGTACTTTTAAAAAAAGAAGGAAATGGGCTTAATCCAAACGCCAACGAAAACAGAGTAGGAAGTAAAAAAAACAGAGTATGTTTGAAACAGGGGATGGAGCTAGAGCAGTGCGTGAACTCAACGACGTGCCTCGACGAGAAGCCGAAGGTGGTGATCGGTCTTAGAGGCTCCACCTCCAACATCTTCGTGGACAACAAAGCTTACAGAGACTTCCTCTTCCAAACTTTCAAGGTTTCTTCCGCGGACATGGAGAGCTCTGCTGTTGTCATGGTATGTATAATTAACAATACTCTTCCCCCCCCCCCCCCCCCCCCCCCCCCCCCCCCCCCCTTTCTTAGCTCGTCGTCATTCTGATGAACTCTCATGATCATGTCGCTGCAGACGTGTTTGTCAAATGGGCACCCTGTAATCGTGATAAGGGGGATGTCGGATTTGGCTGGCAAGCAATCGGGGCACAATCCGATTCGAACTTTCGGCAGCCTTGCTGCTCTGAACGCTGCCAACGTTGTTCTGAAGTTCATCTCGAAGCTGAGAGGACGATCCTATGCTGGATCAATTTTGGGTACACTGCTGTAGATGGATAAACTATGTGAATTGAGGCTTTTGTATGAACTCTGTTGAGTGTATTTGGGTATTTGGGTGTAGTAATTCGTTGCAATTCAACTATGTGAATTGTATAAACTCTGTTGAGTGTTAATAAAAGAAGCCACAGACAATCAGCATTTGGTATTCATGGTATGAGTGAATTCTCTTTGTCGTGAAAAAACATCTAATTTTGGGTTATTCGCACCATATTTGCGCTATTCACATCGTATTTGCGTTATTCACGCCATATTTATGTCATTCACGTCATATTTGCGTTATTCACGTAAGAGTGTTGATTATTCACGTAATCAATACTGTTAGGTCACGCCATCTAATGTTTATTCACGCATATTGTTAATTATTCATGCCGTAGTAAAATAAAATTTTAAACTTTGAAATATATCAAAATGGATGTCATTGTGTAGATTATGATCAATGCAACATATTTATACAGATTAAATGATAATCCAAGTTTAATTCCATAAAATATAGCTAATACAAATTATGAGGGGAAAGTATGAATTTCCATTTACGTGAAAAACTTACACTCTTACATAAATCACCATATTATTACGTAAATAAGCACAAAATGACTTGAATAATCACAAAATAGCGTAAATGAACTTATCTGAGGTGTTCTGTCACCTAACGTGACAAGAGATGTTTTCCTTCGTGATTCTCCCTTATTCATCTCTTCTCAGTTCAGTTACTATATTCATGTTTTAGAATGTGGTAGCCAGTTCACAATCGAAATTTGCACTCATATATCTAATTTATTTGTGGCCCTAGGTTTCGGTTTCAGAATATTAAAACAATTCTCAACAAAATGAGATTTCTTTTTGATTTGGAGGGAAAAGATTAAGTGTATGATAAGGATGAAGATTTCGGCCTAATCTGTTTTATCCGATCTGTTTTTAAATTTAACTACTTTGTATGGGCAGACATGAGTACTCTACTCGATCTGATCTATCATGATTGCCTCGTTTTCAACATGTTTTGCCTACAAATATATGTAGTGTTACTCAACTTAGAAGTTTTAACTTCATATTTTTAGCTACAATAATATTGTAAATAGGTGATAACTTCAATTTATCGAATATTTTAATTATATTTATCATGCTATAATTTGTTTATTGGTTTTGGTAATGAAAAAGTAAATATATATTATCCGATCAACTCGTTCTGTCTCAACTCGCGTCCAATAATAAATTATCCGATCAAAATCCATATTTAAATGTCCACTTGTCTAATTAGCCCATTCCTAGATGTGTAGACTGTTTAATAATGAATGTAATTAGTGAGTATGTGAAATGACTATTAAGGGCATAATTTTATGCGGTGATTGTTGGTTTAAAGGGGTAGAATAGGAAAGGAAATTCATTGCGGTGGATTTGGCATTTTGGGCGAATTTTCTAATTCTGTTGCCTCGCGGGTCAAAGAACGACGAAACGACAGCAGGCTTTGCCTCCCTCAATTCACCTCGCCTGAGCTACTCGGCTACTCCGAATCAGACTCTTCTTCCTTCCATCCCGTCTTCCCGGCAAAGCAGGAGATTCCAGGCAATTGAAGGGAAAAGCCAGAAAAGGGAAGGGAAAAAGAAAAACTCTGAAGGCAGGCAGGGACAGGAAGCAGAAGCTTCTCAGGCATGGCGCTTTCACGGCTCAGACATCCGGTGATGTCACGGGCATCCTCTCTTGTTAGAGCTCGCTTTCTCTCCCACTACGCTTACTCCTCCACCAGATCCTTGTCCCGGTAAACCTCAGTTTTTTTTCTGTTCTCTATCTGTTGTTTTATTTGGGTATTTGTTCCGATCGAGTCATTGTGATTCCTTATCTGTGAGCTCTTGGAATCTGATTTTGTAAGTTTGAGGTCATGGGGCTGGTGGGTATTGGTCAATTTAGCGACTTCCTCCAGAGTCCGGCTTAGAACATTTTGCATACCGATGATCAATGTGATTATCTCGGCGTGTTTTTGAAGCTTTAGTTTTGTTGGGTCACTTTTGCTATATGAATGTTAGGAATTTTAGATGGTCTTGGGAAATTTTTACTTTCATGGATAAGTGGAACGCTGGAACTTCCACTCCTGTGTGGAAAAAAAGAACTGAGGGGTGGAATGCTGGAACTTCCACTCCTGTATGGAAAACTAAGAACTCCTGAAGTGCTGAAACGTTGCCAATTTTTGATTTGCGCCATCAAAGCTTGCCTGAGATAATTTAGCAAACGTTGGTTCTAAATATGGACAAGTGAACCCAATACTGGTTTTCTGTCCTACCTTGTGGGATCTTCTTGCTGCATTTGGGTCTGGGAGTGTGCATGCATACTTTGTCAAGAAAATGGAGAGAAGAAAGAGTGCTAGGCAAGTAGCAGTGAGCCAAATATGGTTTTAAGCTTTTCCTGGGCCCTGAACTTATTGTTACACCTTTGTCAGTATAGAATCTCTTTCATTGTATAAAATTTTCAAGTGCTGTATGTGCTTTGCTTTGTCGGTGTTATTGGTTAAGGCCCTGCTCACTTGTTTTACAGCTCATATAATACTTTGTGCTTCTTCATTGACTTCTTTGTACAGGTCTTCATGCTGCCGGAATTCCCTTGCAGATGGCAGCAGCCTTTTGTTAAGGTTGGTGGCTCTTGCTTCTTTAATGTGCTATACTGCAATCCTACTTTGATGATTTGCATGTTTTAGCACTGTCGCCATATGTAGAGTTCCTTTAAGATTTTAGTTGTATTTGATCAAAGCTCCTTTACGTCGTTAATGCAATGTTGTTATATACTACTTATCTTAGCACACTCGATGACAAGTCAGGTAGTTGTATTTGCAATGATAAATGAAATTTAGGCTATGTGCAGTGGTGTGTATTTCAAGCTACTACTCAATGCACATGCAACTATGCCCATTTTGGTGTCCAGTTTTCATCCTCCTCTTCCCTGCCTTTTTCTCATCTTTTCTTTATTTACTTGTTCTTATTCATGACGGATAATTGTGCTCACCAGGCCCTCTTCATTATCCAGTATCGAGGGAGCACATGATAGTTTCTTGAAGGTGAAGGTAACTGTTATCATGAGTACTCTTGTTTATATCAGTTTGGATGTGTCTGTTTCCTGATCAACTCATCACTCTCCAGTTACACGGACGTGTCCGGCATTTCTCTTCAGGTATTATCTTCGAAACATTCTCAAAGTTTGCCCTTATTGACGAGCGCCACTAGTTCATGTTTTTAGAAACAGAATAATAAATAGTAGTTCTTGTGGTGCTGTCATCACTAATATTTTACAGAAACTGGACTTGACCTTGTCCTTACTTTTTTTTAATGAATTGTCTTGCCTGAAAAAGAGTTAGCATTTGGTTTCTCAATTTCCAGTCAAGTTGATCCAGATATTCATGGGCTGTTATTTAGACAAGTCCAGGGTACATTCTTCAAGGGTTGGTGTCTACAACTTGTAATATATTCTCTGAATTAGAACAGATCATCACACAGAACGACTTAAAATCCCTTATATGACCTATTCTGTAGAGAAAAAACTGGCACTATTGCAAATTTACATGTGCCTTTTCTCATCACATTTCTTAGCATAATTTTGAACATATGATATGGAACTGTTGAAACTATGCGGAGCCTTGTGTATCGTGCATGGGAAAAAGTAGGGACCTTCCAACTAAGCTAGAGTGAGTGATATTTAGTATATAGGTTAATATCCTAGCGTCTTTTGCTAGCTTCACTCTCTACTTGAGTTTCCATGGCCCCCTACAAATGTATCTTAATCTTGGTCCTGTTCTCCATCTTTGGAAAGGAGGCTGCTCATAATCATATATCTCCAGTGATCTGTCTGCCCTTTTTTTCATGGTCTCTATCGCTCCAGAGGTTCCAGCACACATGGTAATCGGGATGCCGGCTTTGTCTCCTACAATGGTAAGATATATAAGAAATAATATTAGTGTTACTTTTCTTATGGTACACAAAGATCTTATGGCTGTTGGTATATGCAGACTCAAGGTAACATAGCAAAATGGCATAAAAAAGAAGGGGATAAGGTGATTAATATTTGAAGATTTTATGATATACTGCTCATGAGGCTTGTTGTATTCTGCTTGTTTTCTAATTTCTGGACTTTGGAACTCATCTAACAGATAGAAGTTGGCGACATACTATGTGAGATAGAGACAGATAAGGCCACTCTTGAATTTGAAAGCCTTGAAGAGGGGTACTGAGTCTTTTCTTCAAACTCTTTGTGTTTGTCTCTGTCTGATTCTTATATGCATTCTGGTCTCTGCATGATCATGCAGAGACACTAGTACATTCAGTGCTCTGTGAAAACGTTCGAAGGCTTTTTGTTTTGTGTATGATTCAATTGCTTGCGTATGTTCTCCGAATGTATTTCCCGATAATCTGGTTGGTGAATTAATGGAATTGTGCAGTGGAAGCCCTATCGGTGACTGTCCTTATGGATGGGTATTTGTTGGCACAGGTATTTGGCTAAGATATTGGTACCTGAAGGTTCAAAAGATGTACCCGTCGGACAGGCCATTGCTATAACAGTAAGTTGGACGACTCTCTCTCTCTCTCTCTCTCTCTCTCTCTCTCTCTCTCTCTCTCTCTCTCTCTCTCTCTCTCTCTCTCTCTCTCTCTCGTGATTGTGGGTCTTCAGAGAGCCCATTTTATGAGACTCTGAAGCTTCCTTATCAATATGGTGTTTGATGAATCTCAATTCAGTCCATTTTATAAGATAGAATTTATTATAACCTCTAGCATAAAAGTTTGTGTAACCTCATAATCCTTGCAGAAAACCATTGTTTTGTGCTTTAATGCAGGGAAGAAGAATTAAGAACTTGGGATGTTTAGCTTCATATTCATTCTTGCTAAATTCTCTTGTAATGTAATATAGTTCGGCAGACCGAGTATATTAACCTGGTTTGATGCTTCAATAGGTTGAGGACGCAGATGATATCCAAAATGCCCCTGGAAGTGTTGCAAGTGGCTCAGAGGTTAAAGAGGACAAAGCATCTGACCCGGATGTTAAAACTGAAGATAAAATACATGACAAAAGTTCTGTTCAGCTGAACACATCAGACCTTCCCCCTCATATTGTTATTGGAATGCCAGCACTATCTCCCACAATGGTTAGTGCGATTGAACTCGCGAATAAATGTTCTGGTTGTTGGCATTAACACATTTGTCTCCTACAATGCTAAATATTGTTTATCTGATGCAGAACCAAGGTAACATTGCCAAGTGGTGGAAAAAGGAAGGCGATAAGGTTAGAAATACTGGGTACTTCTTTTTTCTATCCCATGCTTTATAGATATATTGATCCATTGGACAATTTAACGCATTCCTATCTTGACAGATAGAGGTGGGCGACATAATATGCGAGATAGAGACAGACAAAGCTACTCTTGAGTTTGAAAGTCTCGAAGAAGGGTAATACTCTTTTCTTGTTGCAACTTATCCACGTCTACTTTTTTGAGAGGTAGTTCTTATATGGAGCCAGGCAGCAATTTTGAATCGCTCCTACATGGGGGTCCTGATGCTGAATATTTTAACAAGCAGGTAGCCATAAAAGACAGGATAGAACCTCTTTTAGATGATACAATTCTTTGTAGCAAGTAATGTTTACAGACTTGATTTATTGTTCGATTAGATAGAACAAATATGATTTAGAAATCACCCTCTAGGCATGATTGAGGAAACTTATACCCAGAAAAATGCATAGGTCGCTTTCGATGGAGTCATTTCGCTGTTGTTTTTTCTAAATCTGATTACATGTAACCTTTTAAAGCTGATGAGGACTTGTGTATCTTTTATTTTAGCAAATGTCTTGTTTCACATTCCTATTTTGAAAAGCTGATTTGCAGGTACTTAGCTAAGATAGTGGCTCCAGAAGGTTCTAAAGATGTTGCTGTGGGAGAACCTATTGCAATAACAGTAAGTTTCCCTTCTTTCTCATACTCCCTACCTGGGGAACCTTTGATGCTTTCAGCATTGTATTTTCTTTTTCTGTGGTTTGTGCTATCATTTTGGCTTTAGTTGCTTGCTATTTCCAACTGTCTGTATTTTTTGTTAAGGTTGAAGATTCCAGTGATATTGATATTGTAAAGAGCTCTGTTGCTGTTGGGTCAGAGGTCAAAGAAGGAAAATCACCGGCTCCAGCTACTAAACATGAAACTCAGAGACCTCAAGCCAGTGTTAGAAGGATCAGTCCATCTGCTAAGTTGCTGATCTCAGAGTATGGATTGGATGCATCATCATTGAATCCATCGGGTTTTCGTGGTACGTTACTTAAGACAGACGTTTTGGAAGCAATAAGATCTGGAAAAGGATCTGAAAGCAAATCACAAGCTAAGGAGAAAGTTGCACCAGTACCTCAGAAAAGCCATCAACCTTCTTCCACATCCCCAACACAGCATTCAGATACTTTCGAAGACATACCCAATTCTCAAATACGCAAGGTAGTTCACTTTTTCATTTGGTGACTTATTACATTGGAAGGTTACAGTGAGATAACTCTGCCGGGGGCCTTAGTGATCCCAGAGGAAGCTCTGTGGAGCATTCTATTTTGGGTGCATATGCAACTGCCCTTTTAGGCTAGTGCTATTGAATCCTTACATCTAAAGATACATTAATATTTGTTGATGGCCAAAAGGGGTCATTAAGCTGGGAGTCTGTTTGGAATAGGGAGGTGATATCAATATCTTCCTTACTAGTACCAGCTTCGGAAACTAGGAGAAAAGTCTGGGGAGTAGTACCTCTCTGATGTGCACCATAAAGGAGTTATAAAAGGGAACGATGAAAACAGATGTGTATTTGTATATTAAACATGTATAATACCTATAATAGGCAGTCGGTACATGCGCATGCACTCATATTCGCACTTGTACATGTTTTTATATGAATCATGAGAGTTATATGTACAGATGGCTCTCTATTCTCTCTGCAGTTGTTCTCAGCTACTTCTGATATGAATTGATCACATATATACGTAGAATAGGCTGTTCTAAGTGAGCTCTGGAGTATCAGATATTGAAATAGGAAACACGGCCTCTTTATTTTTATGAATTCTTGGAATCACATGCATGGGTTTAATTTTTCTTACATTGCCGTATGCTTGGGAATGGAGGATAGATCAATTGCAGACTTGCTTGTGTGCTTCCAAATATTTTCCTGGCTGCTAAATTGGTCATATCAATACTTGTCTATAGGAAGAAACGTTTCTTATGTTGTAATTTTCGTGGTTGCTTTTCAGATCATAGCGAAGAGGCTGTTGGAATCAAAGCAGACTACCCCACATTTATACTTGTGCACAGGTTGTGTCTTCTCCATGTTATGACTTGTATCGGTTGCTGCTGCATAGTTTTTGGTCTAATTTTGCAGCTGTATCTATCAGATGTCATTCTAGATCCTCTGCTCTCTTTCAGAAAGGACCTAAAAGGTATGTATCTCTTTTCTCATTGTAATCCTTTTTATCTTCTATCTATTCACTGGAAATTATGCACTGTGTTCTTGACTGCAGAGAAGCATGATATCAAAGTTTCGGTGAATGATATTGTCATCAAAGCCGTTGCTGTTGCTCTAAAGAACGTGCAAGAAGCTAATGGTAATGAGTTCCCTCTAACTTTAGATTGTAGTCTAGAATAGACTATATCAATGAATGGATTTCCTCATCCCTAATTTGTCCAGCTACCATTATAACTCATTTTGATCTCTAAGATAGTGTAAACAGAATAACCATATTTAATCAGTTGGTGTCAACTTAAACTTGAAATTTGTAGATGATCAATTACCCTTATCTGTATTTTAGATGACCTTCCATCAATCATTGAGAGCTTGTTATAAATTTATTGGATGTCTGGGTTTTACGATCTCAAAGTTTAAAGGAGCATACAGCTAATGTTTTGTATTTGGGGAGATGACTGGCTAAACTGAAGTATCTTCTCTTTCATCGAAGTTCTAGTCAAGTCTGAGTTATCATTTGCACTACTTTTTTATTTGTTTCGTTCGCTGTCCTGGGGTCTGTCTGGCTATCGATATTATTCTAGGTTCTCTGTCCTCTTAGCTCTCGGAATGTGCCATCCCTCTTCCACCATCAATATCTTGTTTTATCTGTTTTTCTTCAAATATAATATCAAACGAAGAGAACTTGGAATAGTGATTTGGCTTTTGTGGTGGATTGATCTTAGGGATTTTCAGATCATGACTGATATTTTTATACCAATGCTTGCATTTGCCGTTGCATATTTGAGAAATGTTTGAGCTCTGGTTTCTGATACTAAGTTGTTGCATCAATGTGATGCAGCTTACTGGAATGACGAGAATGGGGAGATCATTCCCTGTGATTCTGTTGATATCTCAATTGCAGTTGCCACTGACAAGGTATATGCTTTCAAAATTTTATGTGTTTGAAGTGTGTCTATAATCTTCCCTAATTATGATTTTATATAAATTTGCAGGGGCTGATGACTCCTATTATTAGAAATGCAGATCAGAAATCCATTTCAGCTATCTCGTTGGAGGTATTTTTAAAACAAAGTTGACACATATTGCCTTGTCTACATGTCCAATCTATTTATTCTTTACCAAGTTGTTTGTTTGGTCTTCGTTGACTTTTTCCTTTGCCTCTTCTAATAGTACTACAAAACCTTATCATAAACTCACTCTACTCAAAAGCTTCCTAACTTGCCATCGACAATGAATATTCATTTCCTCACCCGTCTACCAAGTTGATTTCAGCTTCAGCTGCTTCTTATTCGCTTTTTGTCCTATATTTTCATTTTATTTTTAATACAATTTTGGTTCCAACTATTTTCTAGACCTGATGATTTGTTTTTGAATGGTTGGTCGGTCATCATCTGTTAGAAGAGCTTCCTTTGAGGAATTTCTAATGCCTTGTATTTTTATTTACTGTGCTTTTCCCCTCTATGGTTAGTTTAATAGGAAACCTGAAATGTCAAACTGAAAAGTGGCTTTAACGACAACAGATTCAGTTCAAACTTGACTTTTTTCATGCTCGACCAAATGATTTCAGGTCAAGCAACTGGCTGAAAAAGCTCGGGCAGGGAAGCTTGCCCCACATGAGTTTCAGGGAGGAACATTCAGGTACTTGACGCTGTTGGATTAGTAGATCTCTTCATCTTTTTCCCCTAACTCCCACTCAAGGACACACAAACAAAAAGAAATTTCCTTTAGTTCTGAAACCGTCTCGATTATCATTGTGCAGCATTTCAAACTTGGGAATGTATCCCGTCGACCAGTTTGCTGCTATCATCAATCCTCCACAGGTTCTCCCTCCAACACATCCTTGGTTCCTATCCATATTTCGGCACTGTAATAGCTAACCTAATATATCATTTGTTCCTTTTTATTAGTAGTTTGTGAATCTCTGCAATGCACTGACATTTGCTCCCGTGCTCCTGTGGACATGTTGTATTGATTTGTCCGTTTGAAAAACTTGCAGGCGGGCATACTGGCCATTGGCAGAGGGAACAAAGTAGTCGAGCCAGTGGTTGGTACAGATGGTGAGCGATTGCTTCCCGATTCCAAGAGCTTGTTTGGAGCCATTTTAGAATCAAAATCTAAATGAAACCCTCTTTTCTTTGTGCCAGGAACTTTGATTGCCGCGGTTGTGAACAAAATGACCTTGACTTTATCTGCTGATCACCGGGTTTTTGATGGCAAAGTCGGAGGTTCGTGCCACTGTGCAATTCCATAGTAGTATCAAGTATGGTTGGTGTACTTGAAACTAGGAAAATTTCTGAGTGATGGTTTTCTTTGCAGGTGCATTTCTCGCTGCGCTTAGATCGAACTTCAGTGACATTAAAAGGCTACTTCTGTGAGAGACTAACTCCAACCAACTTGAATAATTTCGCAAGAGGTTGGCCAAAGCAGAGATGTTCTTTCCGGTGGTAGCCTTTAGGGAATCAACCTCTCTTTCCCCCTAATTCTTTGACTCGATACACAGCATTTTTTGGTTATTGAAGAGTTTTCTGTATGAATTGGCTTTGTCCTGCGGACAATGATTTTGGCGTGTGATTTTGGGGTTCCATCCAGAAGAAAGAAGCTTTGCTTGCTAGCGATCACAATAAGGATGCAAAATGAACAACAAACATGTAAGAACTTTGTGCAGAATTGGTCGACTCAATAAATTGTTGATTCCGTGATTAAGAAATCTTGTTCCTTAATGCTGTGCAGAAGATCCAGCAATCTTTAATCTTTTTTATCCGTGCTTGTGCTATCCCGAGTTCTACTCAGTCGGTATTTTATCGTTTACAGTGACTGCAAGGAAGTTCTGAGTTCTTTATCTCAATGCTTCATGCTTGAACGATCATGCGCTCGACCTGAACTGTGCGTCAAGTCCATGTTATGAAATGGATCTGTACAATTTTGGATAGGAATGAAGCATAAAGCTGATGTAAAAACACCACAACTTTGTATAAAAATCGCTTAGTTCATTGCATGGTATACCTTCTCCCAAGTAGTTTATGCTATGCACTCCACCAACTAGATTGAACATAGAAAACATCCTTTGGAACTTCACTTTACAGCATCCTGTTAAGCACGAGTATAAGATGGTAGCCATTCCTCTTAGCTAGGAAGCATAGCATGGAGTTTATCGCATGCTCTGATGGTTCAAGCAGATGCAGGCATGAGTGATGTATGGTTTGGGGAATCCAGTGGCATTAAAAGACCAATTATCCCACTGATAATTTACAACCTTCAACTCTTTTTGCTTTCTCATCCTGCTGCGTACCTGCCTGCGTCTGCTCTAGATGAAGAAACAGAAGCATCCATGAATCTTCCCACCATCAGTGTCTCAGCTGTGATCTGCCAACCAATTTCTTCATTTTATCTCCATCCATACCTCATTCCTTCAGATCAGTTTGCGGAGGGATGGTCTAGAATCACAAAAGTATAAAATTCAAGAATGATAAGATAAATATACCTATAGACTACACCAGAAGACATGGCATATGAAAATGAACAGTGAACTCAAAAACATAAATACAATGGATTAATTATGTTCAATTCCTCACCTACAGATGGATTGCTTACTTGTGCATCTTGGCTGTCCCCTCCGCCGAGGTTACCAGTGGCATCGCCTTCAACCAAACAAGTCTAGCAGCAGCAAAGCAAAAGCAATCTTTCCTTAAGCTCTGACTTCCTCAATAAGTAGTGAGAGTAAAGGGAAAAAAACACAAGGTCCAAGCTGGAACAAAACTATATTCAGCTGTTACGTCTTCCTCAACTTGCAGAAAGCAATTACCTTGCTGGCCATCTCTATGCTCTGGTTCTGATGAGAATTAGAATTTAATTCACAAGTTAATTCGCCATTCCTCGCAGAAACATATTCCACTTTGCTGTCTGGATCATGGAAACTTTCGCTATTGAAATGAGCATGGTTCTTCGGATCACACTGCAATGAACAACATTTACCTATAAGAATTCAGCAATGAAAGCCAACTTCCTAGCGAAGCTAAATTGGGAAGAATAGGTTAGAGAAGCACTCTTACCTGCAGATTGCTTGACGTTGCCATACTCTCTTCTTGTGGACATTCTGTACAAGGCACAATCATTGGAAGCCGGTCGAAATTCCAACCAAGGACCTTGCAAACAACCTGACCAAACGCCCTGTGCGCCTTCTTTTTCTTCGTCTTTGATATAGCCACAGCATGATTGAGAAGCCCTAGACATCCTTTAAACCTTCTCCAACCCTTCTTCCCAATAGCACAGCAGACCAAACAACAAAAGTCCCCACCTTCATGATTGCTTTTATAATAGTTGCTCAGCTCACTGTCCTCTGTGAACAATTTCATAAAGAAACTCAACTCATCAACATCCTTGTTGTCTAGCTCATTATCATCTTCACTTTCCTCGTCGTCGCCATCACTGACCGACTTAGATGTCTCCATAAAGAACATTTTACATTCAACCAATGCCCTCTGCATAAACTGCACCTCAGCAAGCATCGCAGGCTCGTCAGTAGAATTCGCTGTCTTCACTGAACTGGTTTGAGGATCCCAAGCAGGCCACTGAGCATCAGAAACATGTGACAGCTGGGTTCCCTACGGGTAAACGCAAACATATACTTAAGCAATTAAGAACTAAATAATTGATCAAACTGGCACATTCAAATTGCCATCCAACATTCAGCTACATTCAGAAGAAACCTTAACAACATTCCCTGTGTACGAAAGTCCAAGCAAGCACTCTCCGAGGGCATAAACATGCATACGATGATACGAATACTTCTAAATGTTACCTGGTTGGCGCCTAAATTCTGTAAAGAACGACCAAGAGGTTCATCCTTGACAACAATTGCAGGATACTTGCTGAGATCCCATCCAAAAACCCTGAAAATAACATGGCCAAAAGATCTGTGGGATCGTTGCCGCTTCGTCTTTGTAAGCCGCATGGCGTGGTGAACAAGGGTAGTGCAGCTCTTGAACGCTCTCCTCGCGTTAACCCCCATTGCTCCACATACGATGCAACAAAGCTCCCCATTTTCTTGATTTTTCTCATAGAGCTGCCTCAGTTCATGGTCTTCCACAAACAAACTCAGCAGGAACTTAAATTCCTCGCTCTCCTGAACATCACTCGCGGAACCGAGAGGCTCACCCTCTTCTCCTTCCTCGCCACAATCCAAGCCGGGATCACAATCAAGCCTTTTCCGGACGAGGAACTCCTTGAATCTCTCGGCAGCTTTCTGCTGCAATTGCATTGCCGCGAGCTTCGCCGCCGCCCCGTCATTGTCGGAGTTAGACGCTTCCCCATTTTCGCCGGCGGGATTCGGCTTCGAAGCAGGCCAGGGTGAGTCGGACGGAGGCGGAGGTAGCAGCTGAGAGTCGACGGGCCACTCGGGACCAGAACCAGTTTGTTGTTGGTCATGGGGATTCCGTTTTGCGCGCTTGCTTCTCTGTCCGGCACTGACGATGGGGAAGGTCGAAGAACCCAGATTCCTCCTCAATTGATTGGCAGGAGGATGGATATTAGGGTTAGGGTGAGGAAAGTGGGTGAATTGGGTTGCGGGCGGACCTTGCTGCCAGAGATAATGAAGGAAAATGACTTCGTTCATGAGCTGCTTCTCTTGTGGGGTTAAGGGCTCTGTCAATGGCGGTCCGTAAGGATCCATTGGCGCTCAGACGACGAAGAAGAAGAGAGGCTCAGTAGAGTTGTCCGCGCCTCCTTTCTGAAACGTTACAGATTGTTCAGTCAAAGCTGCATGAATTTCGAACCGAAATGGATTTTATATAAGGTGTCATTTTTTTGGTCCCTCAGCTATGATGTTTTGCCTGTTATAGCCCTTGAACTCTTTTATTTTTCTAGTTTAGCCCTTGAACTTCTAGTAATTTCCTAACTAGCCCTTTCCATCCTTAAACCGTTAGGCAGGCATTAACTTCCCAAATGTGGAATTTCATTCGATTCCCACAAGCTAATTCATTGATTTTGTAATTCGTGAAAAATTCCATACTTTTACAGCCAAAACGACGCTTTTGACTAGGCTGGGAAACAGTATATGGTCCAGAGCAAGAGGCTAAAGTATAGACCACAGATCAGATCACAGACTATACGGTCCGGTCCAGACCCCGCCTGTGCGGTCTGGTTCGATCTGGTCAGGTCCAGATATACCACACTCAACGAAAAATGAATAATTTGTTTTGTCAACCACACAAAAAATTGAACCAATAACCAAGAAAAATCATTGTTATTTGCCTTAAAACATTAATCCTAACATGCATGAATAATTTTGATACTTTAAATCTTAGTACATAACAAAGATACAAAGTAAAAACATCTCAGCTTGCACCATAACGTCATAAACATTAACATAATGTCATATGGAGACACTATTATCTCTACTCTTTAGTTAAATGTGGTTGTGAATGAAGGAGGGAAGAGATTCACAAAATTAAGGTTGAGACTTGGGTGTCGTTGTGGGAGTTTGGAGAGTGGTCGAATGGGCTGTTAACACGTATTGACAAGTCAGTTGGGTCCACGGTTTGGTCTGGTAAACCGCGGTCTAGACCAGACCAGACCAAGAGATCAAATCATAAAATAATACAGACCATGGACCAGACCATACTTCACGGTCTACGGTCCGGACCAAACTGTGCGGTACGATTTGGACCACGATTTTTCTAACGGTCTGGTCTATTTTCCCAGCCTACTTTTGACACTAGCTCGCCACTGAATCGTTGAAATTAATAGTTAATTGAGTTAATACTTCAATTTGACATGAACTTTACCCTAAAATAATTTTGGTTGTGGCCAAAGCGTACGACATAATCAACTGGAGTGTCTTATGGTTAGCACTTTTAGCTATGGTCTATTTGATGATTTTGTCGGCTTAATCATGTGAAGAGGTCAGCAGGGCTACATCTACTTCTCCAAGAACAGGAGGAAATACACCAAAGGAGAAATTCAGTAGACTACTTGGCATCAAACAAATTGACATCTCGACAAGTATCTTGACGTGTCGGTTATTCTTGACAAAGCTACACAGGATACTTACAATTTACAAATACATCACGGAGAAATTTGAGCAATACTTGGCTTGCTGGAAGTAGAGGTGACAATTCTCAATCCAATCCACCAACCTATTAAAAATATCCACCTAATTCAATCCATTTAAATCCAATCCTTTTGATCCAAATTCAATTGGATTGGTGGATTTATGGATTGATCCATGGATCCAAATGGCAAATTACGGTTTTGTATCCATACTTTTTATATTTTACATTTTGGTGCCCAAAATTTAAATTTTATACGAAAAATATCGCTGGAAAATTATGATTTGGTACATGAAATTTTTTATTATGCCATTTTAGTACCTGAAATTTTTCATTATGCAATTTTAGTACCTAAAGTTTTCACATTTTACATATTGGTCCTTGGTTGAGGATGTCATTTGGATTCATTGATAATCCACCAATCCATGAATCCACCGATCCATTGGATCCAATCCATGAATTCACCAATCCATTGGATCCATGGATCCACCAATCCAATCCACCAATCCATGGATCAATCCATTTGCCACCTCTAGCTGGAAGGCACGAAGTCTTCCTCTTTGTTGGGCGAGTCACTCTTGCAGTCTCTGTCCTCAACACTCGGCCCAACTACACAATGCAAACGATTGTCTTACCTTGTCACGTGCGCGACGTCATAGACAAATATATCTAGCCCTTTGTATGTGAAGCGAAAGATGGGAACAACAAGGCGCATTTGGTCTATTGGGATAATATTCTCAATTGGAAAGAGGAAGGAGGACTTGGTCTGTGCTCGGCTCGAGCGTATCATAGATTTGAAAATAAGAGACGATAGTGTTACATGTTTCAAAACTATTGTGCACATCGGATAGGTTGGGTTGTCACGTTGATTGAATTTCTTATTAATAATTCCAGTGATGTGGAATGTTGACTGGATCAAATTAACCAAGTTTTTTTTATGAAGAAGAAGGAAATGTCAATTTTATTACTCGCTCAAACATCTGTGATCGCAAAGTGCAAAGGTTTGTGAAACGTTTTATCCTTAATTAACCATGAATTAGTGGATCAGCAACTAATTAAACGAGGAATGAATTTATGCAAACGGCAGCTAGTAGGTCGGCGACGGCCGACGAAGAACAGGAATCAGCGACGAAGTGGGGAACATGTTTCAGTTCCGCTGAGTCCTCTGCATCCACGGGAAAGGTCGACGGAGAGAAGGAAATCGGAGAAACCGTGGATCCAAAAACAGAGAACTTGTGGCTTCCTTAACAAACAGAGGAACAACTTAGCAGTAGTAATTAAGTAATCAGTGATTAAGTAGGAGTTTAGGATGGACAGGAGCCAATAGAACATAAGAATTAGGACAACTGCACAAGCCCAGTAAGTTATGAGGAGCCAACTTGTTCATTCATTGAGGACTTTGTATGTTAACGCGGGAATATTTTGACGAGAATGGAATATCCATTCCCACCATCGACGGTGACTCCAAGACTTGACAATTGGGCGATTTCCCCATCATTGTTTCTTCCCAATATCCCAAAGAGATGCCATTGACATTGACTTTGGACATGGAGCTTCCAACCCACAATACAATTCATACTCAATACTCCTCGTTATTTTAATAATTTTCATTATCCATACTTTTTGTTGATAAAAACTCTGTTTTTGGTGACCCTTTTCTAAAAGGATACATAAATCAGATTACCGCTAATAAAAACTAGCTCCGCAAAAAGATCGGCTTTCAATGCTCTGCTTTTTTCGCTGCTGCTCTCTGTTCAAATAGCTTTTTTGATCGAGCTCTGTGATTCTGTTAATCAGTTTCTCAGGCGACGGGATCCCGAAATCGGAAATCACGGTGTAATTTGTTTCGGGGAACCGTTTGGGGTTTTATGCTTTGTTGATTTTGTTTTTTTTTTTTTTTTTTTTTTTTTATCGATTTCATTCGAGTTGGGAACACGATGGAGCCGGGGCAGGGTACCGTTGTATTCGGGTCGTGGATCCGGAGACCGGAGAGCGTGAATTTGGTCGTTTTGGGGAAGTCGAGAACTAGCGGCGGCCGCAATTTTTCTTCTTCTTCCCCATCTTTGCTCGAGATCTTCTCCTTCGATCACACCACCGCCTCTATTTCCTCCTCTCCCTTGGTTCGTGTTTCATTCCTTCCTCCCCCCGTACTGTGTGCGCAACTCTTTTTCCACCGAGTTTGAACAAAACCCAGTTTCCGTTTCTGATTGTTGCTGCTTTGGTCGAGCTCACAGGCTACGTACGAGTTGGAAGAAGCAGACGGCGATTTAGTTTCTATTGCTGTGCACCCCACAGGAGATGATTTCGTGTGTTCCACTACCCATGGTGGCTGCAAGTGAGTTCCTTTCTGCCCAAAATTTCTTCAATTAGTGGAAAGATAGTGGCTTTATGTCTAGCTAGGTTTCCTTCTGAGTTTCAAAAGGGTTTTGCTTGCTGGATGTATTCTCACTTGTGAGTGAGGTGTTGGTTGATTTTACCCAGTAAAGTGTGTGTCATGATCTGTGGAAGTGTTTCATGGTGAAATTGTGAAAGCAACTCACACTTGAGAGAATGCTGTACCTTGTCATATACTTACAAAGTGGTTTTGTAATTGCTTATCAGATCATTTGAGTTGCATGGCGAAGAAACAAACTTCACGTTACTGGCCAAGGATTTGCCGGCTCTTCAAAGTTTTGGTCCCCAAAAGTGCCTGGCTTTCAGCGTGGATGGTTCTAAATTTGCCTCCGGTGGTGTGGTAAGCAAATTCCATTGAGTGTTCTTTTTGTGCTCTATGATGGTCCTTTTACAAATGCCAGTAGTAAAATGCAGTTGTTTGTTCAATCAACTACAGGATGGGCATCTCAGGATTCTGAACTGGCCAAGTCTCGGCAGCATTCTTGATGAACCAAGAGCTCACAAATCTTTCCATGATATGGATTTCAGGTCAGCTTAGCTGATTATGTACATTCATATTTCTGTGCTAGTAAAAACCACTTTAAGCTTCACATTTTTTCTAAGTAGGCTCTGAATTCTGAAATGTTGTTTTGTTGTTTGTTTGTTTGTTTTATAATGTAGCCTAGATTCAGAGTTCTTAGCTTCAACATCTGTTGATGGTTCTGCTAGAATATGGAAGACAGAGGATGGTTCGCCTGTGGCTTCTTTGGCTCGAAGTGCTGTATGGTTAAACTTAAGTTAAACCCTTTTAGTGTTTGGTCAGTGGTAGTTTTTTCCCCACCTTGATGCAGACTGTTTTTCTTTTTGTATAACAGGATGAAAAGATCGAATTATGCCGATTCTCCAAGGACGGGACAAAACCTTTCCTGTTTTGTGCTGTTCAGAAAGGTAAACCTGTCTGGCGTAGGCTTAATGATGCACTTTTGTAGCATTTCTAAGGTTGATTAAACCCATCAAGCTTGGTCTAAACTCAACTTTTGATCATTAAACAGGTGATAAGGCTGTCACTTCAGTTTATGATATAAGCTCGTGGAAGAAAATTGGCTTCAAGAGACTTCTTAAAAAGCCTGCTTCTATCATGTCTGTGAGCCTGGATGGGAAATATCTTGCCCTGTAAGTAGTTGTGTAACATGTTGGAGTTTGACTGTTAATGTCGTATCCTTGCCATAAAGATGACTCATCGTATGAACCAAGTTCGTCTCACATTCGTAAAGATGACTACGTTGTTGCATTATTGAAATGAAAATATGGGGAACTTTGATAATCTTTATTATTCAGTGTCTGTTACTAGACAGTTCGAGTTTGCTAGATAAGAGGCCATGATTATGCTGTAGAACACTGGGAGTGCTTTCTTGTTACTCGAGTAGGATTGTATTCTCTTGTATGTCCTTCTCAATTTCCATGATTGTCTCCTGACATTTTTGAAAAACAATTCCATGATTGTAGGGGAAGTAAGGACGGCGACATATGTGTAGCTGAAGTGAAGAAGATGGAAGTCAGCCACTGGAGCAGGAGGCTGCACCTTGGTACAAACATTACATCTCTGGAGTTCTGTCCCAGCCAGAGGTAACCTCTCTCAATTTCTACTAGCCACACCAATACCGTCCTTGTTTTAACCTACTCCCTGCATTTGTAGTATCTTACCTTTTCCAGTTAGCATCGAAACTCCTCGGCTCTGGGAATCCAGTTAGTATATATACATTCCTGGTTCCTGGAACAAGGCCAAGTTGTGGACCGTCGTCCATCTACTATTCGACTCTCGCTTGTCGCTTCCTTGTTCGGTAACATAGATGTCTGATATTGTGGCCATCTGATTTTGTGGTACAGGGTTGTGCTTACCACCTCGAATCAGTGGGGAGCCGTTGTGACAAAGCTAACTGTCCCAGCAGATTGGAAAGGTCTCCTTATCCCTTTCCCTCTTTGATCTCCATATACAATATGCCTGTGTCCCTTTGATCATGAACAAGGCGATAGAGAGCGAAGACTGACCTCATACTCCTCTTACTTGATCAACTTGCAGAGTGGCAAATCTATGTGCTGCTACTGGGACTGTTCTTAGCATCCGCCATTGCGTTCTACGTTTTCTTCGAGAACTCGGATTCGTTTTGGAACTTCCCTCTTGGGCGTGATCAACCGGGCAGATCGATGATTCAACCCATCTTTGGGGACACGCAGTCCTCCCCTGAAGACCCATTCGGGCCTGTAGATTTGTGACCCGACAGAGTACAGAGTGCTGTTTTAAGCCTGTAGAAAACCCCAGCAGCAGCTAAATGGTGGACAAAAATAAGGGAACTTTGGTAGTTTTTGTTAACACGTTTTGGGATTTCCTCATGAATAGTAGTCGAAGAATTCTAACACAGCGGCTGGTAGCTTTAGCTCCATCTGGTGTTTCGTTTGTCATTAATCCTTGACAGGAAATACAAATTTCAGGAAAATCCAGGAATCATTTCGAAGCTGTAAATTTGTATAAGAATGTGTGTTATATTCATGGAGTTCAAACTTCAAAGGACTTGTTTTACATAGATTGAAGCTCACAAGAACTTACCAGGCGCTTATATGCTACAGTAACTCCATCAATTTCACCGTGAACTGAATAATGATCATCATTTTGTACTCCATAAAATTTGACTATTTTGAAAGAAATAAAAGGTTTGACCACTTTATTGCATTAGAATTTGTTATTAAACATACCTTCTTGGTATTGTCCGACCCGACCTACTCTAAATCGGTATTACTCAACTCGTAGTAGTAGTATGGGGCGGTATATGGATTACCTTCTACTTATCTTGTTTTGCTTTGTCAATTTTAAACCCGTTCCATTTTAATTTGTTTCGATATTTATTTCTGTTTATCATATTTTCATTAAATGAAACTTAAAATAGGTATAAGGCTTGATTTTTAAATTATTTAGACTCAATTACTCATTCTATTATTATTATTTTCTTTTCATAAAAAAATTTCATGTAATTTATCATACAAATTTAAAATTTATTATTTTCAAATAATATGTGAAAGTAAATCGTTATACTTGATTCGTACCCATACCAATTATCTAATATGACTTGTGCTTGGTGCGAACGAGTAAGTATTGAGATATCCTCCCATCGATCAGATTTGCCAATTAATTTTTGCCAATTAATTCAATTTTTATCTCTACACGAGTCAAAAACAGTGCTTTACGCGCCACTCTATGGGCAGCACTGTTGGCGGATCTAGGTACCGCCCTAAACTCTATACAAACAGACAAAGAGCTTAGGATCTGAAGACACTCTCGTAACACCGGACCACCAATCGAGACTTCTAAGATGCATTGAAAGGCTTGGTTGACGTCCACTTCGGAATCACCTTCGACTATCACGAGGTTCAATGATCTTGAGGCTACAAAGGAGATAGCATCCCTGAAAGCTATAAGCTCTGCCAGATAATGGTTGACTATTCCTTGAAGCTGCAGCCCGTATTGTAAGCTTTTAGGGGGTCCTGAGTAGAATTGTAAGTTTAACTATGATTTTTTATTGATATCTCTCAGAAATAAAAAAAAATTAATTCAATTTTTATTAAAAACCATAATCCTGCAAGAAACAAGAATCCAAGAAATCACGCGGTAATGAAATTTAGCGTCTCCACTTGGCGCGCTGTCGTTTCAACGAGAAAGTAACATTTAAAAAAAAAATAATAATCAAATCACAGAAAGAGGAACACGCACAGTTCTTCGCTCCTTTCCCTGTCTTACCACCACTCCAAAAAAATGCTAACTATCACACCACCACTCCCCCGTTAACACGCGAATCTGTCCGTCCGGTCCCCTACATTTTCTCCGGCGACACAATTCCCCGGCTTCCCACATGTTCCGATACTCCCAGCCTCCCGAAGTCGACGAAGCTGCCACCACCACCACCACCGCCGCCGCATCCAACGGCGCCGACGACGCCGTCGCCGATCAGACCTCTCACTCGATCCGGGACCGCCTCCGCTTCAAGCGCAATCCGAACCAGGCCACATCCCCGACCGCCAGCACCTCCGGCCGGGGAGCCAAATCTAGAGAGGATCGCGCGCCTTCGCTGCGGAGCAGATGGCATCACCACCACCACCACGGGGCGGGAGGAGGGCGACGGAAGAGCTGGCTCGCGTTCCGCGGGGTTTATTTGTTCTACTTCGTCGTGGCATTCTCGGTGTTCGCGTTCGCCATCGCGTCCGTGCTGTTGCAGAGCTCCGTGACTTCAATGATGTTTAGTACCGGATGGAGCGAGCAGAGGAGATCGGCGGGGGAAGGGTTGAGGTTGGGGACGACGTTGAGATTCGTGGCTGGGGGGAGATCGCGGCCGCTGGTGGAGGGGCAGGGGCTCGATCGAATCAGAATGCAGCGGGTTGCTCGAGTGGGCCTCCGGGCCCCTAAGCTTGCTGTTGTGAGTCTCTCCTCTCTCTCTCTCTCCATCCCATTCCTTTCGTTTTCAATTTTTCACGCAAGTCTACTGTGCCTATAGCCGTGCAATGGAGTTACGAAAGTCTGCCTCTGTGGTACGCGTTCGTTCTTCTACTTCCTTATTGTTCTTTCCCAACCACTGTTCCAATTTGAGCTTTTCTCACTGTAGCAAGAACATGAGTATGTGAGGCTTTTGATGTTTGTGGTTGGGGCAATTGCATTGCATTTTGTGTTGAGAATTGGTGATGAGGTTAGTTTTGGGGGCAATCAATGAGATAATGCTGTTGGGTCTAGTGTGCTTGCTTTTTCAGTATGAGCTTACAGTTTATTGTGGATCATATCTGCTGTGATTTTGGATGGGATAGTTTTTCAACTTTAGCGGGGACACATCTTGAACTGCCATGAACTAGTTAATGGATCGTTGTGGTGGATTGAGCGAGCTTGCGCTATTATGTTCAAGTATTAGTGGAGGTGCCGTGGAAAGACTTTACTGGTTCTTAATGCACGATATGAACTGATACCTTTGATTTCCTTGTGGCGACCCATTCAATAAACATCATAATCAATTTATTTTCTGGCAGATCGTCATACGTCGACATCCATTTCAGGTTTTAGATAGTTAAGAGATTGTGATGAAACTATTCGAGACAAGAATCAGTGTGTGGCCATATTTTAAAGTCCTGGCCAATTTTCAGTTCCCTGTCGCAATGTCAATTATCGGCTTATGATTCTGCCATCACTTAGCATTAGGAGGTCCTAACTAATGTACCAGAATTGTGTAGCTTTGGGTAAAAGAGTTTTAAGCAGTTCTTATTTGCTTGTCTTGAATCTGATTCAATTAATTGCTGCTTGTTCTGAATAATGTCAGATTTTAGGAAACGTGAAGAAAAATCCGCAGTTGTTGATGTTGATTACGTTGATGAAGAATCTAAGAAATCTTGGCTATGCACTTCAGGTGACCCCCCTTCCCTTTCTTTCTCTGTTATCCTATCCTATTTAGTTGTCATATACTCTGTTTCATCTGAGTTAAGTCAAGCCATCATCTCTTCAAACTTCGATCTAGGCAATTCTATGATCGACCTCATTGTGTGAATTTATCTAAACAAATTGGTGGAGGGCCAATTCTCTGTGTTGGCGTATTTAACTTCTACTTTAGAAGGGCTAATGTATGCCAGAATGCCTATTTGACAGATTTATGCACCAAAGGATGGTAGAGCACAATCAGTATTGGAGCAAACTGGTGGTCAATTATCAATACTACCGAATGAGAACTATAGCCATGTCGATTGGTCCATGTATATTTCTTCACAATATTTCTCATGACCTATCATTGTAGACTTTTCTTACTTTCACAACTTGACTGCTATGCGGTTGTGGAGCTAGTAGACATTTCTTGTGCATATTCTAATTCTGAGCGATCTCTACATTAATGGTTTTTTTGTAGGTTTGACGGTATTATTGTTGATTCACTTCAAGGAACAGAAGCCATGTCGAGGTCAGCTTATTCTGTTCTATATTTTCTGTTGATTCCTCGAACTTCATGATTTCCATGTTCCATTGATTTCTTAGTTTAAGCTTTGGATGCTCAGGGATACAGTCTCTACTTTAAAGACATTCTGATTCCTATTTTTTCAAAGTGTTGAAAGTCTCGTGTATGCTTCTGCGTGTCTTTAATCATATTGCCCTGGATGATTGTGGTGTGTTTTGTTATTCTGTACACAGAATGTTGTGTACTCCGAAGTGTTGTTGTCAATTTAAGGAATCGTTACCAAGTTATAATAGCCACTGTCAGGGTTCTTGTATAGTGCATGACACAGAATATAGTGAACTTTTATGTAAGTTTGCACAAAGAAGGGATTAAGTGTATAGGAGGAAAGCAATATGTTAATGGAAATTGCTATGAACTCTAAGTAGATGGAATTGAATGTATATGCTTAAGCCCATAATCTATTTCGCTAAGAGTTTTCTTCTTGGATTCGTGTGTATGAAGATGATTATTGACTGTTTGCTTTGGTTTGATATGCTCTGGATAGTGATTTTATATTTGTGCAGCCTTATGCAGGAGCCTTTCTGTTCAATACCGGTTATCTGGATAATACAGGAAGATGCACTTGCTAATCGTCTTCCAGTATATGAGGAAAAGGGCTGGACACAGCTTGTGAGTTACTGGAGGAGTGCGTTTAGAAGAGCCAGCGTTGTAGTTTTCCCAGATTTCACCCTGCCGGTACATATTGCATCATGTTTTTTTTTTGTCTTATCTGGAATCAGCCGTGTAATAAATGTTCTTCTTGTATCAGATGTTATATAGTGTGGTTGACCCTGGAAACTTCTTTGTGATTCCTGGATCACCGGTAGATGTCTGGGCTGCAGAAATCTATGGGAAGACTCATGACAAGCATCAGCTAAGGATGAACAATGGATTTGATAGAGAAGATATTGTAGTTTTAGTTGTTGGCAGTTCCTTCTTCTACAATGAACTGTCATGGGACTATGCTGTCGCAATGCATTCCCTGGGTCCCTTACTTGTAAAGTATGCCAGAAGAAACGATGCTGAAGGATCATTCAAATTTGTCTTTTTATGTGGCAATTCAACTGATGGTGATGCTATACAGGTAACCATTCATTAGAGCAAATTGATGTTGCATTTTCAGTTGAAGCATTATCTTCTAATCATTTTGGCCAGAGCCTATTCTTACAAGGACCTTTCTCTATATGTATGTGACGTCTATTTTCCAGTTTGCACATATGAAATCCGATAGCCTGCAAAATAGTTGTTTTTTTTCAGGTGACACACTAGGTCTGAAACTTGGGGCCAACATCACCTATTAGAGAGAAAAGCTTGTTGTCTGCCTGAGAAGGATGTTCTGGAATTTGAAGTGGATGAGAAAGTAGCAATCAACCTGATTATCATAAACGTTTAAATGTGCAAAACATTCTCCATATATGTGTGATATCGTTTGAGTGTTTCCTGTAAAGCTATCATTGAGTCAATCATCCAGGAAATAAAAAGATATTATTTAAGCAGTTGATGCATTCATTTCCTTTGCTTTGTTAGTCTGTCTCTGCAAGTTGAATTTTTTTCATTTCATACAAACTCGCGCAATGATAAGGATGCATGAGCTCTTGGAGTCAAGAAATTTGAACAAAATCATGGGAAAAGTTGCCGTGGTGAATTTAATTTGAAATTTACTTTCTTCTGATGATGTTTCTTTTATTGCTCTACTTTATGGTCCTCGCAAGTTTATTTAATACCGAGTCTAATCTTTTCCTGTAGGAAGTTGCTTCTGGTTTGGGACTTATTCAAGGTTCCGTAAGGCATTATGGTTTAAATGGTGATGTCAACAGTGTGTTGTTGATGGCAGACATAGTTCTTTATGGTTCTTCTCAGGATGAGCAGGGTTTTCCTCCTTTGATAACCCGAGCTATGACCTTTGGAATCCCTGTTATGACACCTGAGATTCCCATTATGAAAAAATATGTGAGTCCATATTGGCAGGTCCAATCTTAATGTCCTCACACCCTGCTTTCATTGTTTCTTTTCATTTTAGTTGGCTCTTCTTTCCCATTCATGATGTGATTCAATTATCTGCAGGTTTCTGATGAATCCCATGTGCTATTTTTCCCCAAGTATGACCCTGAAGCTTTGATGAGGACTTTCTCTCTTTTGATATCAGATGGAAGTCTTTCTAAACTTGCTAGAACTCTTTCTGTCTCTGGAAGACTATACGCTAAGGATATGCTTGCCTCTGAATGCGTATCTGGTTATGCTAAGCTTTTAGAGAATACACTTTCCTACCCCTCTGCGACTTTGCTACCAGCTTCCGTGGATCGGCTTCAACAGGTCACATGGGAATGGTCCTTGTTTGGTGAGGAGATAGATGGGGAAGCTGTTGACTCTAATATTAGAGGTTTGAGTGTTGTTCAGAATCTTGAAACAGAGGTTCAGGATCTTGTCACGTCTGTAAATACCTCTGAGATCGCAACAGAGATATGGGAGTCTGATGGTTTGACCAAGTTAGATTGGGACGTATTAGACGAAATAGAAAGTTCTGAAGAATTTGAGAATGTGGAGCTGGAACAGGTATGTTGTGATCTTCTTGACAGATCAAATTATAACGTCACCCTTTACACTCCAAAGTTTAACAACAATCATAAAGCCCTTTTTGGTTAAAGTTACAAAATGACCCTGACACCCGAGTGCAGGGTTGATCCTTGTCAACCCAACAAAATACTTATTTCTTTCCTTATGATTTCGCGTTGTTTTCGTTTTAACCTATGGATTTATCTGTAGGTTGAAGAGAGGATGGACAAACACCCAGGCGTGTGGGATGAGATATACCGCAATGCAAGAAAAGCTGAAAAACTAAAGTTTGAAGCTAATGAAAGGGACGAGGGAGAGCTGGAACGGACAGGACAGCCAGTTTGTATTTATGAGATATACCCTGGAGCTGGTGCCTGGCCGTTTTTGCATCATGGTTCCTTGTATCGCGGATTAAGTCTGGTAAGTTCATTCCGTTGGCTCTTTTCTCGTAGTTTTGATGAACTACTTTCATTGTGTTCTTCGTACGATCTCTTCCTCTTTTCCTGTTTCAGATTTCAACTCGTTAGTTAGTTGATTGAGTTTATGGTTTGGGAGTTCTCATTGCACCTCTTTTGTTTAATCATTGCTAACTTGCTTCCGTCAGTCATCAAAAGCTCGGAGATCAAGATCAGATGACGTGGATGCAGTGGCCCGCCTCCCTCTATTGAATGACACATACTATAGAGATATATTATGCGAGATGGGTGGAATGTTTTCAATTGCAAACAAGGTGGACAACATTCACAAGAGACCTTGGATTGGGTTCCAGTCTTGGCGTGCTACGGGTAGGAAGGTATCTTCAGTTTTGCTGTGGACATTCTATTTGTTTCCCATAGCACTTTTTGCCATACACAAATTTTGTGATTGTGGTATCAACTGTGTGTCAGAATCTAGTTAGCTTAGATCTTTGATGTCTCGTATCCTAATCACTCAGCTGTGTTTATTGGAACAGGTTTCATTATCTCCTAAAGCTGAAAGAGTTCTGGAAGAGAAAATACGGAGAGAGACTGTAGGAGATGTAATATACTTTTGGACACGATTGGACATGGTTTATGAAGCTACAGCAGGCAGTGTCAAACTAGGCTTCTGGTCTGTGTGTGACTTACTAAATGCAGGGCACTGCAGGTATCTCATTCTAAGTTTCGTACCATACTTAACAACTTGAAAATACATTTACATTCACGAATGTAACTGCTGCTTCTCTACGTGCAGAACGACTTTCAAAAATGCATTTCGTCAGATGTATTCCTTGCCATCACATCTAGAAGGTCTTCCACCAATGCCAGAAGATGGAGGTCACTGGTCCGCCTTGCATAGCTGGGTGATGCCAACCCCTTCATTTTTGGAGTTCATTATGTTTTCAAGGTAAGCATACAAAGAAAGCCACCCTCTATCCAAACTGAACACTAATTTGACATCTTACAAATATGTGCATCTGCAGAATGTTAGTCGATTCCCTCGACTCTTTGCAAGCCGATTCTAGTCAAGTATGTACATTGAGTTCCTCAGAAATTGAGGTGAGAGATGCTTCATTACCTCTTGGTTTTGTCTAAAGCAAGTACACTTTTGGGTAAAAATATAATAATGTGGGGTCTCATGCTAATATACGAACAGGAAAAGCACTGCTATTGTCGAATAGCAGAGCTCCTCGTGAATGTCTGGGCTTACCACAGTGGAAGAAAAATGGTCTACATAGATCCAGAAACCGGCATTTTCGAGGAGCAGCACTCGATCGAAGAACGCAAGGGAGCAGTCATGTGGTCGAAGTACATGAATCTAACACTGCTGAAGAGCATGGATGAAGACCTCGCCGAGGCAGCTGACGACGGCGACCTGCTGAGGGAAAAGTGGCTGTGGCCACTGACAGGGGAAGTGCATTGGCAAGGGATCTACGAGAGGGAGAGAGTGGAACGGTACCGCCAGAAAATGGACAAGAAGAGGAAGAACAGGGAGAAACTGGTCGAGAGAAATAGGATAGGATACAAGCAGAAACCACTCTGACACCTCCGCCCGTCAGCTGCTTTGATCATTCGGAAGTAGGAAGAAGATCCATAATGTACAACAATGTCGACAAAGACTCGCGAATCGAACGTTGATTTTTTCCGCCTTCCTGAAAGTCGCCTTGGCCGCCGCGGCGGGCTTCAGATTCGCGCGAGTCTGACTCCTAACACGGATGAAGGTCACCCAGATCAACCTGTAACCCATTCTCTCAGAGCTCAGTCAGGTAAGGAAAGTGCTTGTTAGCATTTTTCTGTTTCTCTAAACTATTCAGCACCATCCAGCTATTTCCCGGGGATTCCGTTGTAAAGAAGGTAGAAACAGGAAGAAGAAGAAGCAGCAGCGCTTTCCTCCAGTTGCCGCCATGGAAGGAGAGAATCGATTAGTTGGTTGGTTGGTGCCATTTTTGGTGGGAAGTTAGTACTACCATGAATTAGCAATTCTTTTTCTTAATTTTTTGGTAAACAATTTTACGGACTCAAGTAGTTGGAGATTGGTGTAATTCTTTATCTGTACAAGCAGTGGAAGTAATACATACTTGATCAAAAAATCACACACGTTTTGCAAATCTCAATCTGAATCCATCGTCGACGACGAACCCGCCGCAGTTGCAAATCCTAAAGCAATCACAATATCACTGATCATGGAATGGCTTCATCAAATCATCAACAGGCGCTTACATCCTGTGTTTGTTTTGTTTGTTGTTCTCATTTCTCAACATACTGTTGTTACAAATGCCCTAGGAAATAAAAAAATGCAGAGGCAATTGCTGCTGCTGCTGCAGCTTCAACTCAATTTGAGAGCACTACTCACTGCCGCGCTTCGCTGCTTCTTCGTCGATTATGGCGAGACAGAAGCTCGGTGTTCAATTCAAACACAGGCTACGAACACAATCGCTGAATCATTCATTTCCTTTTGTGGTGGTGTGGTCTTGAAGGAATCCCAAGTCGAGCCCTCAAATTCGCACCTGCCTGAACGAAGTCCTCGACCTGCGACGAAAATTACCATTCTCAAAACCCTAGGCTAAATTATTTCTTCATTTGCAGCAGCAAAACCACGAGGCAGATGGAAAGGAAACATTACAGGAAAGGCTGATGGAGAGGCGAGAGTGAAAAGGGAAAGATGATCGGAACCTTGTGGATGCCGGAAGCGTGAAGGGCGGAAACGGAGGCTGCGGCTGCGGAGCCGACGAAAAGGGAGGCGACCGCGAAGGCTTTAAGCGGCATCAGACCACAGGATCCGTCGTAGCCTCTCCGGAGCGACGTAATGCCGCATGCCGTTAGCATGGCGCTTCCTGCACCCCACCAAACCCAACGGATTTCATCGCCGCCGCCGGCGGCGGCAGCGGGTTGATTTGCGTCCTCCATATCTCTCCTTCCCGGCGCACACCAGTTTTTTTTTTTTTGGCCTATTCCTCGATCGGAACTGGAACTGAATACTGATCAGTGATCACTCTTTCTTTTGTAGCAGTCTTACAGGCCGCGGGGCTTGGGCTTGAGCTGCGGGCCAATAATAATAAGAAACCTAAAGCCCATCAACTAAGTGAATGAAAAAATCGAATTCCCTTCTCTATACGTTGTCCACCGCCAACATATATAAGGAACGTTTTATTCGATTCGATAAGATCTTATCCAAATATCAATCTAGTACGAATCAACTCGTTGCACACCACTGTTTGTAACAAAAGTTAATGTTAAACCAAACTTATGAAAGAAGAGATAAGGCCAGTGGTAAGACTACTAAGGTGATTGATGTGATGGACCATAAATAAAGCCTGGTGTAGAAAACATTCATGTCGTTCGAGCTTAGCCTCGAAGGCGTGGAGATGCTTAAGAGCACGTTATGGTCAATGAGACATGGTGCGAAACTAACGGAAGCACTCAGCAACCAGAAACAAGGTAACCAAATTTGTGACTGGGTGCTATGGGAGCTTGATTGCAGTCAAAGATAAGCTGGATAACTACCAACCCATAGAACCATGTGAAATTGTGAATAACTGCTACTAGCCACTTAGAGTGCATAGCTATGGAACTCGACAACTAGTAGGGATGGCAACAAAACCCGAACCCACGGGTACTGTCACGACCTTACTCTCGATCGTGCGGCCCTAGCTCTCAATTCCGTTAGAGCGCTAGGCAGCCTTTCTCTCAACTCACTTGAAAGCAAAGAACAAGAACAAAGACAAAGGAAATGGGAGAACTCTCTAGTGTGTATTACTCTCAAAAATGATGGAATGAGTACAAATGAGGGAGATGGCTCCTTATATAGGCCTCTCCACATACAAGGCATCAATGCCCCTCATAAAGTCCCTCTACTACATCAATACACCCCATTAAGTCCCCCCATTATGCACTCTACCAATGTCACCATTATGTGACTCATAAGTGCACTATAAAGCTCTACATTATGGTGGAGAATCCTAGGAGCATCTCTATGCTACTAGTCTTCCATGCATGCCACATGTGCTGCTGCCATGTTGTCACCTTGTTGGCGCCATGTCATCTGCCACATGTGACATCCTCCCCCACCTATGCTCGCGACGCCCTCGTCGCGTCCTCTTGATGGAATGCCTCGATCAAGTCCTTGTTCTTCCAAAGCGTGAGCTCTTTCTCCCATGTTGCTTCACTCTCCGGAAGGTTGCGCCACTTGACTAAGTACTCCACAAAGCTTGGATGTACGCCGCGACGAGGAATGACACGACGCGCCATGATTTCTTCGACTTCATGGTCGTGTGTCTTGGTGACGAGTGCTGGTGCGCGCTGCGGCTCCCTTCGCTGCTCGTCCTCCTTGTCTTCGTGGTAAGGTTTGAGTTGGCTCACATGAAAGACCGGATGGATCTCCAAGTGCGTCGGCAGCTCTACCTTGTATACCACATTGCCAATTCTCTTCACGATAGGGAATGGCCCTTCATAGCGGCGAAGCAGTCCCTTGTGCACGTTCTTGAGATGCTTGAAGCGATGATGGTAGAACTTGACCATCACCATGTCTCCCTCTTCAAACTCCAAGTGCCGCCGCTTCTTGTCCGCCCATTTCTTCATCTTCCTGCTAGCGCGGGCTAAGTAAGACTTGGCCATCTCCATCTTCTCGTGCCAGCCTTTAGCGAACTTGTAGGCCGCCGGACTGTTGCCTCTATACCCCGTCGCCACCGTCGTAGGTGTCAAAGGTTGTTGCCCCGTCGCCAACTCAAATGGACTCGTGTTGGTCGACTCGCTGCGGTGTAAGTTGTAGGAAAACTGCGCTGTGTCCATCAACTTCACCCAATCTCGTTGGTTTGCACTCACGTAGTGCCGCAAGTACACTTCCAACAAGGCATTCACCCGCTCCGTCTGTCCGTCGCTTTGAGGATGAAATGCCGTCGAGAAGTTCAAGTTTGAGCCCATGATCTTGAACAACTCTCGCCAAAATCTGCCCGTGAAGCGCCCATCTCTGTCGCTCACGATGCTGCTAGGAATGCCCCAATACTTGACCACGCTCTTGAAGAATAGTCGTGCCGCATCCTCCGCCGTTAAGTCTTTTGGCCCAGGAATGAACACTCCATACTTCGAGAATCTGTCCACCACAACCATGATGCAACCGCATCCATCGACTTTGGGAAGTCCGATGATGAAGTCCATGCTCACACTCTCCCATGGTCGTTGGGGCGTGGGCAAGGACTCTAGCAAGCCTGCCGGGCTTCTATGCTCCATCTTGTCTTGTTGGCACACAAGACAAGTCTTCACATACATCTCCACGTCGTCTCTCATACGCGGCCAGAAATATGCTTCTTCGATGAGCGCTTGCGTTCTCTCGATGCCGGGATGGCCCGCCCACTTGGAATCATGGCACTCCTTCATGATCTCCTTCCTCAAGTTGGCCCATCTTGGCACGAACACCCGCTCTCCCTTGGTCATGATGAGCCCATCCTTCATCCAAAACCGTCGAGTTTTACCTTGCTCAATGTACTCCGCTACGGTTTTGGCGAAGGGATCATGGCCAAGGCCTTCAACGATCCGCTCCTTCAAAGGAAACGTGGGCTGGCTGATGCTTGCGGCTGCACTCTTGCGGCTAAGAGCATCGGCAACGGAATTCGCCTTGCCTGGATTGTACTCCATGACGAAGTCGAACTCGGCCAAAAAGTCTTGCCACCTCGCTTGCTTAGGGGTGAGCTTCTTCTGCGTCAGAAAGTAGCTCGTTGCCACGTTGTCCGTCTTCACAACGAACTTTGACCCCAACAAGTAGTGCCTCCATGTGCGCAAGCAATGCACCACGGCCGTCATCTCCTTCTCTTGAACGGTGTATCGCCTCTCCGTCTCGCTGAGTTTCCGACTCTCGAAGGCAATGGGATGCCCTTCTTGCATCAACACGCCCCCAATTGCAAAGTCGGATGCATCGGTCTGCACTTCGTAGGCCAACGTCGGGTTGGGGAGCACGAGCACGGGCTCCTTCATCACCGCTGCTTTCAAGGCCTCGAACGCTTCTTGGCACCTTTCCGACCAATCCCACGCCTTGTTCTTCTTCAAGAGATCCGTTAAGGGTGCTGCAATGTTGGAGTAGCCCTTGATAAACCTCCGATAGTAGTTGGCAAGGCCGAGGAATGACCGCAACTCTGGCACCTTCGTCGGCGGCTCCCATTCTTGGATTGCCTGCACCTTTGCTCCATCCATCTTCAACTTGCCTCCACCAATGATGTGCCCCAAGAATGGAACCTCCGTGGCGGCAAATGTGCACTTCTCCCTCTTGACGTACAACTCGTTGTCGCGAAGGACTTGTAAGACTTGGCGTAGATGCTCGGCATGCTCATCGAGTGTTTTGCTATACACGACGATGTCATCCAAGTAGACCACGACAAACCGGTCCAAGAATGGCTCGAACACTTGATTCATCAAAGTGCAAAACGTGGCTGGTGCGTTGGTGAGACCGAATGGCATCACAAGAAACTCGTAAGAGCCATACCTCGTCACACAAGCCGTCTTTGGCTCGTCGCCCTCTGCTATCAGCACTTGATAGTAGCCCGAGCGAAGATCTAGCTTGGTGAACCACATTGCATCTCCAAGCTGGTCGAACAAGTCGGCAATGTTGGGAATCGGCCACTTGTTCTTCACCGTCAACTTGTTGATGGCTCTATAGTCGATGCACATCCGAAACGACCCTTCCTTCTTCTTTTGGAACAGCACCGGTGCTCCAAAAGGTGACTTCGATGGCCGCATGTAGCCTGCGTCCACCAAGTCCTTGAGTTGCCTCCGCAATTCTTCTAACTCCGGTGGCGACATGCGGTATGGTGCTCGCGAAGGGGGCTTCGCTCCTGGCTCCAACTCGATCTTGTGGTCCACCTCTCTTCTTGGTGGCAGCTTCTTGGGCAACTCCGATGGCATCACATCATCGAACTCTTCGAGGACACCTTCGATGATGGGAGTTGTGATTCCCGTTGAGCCTCCTTCTTCCTCCATCTTCAAGGACACAAGAAAGGTTGGTTCATTCTTCTTGAACCCCTTCACCACTTACATGGCCGATAGAGCACTATGGGGACCGTCTTCTCTCAAGAGATGAACCGAATGGAACTCCCCTTCTTTCTCCAAGCACATCGTGTTGGAGTTGGGCTTCAAAAGCACTCCCTCCTTGTCGAGGAAGTGGATGCCGAGGATGACTGGGTGATCGTCCATGGTGACGACGGAAAAGTCGATGAGGCCTTCCCACTCGCCAAGCTTCATTGGTACGTTGTGAGCAACTCCATGAATCAGGATGGACTCCGAATTGATCGTCTTGAGCCTCCCTTGCCCCTTCTCGTAGGCAATACCCAGCCGGTTTGCCTCCTCAACGCGAAGAAAGTTGTCCGTGGCACCGGTATCCACCAAGGCTTTTGACTCGCCTTGAATGAATTGCGCCAGAACATAGCACCTCCCCCCGCTTGCTCTCCTTGACGTCGGTCTTTGCCGCGCCAAGCTTGCGGATTGAGCCAATCTTGGCCTCCGCCGCCTTGGGCTCCTCATCTTGAGCTTCCATGGCTGCTAATCTTGTCTTCCTTGGGCAATCTCGCACTCGATGTGGTCTGTCGCAAAGGAAACAAGTCATGGATTTTGGCTCGTACTTACCCCCTTTGCTTGAACCACCTTGGTGTTGTTGAGTGCGAGAACCCTCCTTGAAAGGCTTCTGCTGTTCTCCACCCTTGTTGGGCTTCGAACTCTTCTCTTTGCCGCTGCTCTCTTATCGTTTGTACTCGACAAAAGACTCTGTCGTGGCCATGGCAGTTGCAAGGTCTTGCACTCCTCGACGTTGCATCTCCATCTTGGCCCATGGTTGCAGCCCATCAAGAAAGCCGTGCATGGCCTCCTTGTCCGTGATGTCCGGGATCTCTAGAAGCAGCTCCGAGAATTCTTTCACGTATTCTCGAACTCCACCCCTCTGGGTGAGTCTTCTCAACTTCGAACGGGCTTCAAACTCCACGTTCTCTGGGTAGAACTGCCTCTTGATTTCTCTCTTGAAATCTTCCCACGTTACCATCACACAAGTACCTCTTTCGACATCCGCTTCACGTCGCCTCCACCACACCATGGCAACATCAACCAAGTAAAGTGGAGCGGTACGAATCTTTACCTCATCCTCTTGGATGCCGGACGCCTTGAAGTACTGCTCAAGACTCCAAAGGAAGTTCTCTAACTCCCTCGCATTCCTTGAACCTCCGAAGCTCTTCGGTCTTGGAATATCAGCACGTGGGACGGATTGCACCGTGGCTGGTCCGCTAGCCATGGCTCTCTTCACGAGAGTAACCTCACTCTTGAGATCTGCAATCTCCTCCTTCACGCCGACCAGCTCAGCCTGGACTTGCTCTTTCACAACTCCAATGGTGTTGTTCAAGGATGTGGTGATGGTGTTGTTGATGAGGGCCACAAGCTCTTCTCGTAAGCCATCTTTACCAATCTCCAAGCTCGACAAACGAGCATTCATACCTTGAAAATCGCTTTCGACTTGGGTGAAGTTTGCTCCCAAATCCTCGATGGCACTGATGTCTTCCGCCAACTTCACCTCCATTCTAGAGACACGCCTCTCTAGAGACGTCATAGGATCACGAGTGCTTGACTTGTCACCCTTTGGTTTGGGATTCTTCACGGTATCCCTTCCACGGTGCTTCTCCGCATCGTCGTGGACTTCTGATCCAGTCATCTTTGGTGAGGTTCTTCCTTTCCTTCTGGCTCTAGGTTCAACTTTGCTAGCACAAAGCCGAACCAGGCTCTTATACCACTTGTCACGACCTTACTCTCGATCGTGCGGCCCTAGCTCTCAATTCCGTTAGAGCGCTAGGCAGCCTTTCTCTCAACTCACTTGAAAGCAAAGAACAAGAACAAAGACAAAGGAAATGGGAGAACTCTCTAGTGTGTATTACTCTAAAAAATGATGGAATGAGTACAAATGAGGGAGATGGCTCCTTATATAGGCCTCTCCACATACAAGGCATCAATGCCCCTCATAAAGTCCCTCTACTACATCAATACACCCCATTAAGTCCTCCCATTATGCACTCTACCAATGTCACCATTATGTGACTCATAAGTGCACTATAAAGCTCTACATTATGGTGGAGAATCCTAGGAGCATCTCTATGCTACTAGTCTTCCATGCATGCCACATGTGCTGCTGCCATGTTGTCACCTTGTTGGCGCCATGTCATCTGCCACATGTGACAGTACCCACCCGATCCAACCCGGTCAACGCGGGTAAAACCCGTGTTGACGGGTTTTGGGCCGGGTTCGGGTTTAAACCCGCTACACTATTCATCGGGTTGGGTTGGGTTTGGGTTTAGGTAAACCCGCCCCATGGGTACCCGCCCACACATATAATTACTTTTCCTGTATATTTAATATTCTAAATAATATATTTTCTTTAAGCAACTAATATTATTTATGTTTGTAGAGACATGTATAATTTGTTCTTTCTAATTATTTAGAATGAAGTTGATATTATGGAGTGGAGAGTGAGAAAACTTATTTGACGAGGAAGAAGATTTCAATTAATCTTGTTGTTTATAAATGTTTTATCTTTAATTTTGAACAATTTGTATTGATCATTTGCGGTTTGCTTGTATGTTCTAGATTGGTATTTTTTGTATGAATAATTTGTATGAGAAAAGTGATGTTAAACTTTTATTTTGAAAGAAATTTGTTATTGTAAATTTTTTACCACAAAACCCACGGGTACCCATGAACCCGCAGATACCCAGCGGGTTGGGTTGGGTTTGAGTTTTTCAAACTCAACGGGTTTTACCCCGGGTTTTTTTTGGCGGATAAACCCCATGAATTTGGGTTTGAGTTTGACAAAACTCGCCCCAACTCGACCCATTGCCATCCTTATCGACAACTGGTATCAGGGTTACAGAGCCACAAACTATGTGACTAACTTCTTAAGAGAATTGAATAAGAACTTGATCACAATTAAGTCTTTTATTTATTATTTGGTTGTGTGTGGCTCGGTTGGATTTGTTTTGGTTCGGTTTATTAAACATTTTATTAATTTTTTTTAATGACGTGGCGTGCTAACTGCGCGCTGAGTAAATGAATTTTAAGATGGAGATGGACGGAATAATCTCTTTGGTATTTGTCCAAATATGTTTTATTGAAAAAAACAAAATTAAAGTTTAGTGACTGTTTTGTATTAAATGATAAGTTGTGTTACCGTTTATAATAATTATCCCGAAAGATGGTTGTTTCTCAGTCTTTGCAACCAGAGAGACAAAGGGTTTTAGGGGAAGACCCAAAACCCCTCGTCTCGCCGAACTCTGAAAATACAGCTCTCGACTAGCGGATCCTCTCTTTCCCTTCCCCCAAGTCACTCACCGCCTTCTCCTCCGCCATCAGGTTCCTTCCTCGCTCTCATCTCCATCCATTACTACGACTCCCAGTCTGCTCGTCATTTCGCTGTTTCTTCCACTCCGATTGGCTCTTCTCACTTCCATGGCGGGTCCGATAAATGACTGTCAATCTCGTTTTGAAAACCGTTGTCTTTGGGATCAACTTTTTCCCCCTGGAAATTTCAGCTGAGATTTAGTAACTTTGCAGGTGAACTCTATGCGCCAACGAACAAGGGTTGACTTGGGATCAGCTTCATGCGCTATTTGAAGGGTGGCGGTGGTTATGGCCGGACGCTTGCCCGAGCCTGGTCCAGTCAATCTCGGCGGAGTAGGGTATTTGGCATCCGGCTTCCAAGGGAGGAGAGGAAGGCCATGGTTGAATCGTTTGTGAAGCAGTAATTCGCCCTATCCCTCCGCTTGATTTCATTTTTTACTTTGTGAATGATTGGATTTTGATTGACTTCCTTGCAGTTCCTAGTTTGCTTATGGCCTATGGGGGTTTCCATTTTTGAGGGGAGAATAGAAAGAACATATAGGAGTGACCCGTGAATCGTGATGTTCTCTTTTATCTATGTTTCCTTGTTGCAGGTATCAGCAGTCGAACAATGGGAAGTTTCCTTCCATCACGTTGACAAAGCTGGAAGTAGGTGGTTCATACCCGGTTGTGCGCCATATTCTTCAAGAAGTTAAGTTTGTTTGGAGACGAGATCAAGTACCAAAACCGGGCCTCGCTGAACAATGCCCTCGAGGTACGATATCCACAGAACCTCAACCAACTTGCGTAACTTTGTCATCGAATGGGACGGCATCAATGGCTGATGAGCAGCATTGCAAATTGGGTGGGGCACATCATTCAGTTTCTGATGTGCTTGGTGCAGAATCTAGACAGCTAGATATTGAAAACGCGCGGGAAATTGATGGCGATTCGGTAACTGTCGAGAGATTGAATTCTGATTTGGCAGAAGTTGCTGGGGTTAGTGAGGTTAGGCAACCGGCAGGAATGGTATTGGAGGCGCATCGTTTAGAAGGAGATGTGGATTCCGTCAGAGCAAATGCTGGCGACGTTCAAACAAGCGGATCACTAGAGCAGAATGAACATGCCAAAGAAGTGTTGGAGGTAGTTGTAGACACCCCTTCATTGGAAATGAACGATTCTGCAAAACTAAGTCTTGTAGAAGGTCAAGCTAGTCGAGGATCAATGGGAGTAGAGGAAATTGTTGAAGTGAAAACATCTGAGGTTAAAGTAATTCCAGAAGGGAATGTAGCTGTAGATACATCTCATTCACAGCCTGTGCTAACTGGTGAAAGGGAGGAACTAGACAGAAGAATTCAAGTTTCAAGCCCAGATAAAGATCGCACTATAGAGCAATCATACAGCGGGAGCGAGAAGGTAATCATCCAAAGTAATTTAATAATTTTACCTCTTTTGTTTGTCCTTCCCAGTATATCAAAGTTGAGTGCATACGAGGAGCAACATAATTGCTTAGCCAAAGCTCCAATCCAAGACTTGTTATTTTTCTTGTTGTCTTGTGACTGAAGTAAGAATTTACTCTTCGGATCATGCAATCCTGTCAAAACCTGATTTGCTTTTGTTCATTCTTCTCATGCGGAAGGAAGTGGTGGATTATCAGAACTCATTGGCCTGCAAGTTACCTAGGGAGAAGAGGAAGGCCATGGTTGAATCGTTTGTGAAGCAGTAATTCGCCCTATCCCACTTTATCTCATTTTTCTTTGTGAATGATCGAATTTTAATTGATTTCCTAGCAGTTCCTAGTTGCTTATGGCTCATGTGGTTTCCACTTTTGAGAGAAGAGTAGAACAAACCTATAGGAGTGACTGGTGAATCGTGATGTTCTCTTTTATCTATGTTTTCTTGTTGCAGGTATCAGGAGTCAAACAATCGGAAGTTTCCTTCCATCAAGTTGACAAGGCAAGCAGTAGGTGGTTCATACCTGGTTGTGCGCCATATTCTTCAAGAAGTTAAATTTGTTTGGAGCCGAGATCAAGTACCAAAACCGGGTCCTGCTGAACAATTCCCTCAAGGTATAGTATCCACAGAACCTCAACCATCTTCCGGGACTTTGTCATTGAATGGGACTGCATCAATGGCTGATGAGCAGCACTCCAAATCGGAAGAGGCGCATCGTCCAGTTTCTGATGTGCTTGGTGCGGAATCTAAACAGCTAGGTATTGAGAACCTGCGAGAAATTGATGGCGATTCGGTATCTGTCGAGAGATTGAATTCTGATTTGGCAGAAGTTGTTGGGGTTAAGCAACCGGCAGGAATGGTATTGGAGGCGTATCGTTTAGAAGGAGATGTGGATTCCGACAGAGCAAATGCTGACGACGTTCAAACAAGCGGATCACTAGAGCATAATGAACATGCCAAAGAAGTGTTGGATGTAGTTGTAGATACCCTTTCATTGGAAATGAACGATTCTGCAAAACAAAGTCTTGTAGAAGGTCAAGCTAGTCGAGGATCAATGGGAGTAGAGGAAATTGTTGAAGTGAAAACATCTGAGGTTAAAGTAACTCCAAAAGGGAATGTAGCTGTAGATCCATCTCATTCACAGCCTGTCCTAACTGGTGAAAGGGAGGAACTAGACAGAAGAATTCAAGTTTCCAGCCCACATAAAGATCGCACTTTAGAGCAATCATACAGCAGGAGCGAGAAGGTAATCGTCCAAAGTAATTTAATTGTTTGACCTCTTTTGTTTGTCCTTCCCCATATATCTAAGTTGAATGCATACGAGGAGCAACAGAATCACTTAGCAAAATCTCCAATCCAAGACTTGTTCTTTTTCTTACTGTCTTGTGACTGAAGTAAGGATTTACTCTTCGGATCATGCAATCCTGTCAATACCTGATTTGCTTTTGTTTATTCTTCTCATGCGGAAGGAAATGGTGGATTATCAGAATTCATTGCCCTGCAAAGTACCTAGGGAGGAGAGGAAGGCCTTGGTTGAATCGTTTGTGAAACAGTAATTCGCCCTATCCCACTTTATCTCATTTTTCTTTGTGAATGATCGAATTTTAATTGATTTCCTAGCTGTTCCTAGTTGCTTATGGCTCATGGGGTTTCCACTTTTGAGAGAAGAGTAGAACAGACCTATAGGAGTGACTGGTGAATCGTGATGTTCTCTTTTATCTATGTTTTCTTGTTGCAGGTATCAGGAGTCAAACAATGGGAAGTTTCCTTCCATCAAGTTGACAAGGCAAGCAGTAGGTGGTTCATACCCGGTTGTGTGCCATATTCTTCAAGAAGTTAAATTTGTTTGGAGCCGAGATCAAGTACCAAAACCGGGTCCTGCTGAACAATTCCCTCAAGGTATAATATCCACAGAACCTCAACCATCTTCCGGGACTTTGTCATCGAATGGGACTGCATCAATGGCTGATGAGCAGCACTCCAAATCGGTAGAGGCGCATCGTCCAGTTTCTGATGTGCTTGGTGCGGAATCTAAACAGCTAGATATTGAGAACCTGCAAGAAATTGATGGCGATTCGGTAACTGTCGAGAGATTGAATTCTGGTGGGGTTCAAGCAACTGGGAGTGAGGTTAATAAGAAACCGGCAGGCATGGTATTGGAGGCATATCGTTTAGAAGGAGATGTGGATTACAGCAGAGCAAATGCTCCAGAGGTTCAAACAAGTGGATCATTAGAGCAGAATGAACATACCACAGAAGTGTTGAATGTATTTGTAGATACCCCTTCATTGGAAATGAACGAGTCTGCAAAACAAAGTCTTGTAGAAGGTAAAGCTACTCGAGGACCAATGAGTGTAGAGGAAATCGTTGAAGTGAGAACATCCGACGTTAAAGTAACTCCAAAAGGGAATGTCGCTGTAGAGACACCTCATCTGCAGGCTGTACCAATTGATGAAAAGGCGGAACTAGACACAAGAAATCAAGTTTCAAGCACAGATAAAGATCGCACTTTAGAACAATCATATAGCAGGAGCGAGAAGGTAATTTATACAGCGTAATTTAATTGTTTTACTTCTTTGGTTTTCCTTCCACGTACATCAAGTTGAATGTTTACGAGGAGCAACAGAATCACTTAGCTAAAGCTCCAATTCGAGACTTGTTCTTTTCTTGCTTTCTTGTGACTGAAGTAAGGATTTATTCTTCGGATCATGCAGTGCTGTCAAAACATGATTTGCTTTTGTTTGAACTTCTCATGCGGAAGGAAGTGGTGGATTATCAAAACTCACTGGCCTGCAAGTTACCTTGACTAGACTGAGTTTAAGATGCCATAACAAATATGTTGCTTTCGCAGGTGGAGATGATTATCGACGACACTTCAGTAAATGCTGGTGGTGTCCATCAGTCAGATCTCCGAGCAGACATACCAAACAATGTTGGGTAAACACAGACTACCAACCTGAACATGTTTCTCAGTTTCCTTTTAACCATTGTGCAGTTAACTGAAAGTTGCAAGGAGCCAGTGTATTTTGATTTAAAAGTTCCTCCTCTGACTTCCATTTTATGGGTAGCAGGTCAAAGGATGAAAGAGCACTGGCTGCACCTCTGGAGCGGGAAACCAAGACCATTGGAGCTGCTTTGAAATCGTTCTTAGTAACTGCCTTTAGGAAATTTTGGCCTGGATAATCAATTGAATCCGTTGTGTAGAGAGAGTGCATTCACCATTTGATTTTTGCAGTGCAGAGTGAATATAGGTTGTCTTGTTGGTTACTGCTGAATATAGGTGCGGTAAAAATTGGAAGGGTTGCAGTGATGTTGCCAAAGATTTTTTTATGTTCGATAACTTCAATAGATGCAGCATTTCTACATATTTGACTCGTAGAGTAATGTTTTTTTTTTTTTAACGTGAGAATAGGCGCCCTAACCTTTATTGCATTCGAATAATCTGGGGTGTTTGAATCCCCGATCGTTCAAAATACCGCTATTGGCAAGAGTAGTACTCGGACTATGGAAAATATGTATCACAAATTCCCAGCTATTGGCAAGAGTAGTACTCGGACTATGAAAAATATGTATCACAAATTCCCAATCGGAGTTGTGTGACTTGCTGAGGTGAGGTTATCCGCAGAATAATTGGCTTTGCGGTAAACATGGTCTATGCGAATAGTCCAAGGATGAGCAAGCCATTTCCTGATCTCCGTAACCTGTGTAAAATGTGGGTGATGTGGTCTCAATCAGGGACTTAACACTGGACGAATCAGTTTGCATAACAATTTTCCTGGGTCCTTCCCAAGCAAGATGCAACCCATGCACAATACCAGCTAGCACTTTATGAGTAAACGAACCTCCTCCAAGGTTCGCAGTAAATGCTCTGATGAAACAACCATCCCTCCCCGTAGGATGTTGCCACACATCGTGCTCTCAGGAGAGAAAATGACTGTGCCATTTGTATTGACACATAACTAATGAGGATGTTAACTTCCTGAAAAACATGACTTAAACTCATGGCACTATGCCTTTCATATCAATCACACGTTCCCATTCACACAATGACATAGCCAATACATTCCTTAACATCATTAACAAGGCATCAAACCACAAACAAACTCGCACGTAGTGTCAGGTTGTGATTCGGATTCAATTGTACACATTTTACCCCGCATTTTATTACTGGTTTTTCTTAGTAGATCACCGTCCCTCCACCAATTTTACGCTAAGTTGTGCTTGTTTAGTTACATTTTAGGTCTTATCACGTGTGGGAAGGTCGAGGACGAGTTTCAGATCGATTGTAGGTCGAAAAACACGAAAAAGTGAAGAAAAGTCTAAAGTCATGAGTTTTGGGTCGATTGGAGGTTTCAGAACAATTCGTGCATCTCACTGGAGTCTAGTCAGTTCACGGTCACGCGACCGTGAACTCAAGCCACAGATCGTGAAGTGACTTAGTGAAACAATGCGAATTTGCTCGACATCACGATCCAAGACGAACGTTCACGGTCGTGAATTGAGACCGTGAACAGCCGTCGATCTGGGTATAAAAGGGGAAGTGAGCCGAAGGAGAAAGGGAACTTTTTGGTAGAGTTTTAGTTTCAGATTAAAGGAGGGTTTCTAGTGAGAGATTAGGGTTTACTCATCTCATTCTAGAGAGAGAAAGTGCCATTTAAGGGAGGAAGAAAGAGATTTGGGCTTGCCCTAAGCTAGAGGATTGAAGGTTTCTTGTTCTCAAGGGAGATTCAAGCAACAAGGAAGGAAGATTGTCATCTCTTAATGGTTCTTTCTCTCGTTTTTGTTGTTTTCCTTTGCCTAGCTATGGAATAGCCTACCTACTCACTTGGGTATTGTGAATCCCACTCTAGATTTGTGTTAGGATGTAAGAACATGGTTCTATTGTGTTGATTGTGTGTTTTATATAATATTTGAGTTATCAATCATGAATGATTGACTGTTGCTTGCATTATCTCATTATTGGTTAATTAATCTAGAATGTGGAAATTCCCCTTTGGCCCATAGGGAGCTTGACCTCATAGCCACTTGGGTAACCCCTTTTGGGTTAATCTAGGGCCAAAACCTCAAGTATCAGAGTAGTACCATGATTTTGACGTGATTGGTCTCTCCGCCATCCAGATTAACTTTCGAGGGTTGGTTCTTGCAATCCTTAGTTGGTTAGTTAAGAGGGCTAGATTGCCTAGTCTATTGTTGTCAACCTTAGCCAAAAGATTGAGAGAGTTAGTCTACTAACTTAATGCAACAATTCTTAATTGATCAACTAAGAGAGTTAGGGTTTCCTCGGTTTGTTCGATTAAGAGAGCTAGGTTTGCTAGCTTATTGTGGCAATCCTTGATCGATCGACTAGGAGAGCTTGTTCCTAGCTAGTTGCACCCGTCTCACTGTGTATGAACACGTCCTTCACACTAGGGTTTCGTTCATAGTTTCTTAGCACGAGATTATGGGAAGCAATACCCAAGTGAAGTCCTCTCATATAGAATTCTCCTCAATTTACTTTCCGTGTTTGTGTATTTTGTAGTTTTTCTTAGTTTAAAACCCAAAATCGTTTGCTAGATAACAACCTAAGCGATTGAAGTAGGGGGTACATGGACCGGCCTAGGTTTGCCAATTAAAACATACTTGCCCTATACTGCACCCGGTTAAGGTTTATACTTGGGCCTTAATTGAAATTTTTATTGTGGTATTCGGGGCGAGTCAAGTTTTGGGCGCCGTTGCCGGGGAACCACGATCCATTACTTTGAAAAGTTCGCTTTGTGTTACTTAGCATTTTCTCTTTTGCCCTTTTTGTGTTTGTTTTGTCTTTCATTTGTGTTTGGCTACCAATCTTCGTGTTGAAGGGTGGTTTGTCTGTTTGGAAGGGTTGCAGTGATGTTGCCAAATATTTTTTTTATGTTCGATAACTTCATTAGATTCAGCATTTGTACATATTTGGCTTGTAGAGTAATGTTTTTCTTTGTGAGAATAGGCATCCTAACCTTTATTGCATTCGAATAATCCGGGGTGTTTGAATCCCCAATCGGTCAAAATATGGCCAATGGGTAAGAGTAGTACTCGGACTATGGAAAATATGTAGCCCAATCAGAACTGTGTGACTTGCCGAGGCGAGGTTATCCACAACATAATTGGCTTCGCGGTAAACATGGTTTATGCGAATAGTCAAAGGATGAGCAACCATCTCCTGATCTTCGTAAGCTGTGTAAAATGTGGGTGATGCAGTCTGAATCAGGGACTTAACAGTGGACGAATCGGTCTGCATAACAATTTTCCTGGGCCCTTCTTCCCAAACAAGATTCAACCCATACACAATACCAACTAGCACTGTATGAATAATCAACCCCCTCCAAGGTTCGCAGTATATGTTATGACGAAACATCCATCGCTCCCCCCACAGGATGTTGCCACAGATCGTGCTCTTAGTAGAGGTAATGACTGAGCCATCTATATTGACACATACCTAATGAGGATGTTATCCTCCTGAAAAACATGACTTAAACTCATGGCAGTATGCCTTTCATAACAAGCACACGTTCCCATTCACACTAATGACATAGCCAATACATTCCATAACATCATGAACAAGGCATCAAACCACGAACACACTCGCACGCAGTGTCAGGTTGATTCAGTGCTTTTCAGTTCTTTCTTTGTCAAGTCCAGAGGCGGACCTACTTGTTGGCGACACCCCTTCGCCTGAGAATTGTGTGAAGAAGCTATATTTTTTTTGTATAAAAATTTTAATACGAGATTTTCGACACCACTTTAATAATTATAGTCGATATTCCTTCATTAGGCGACGACACCCTTTTCAACAATACTGGATTCGCCCCTGGTCAAGTCCTGTATTCAAACAGGTATAATCAATAGACGACAACACATCGTAATCCAATCCCATTGTCAGGCTTGACAGTGCTCTCCCATAGAGCTAGGGTCATGATCATCGCTGAATGTAGCTCGATCTGCCCGATATCATGCCCAAGGGTCCTACCGTAGGACTAGAGTTGTGAATATGTCATGCTCGAAATTATTATTATTATTATTATTATTATATATAATAATCCATAAGTTTTAGCTTAACACTATGTTTGGCTAGCAGTGCAAAGGGAGGGGGTGCAAGTTTTGGGGGGTAAATGTCATTCCCAATGCACTTAGCCCATTTGGTTAATTTGCAATAGTGCTAGCCTGCTAGGGGGAGCAAATGGGGGTTAAATCACTATTTCCCTCAACCCACCAATTTGGGGTGCAAAAGAGAGAGAAAAGAAGGAGGAAGGGGTTAGTGGGTAAGATTAATTTTAGAATTATTATAATATGTCTTATTATATTCAAATAATTATATTTTGAATAAAAACATGTAATTATTATTAAGATAGCAAGAAATACTATAATTACTATTGAATCATAAATCATACTTTTTATTGATTTTTTATTATCGTAGTTATTATAAATATAAAATTTGTCCATGAATAGCAAGTTTGTCAAATTGCTCCAATTTTTGAATGTGTTTGACGAAGTATGACTCAAATTTATGTTTCAAAGTATAGAGAAGAAGTGTCGTGGAAAAGGTAGAACGAGAAAATGTTTGGTTGACTCAGGTCAATTTGGTTGACTAAATTTGCGTTGAAAACTATACATAAGAAGTATCGTGTAAATATTGAAAAAAATAGACCGATGACATTGGAGAGGACCAAATAGGACTGAATGTAGTGGTGGTCGATCATTGGTCCTAAGGTTCATCTAGTCAAATCGAGATCACCATGTGACAACCAACGCTCGAGTGTGAGACATGAGCTAGTTGCTAGTTATATGTCTTGGCCATAGGTTGGGCTTCGTGCTTTGAGATTGCCGTAAATTACTATTAAAGCATTATTATCTTAATAATTATTTTTATTGAATTATATTTGTTAATATTTATTCTTATTATATATAATATTTTTTGTTTTATTATTTGTGATTATCTTTTATAATTTTAATACATCCTTTTTATAATAATAATAATAATATAATTTTATTACTTTTCACTATATTTGCACCCACTACTTTTTCATCCAAACAACAATGTACCCCTCCACTTACACCCTCCACCAAGTTGCACCCTCCTACAATTTTCCCAACTTGTACCCCACTCGGATTTGCACCCCTTTTTGCCAAACATAGTGTAAGGGGTCATATGGCCTATGGGCGGGTGCACCGTAATAGTTTACATCCCCGTTTTCACTTTGACACCAACTCGGGTTAAACAGGAATGAGTATATCTCCATTAAGCAAAAATTATCGTTATCAACCAACATTCCATGCTACAAATATCTAATTTCTCAATTTAATTCTTTCATATTTTTGCTTTTATGTGACACAATTGGTATCTGAATCCAGCATTCCGCAATCACACATACCTGACCTATCCCAACAAAGTTATCTTTGTTTACTCGTCCAAATCTAATGGCTGCAAGAAACTCGATTAAAAAGGGATGAAAAAGTGCTTCTAACATCTTCTTTATAACCGTGCTTCTACCATATTAAAAGTCTAAGACTCTACACAAAAGTTCCTCACCACATTCAAACACCAAACATGCAATACAATAAAATGATTGAAATAAAGACACTCATAAGAAATATCAACATAATCGCCTATAATGTCAATCTTTAACTTTCCCCGCCCCAGCATAAACCGCACAATCAACCGGTGCCTTGCAAAAAGCATTGGACCTAAGAATGACAATTTCGATCTGACCTATTTATTCGCCTGATAAGTCTGTTTTGGGGCTGGCACGAGTACGGGTACCTCTGAACCCAGTCTGCCCTGACCGGGCCCATTCTTGACACTTTTTGCCTAAATTACATGTAATTTTATTCAAATTCTTAGGATTTTACTTTTATTGCCTCAAATTTAAGCTATAACGAAGTTGTAATAAGCGGGAACCTAATTTTCTCGAATAATTTAACTGAGTTTATCATATTATGGTTTGTTTCTTATTTTTTCAATGGAAAAATAAATCTTTCTAATGCTTTTCTTGTTAGTTACATATATACACATATGGATAGACCTGTCTCGACAAATGACCCGTGATAAATTATCCAATCTAAACCTAACATATAATAGCATGAGTATGAATATCGAGATAAACGCTCTGAACTGAACCTATGTCATTCTTATTTGAAGCCTCATATTTTCTTTGTCTCCTCCGCAAATGATATGAATGAGGTTTGAGGGTAGGGTGATCTTTCCATTGGAGGTTGGGAAACATGTGAGGGAAAATTAATCCCACACAAATCACAAACACAGGAGAAAAAGGCCACAACCTCCATGTGACAGTAGGGAAATGCATTTTCCACTAATTAATTGAGGCTTTCCTTGGTGAGCAAAGAAAGTGACAGCCAGTTCAATTAGCAAAACCCTAATGAAACAGTAGCATACTTATGAGTTTAATTATATTCATGGATTAGGTTTTGTATTTAGTTAACACATTCCTAATACATATATGTAGTTTCAGTTATTTCTTTGGGTTAGGTTTTGTATTTAGTTAGGCGAGGGTAACAATTCCTACCATACGATCATAGGAATTGAATTAATGTAAAATGCTGTCATGAGTGACGGGAAATGTTGACTTCTATAAATGAACATTCAAATCCAGTAATCAGGCAAAAACAGAAGATCATGAGCATCAACAAGCAAACTGGTGGTAACTTGATTACATATGCTTATTGAAATAGAGAATATCTGTCTTAGAAATTTTTGAAAAAAGTGTTTATTTATAATATGTCATTAACTATGCAAGTCCTTAGAATCCTCCAATTAAACTCACAAATCGAGATCAAATTAGAACATGGAAATATAAAAGAATAAAAATTAAAATAACACAATTAAACCATTCAAATTGTACCATAGGTGATAATATCCTTAATCCTTATGTGATTTCAATTTTAAGATATAAAAACTAATCTCATTTTTATTATATTCTATAAATAATATATTATGTTTTCAATAAAACGTTTCACGTCAATCAAATGACGGATCAATATTAATGAGATCGTCACTGAACATGCAACAAATGTCATTTGCTTTTGTACATATAAACCATTCACCTAACTTATTTTAATTAACAACTATGTATCAAAGGAAGTACGTGGAAATCCTATAAAAAATACTTAAAAGTCCTCCACAAAGACAAATGATATTTTTCAAAGAAAAAATAAAAAATTCAAAAAATAATGTGACAATCGAAATCAAACAATAATCAAAGTATTGGTTTATTCTAACTCAATTAAATATCCACCCCTACCCGCGGCAATGCGCGGGCCAATTATCTATATAGTATAGATATATAGAAGAAGCTTAATTAGTAATTAGTGGTTAAACAAGTGTCTCTCCTATAAATATTGCCATAAAGTGGAGGTGTAAAATCAAACCCACCTACCTTGTACGAAATAAAATCCAGCAATATCAGCAGCCCATCAAATTCAAAGACGACAACAAATCTCTAACCTTCAGACGCCCTATTCTTCTGCAACGATTAAGTCAATAAACTCCGATCAAACTCCTATATTCATTCCCTGAGTTGTAGCTAGTGATCAACTACATATATTGCAATTCATTTGCAATTTCTTAATCACTTATCCTATTCAGCACAAAGACTACGTACTAAATCCTAAACTCCAAATCCTAAATTGCAATATGAGGACCGCTAATTTGCCGCGGATTCTTATGTTCCTGATGGCACTCTCTGTCGTCCATGGCGATGTAGGGAGCGACCAGAAGTACTGGAAGATCCTGCCTCACCCACCGCCCTACTGCTTGATAGGCGTATTGGCGCCCGGCGACCACGGCGGGGAAGCGTGCTTCTTAGACGAGTGCCCCTTCGCATGCCAAAGGAAATTCGGAATGTTACGATAGTATAGTTATCGTTTCGTTGGACATTGTTCTGATGATTGGAGCACCTGTAAGTGCTTCTTGCCGTGCAAGGTGGCATCGGCGCCGATACCGTCGATGATCCATGATAAAAATTAAGGGGGTATAATATTGAAGTTCGATATGATAATATGGTAGCTTCTTTTAGTCATTTTTGTTTTGTTTTGTTTTGTTTTGTTTAAAAGATAGATCAGGCTATTTTTATTTGGTAATTAGACTCTTGATGATCACAATTAGCCATGATCGGTCAGCATAAATGATGTAGTTTCTTATTTCATATATTAATCGATACGAAGGAAGTTATTCATACATCCCGCGAGTTGCCAAAGTGGGGTTTTCTTTCTTGGTTTTTATCGGTGTTTCTTCGTCCGCTTATGAATTCGTCGCGTCGAACACGCAAGATCTAAATAGTATTTGAGTATTTCTAACTGCGTGGTTTGGAGGGGCCAGGTCATTATCAAAATCCACGATCTTGAATTTGTAATTAATGTAACTTGGGGGAGAGAAGTGAAACTCTCAAGACACAATTAATAGCTTTTTTGCTTTATGTAATTAGAAAATAATAAATAAATATTTTTTTCATACCCAAAATGCTCATGATTAGCAAAAATGCTAACCCCCAAGGGGTTAGCAACATATCTCAACCCCCAAAAGTGGTGTAAGATCTACAAATATATGATAGCCGAGTTGATGGCAGTTTTTCAGCATTTCAAATTTCCTGCAACGAAAGTGAAAGTAGGAAGGGTAATTGTGTCATCACAATCATTTTTTATTTTATATTCATAAAAAAATGCATCAATCTCGGGTTTTGAACCATGGTCTTTCCAAACTAAGACAACAGCCATTACCAATTACGCTAAAGAAATCTTTTGTAACTTTCTAAGTAAAAAATCTAAAAAACATATGACTTTTCCACTACTGTTAGCTAGCCCACTAACTTTCCCGTAAGTACTTTCTTTGTTATTTGATATTTGAATTTTCATATTTTGATTATTTTAATTTGAGTTTAATAATAAATTTAATTTATGTCTATCGTATAAATGGAGGATAAATTTAAAAGTGCAACCCAAATATCATTGATTTGAATATTACATATTGAATTGCAATATTGAATGTGTAGATGTTATGTATAATTCTTAACTTGGTATTAATTTTTAGAACTATTAAAGCAATGATATTGTTATGCAAACTGTAAGTGACCAGCTTTTATAAAGTTTTAGTTTGGTTTACTGTCAAATCCTCACTCTCTTGATAATATGGCATGATTGGACAAACGGGTGAGCTTAAAAGAACACAATTTCTTAATACCAATTTTTCTAGATGATTTCAATTATTTAAATATTTTATCTTATATGATAATTGACCATATGTATCATTTATAGTTAATTAGTTTAATATAAATTAACCGGAATACAAGACAAATCATGAAATTCGAGTTAGAGTTTTCATGGATGCATTGATGTGGTCATGTGTATTAGCAAGGTCGGTACCATAAGATAGGTTTAATTTTTTTGTTGAGTGAATAAGATTGTACTTCAACTAAATTTAGAGTATGTTGGTTGATAAATATTTTTTTCATTGCATAGTGTTTGAGCCTAACTGGGTGTAGGAGGGAGACTCGGGAAAATGGGTCAAGGAGAGTAAGCAATAAGGGATTAATCGTCGATGGAAGAACAGGGGAGATTACAAGAAGGATTGAGAGAGAAATATTTTAGAGAGAGAAGTCGATAATTTTAGAGATAGAGTCTTAAAAATCCGATCCCCTCACCCACCGGAGTAAATGCCATATTTATAGGCTACATGGTGGTGGGTGAGTGGTTGGGTTACAAGTGGACACAATGATATGACCACTGACATTTCATTTCAGTCACTAAATTTCTATCTTATATGTAAATAGATTTAGAAAAGGTGTAAAACGGCTCAAACATGTTGGACCTCAATCAAACCATTAAACTTCAAACTACTTGCTTGACCGGCTCAACAACTCGAACCGGTTTGACTACTTTGGTTACAACAATTAAGCTTACAATGTGTGGAAAAAAAGGTATATTTGTTTATTCGTAATAGTAGAAGAGTATAAAATGCCATCAAGTACCCTTAAGCAAAACACGACATTAGAAACGAAATGATAATTGGAGGACATATTTGTAGTTAAAAAATAAGTGAGGGTAAATATGTAAACTACCATCGAAACGACCCTTTAGTTAAATAGAGAATATAATGATTATGGAATCATCGAAACTTAACATAATCAGAGAACATATATCTCTATTAAAAGTTGAATACAGGTCGTAGTGTGACTCGCCGCAGCAGCGAATTGGAATTGATAAAAGCAGGAAATATGATGAAATGCACATCATCATGTTACTGGATTTCAACCAAGCATGAAACCAGCTGGCATCGCCATGGGTGGTTTATCACTCAGCTAGGCTAGGTTTGTGACATACATCTGAGAATGAGATCATTTTCATTTCCTGGTGTTTGTTCCGTCTGGCTATCTCATACCTACAACACACAGCTTGTGTGCTCCCTTTTAATGGAAGCCGTTTAAGAGGTTGCTGAAGAACCAGCCAGCTAGCACCGCCCAATTCAACGCTTCCTTGTGCAACAAGAAACTCATCGGCGCCCGATCCTTCCACCAGGGGGGAAGGAACTCCTCCGCGCGCGACGACAGCGGGCACGGCACCCACACCGCCAGCACCGCCGCGGGGAATTTCGTCCCCGGCGCGTCCTTCTTCGGCTACGCTCCCGGTGTGGCCAAGGGAGTGGCTCCTCGAGCCCATGTGGCAATGTACAAGGTCCTTCAAGCAGACAAAGGTTTCATAGTCAACGCCGAATCGCTCAAAACGTACGTCGATCGCCTACACATGCAAACTTGGTTGCCGGCGGTGTTCATGACGTTGGAGGAAGGCGGGGAGGAGGTCAAGAAGTACATCAAGAGGAGCAGCAGCAGCAGCAGAGTAGCAAGGTTGAGGTTCGGAATCACGAACCTCAACGGGAGGCCGGCGCCAATGGTTGCCAGCTACAGCTCCAGAGGCCCATCGCCGGCCTCCCCGTCTGTGCTGAAGCCGGACATCATGGGTCCCGGATCCTTGATCTTAGCCGCGTGGCCACCCACCGTCGAAGTCGCTATGGTGACGGACTCGAAGCCTCCTTTCTACTCTACTCTGTACTCGGACTACAACATAGTGTCGGGGACGTCCATGGCCTGCCCGCATCTGGCGGGAGTAGCCGCGCTTGTCAAGAAGGCGCACCCGGATTGGAGCCCTGCCGCCATCCGATCGGCGATGATGACGACGGCCGACGCATTGGACCTGTCCGACGAACCAATAAAGGACTTGGGCGCGGTAGGCAAAGTAACTTGAACATATTTTATACGTAAACATATTTTATACGTAACTTGATCATATCTTATTTAATTGTGGCTATTTGTTAACGTATTAAGTATTCAAAAATCAAAAGCTAGATACCTCTTCAACCAATCTCAAACCATTAACAATTAATTCTGGAATGATCACCTGATGTTTATATTTACTCAAGAGTTATAATGCTGATTGCCTTGGACAGTTGGTAAACAAACAAATTCACAATCGAAAGCTACGTACGTACCTACATTCTAGACCAATAAAGAACCGTAAGGACATTACCGAACAGAGCAAATAAGCAGAAAGAAAGCTTCACATTTCGAATACAGACTATTAAATTGCATACTGGTAGGCCTTTACACTTACCGACTGCGGAGCTTGTATTTCGTTGAACAAATTGCAAAGCGAGGAAGCGTCAAAGCGGGAAGCGACAACCAACTCCTTCAAACGTCACTGGAGACTTGAATTAGGGCTGGGAATCTAGATCAAACCGTATGAGAAACCGCGGTCTAGACCGTATCGTATGGTTTGGTCTGGATCGCGAGACCAGAACTATGGTCTGGTCTGGTTTGCGGTCTCCTCCTTTAGTGCGTGGTCTTGACCGCGGTCTACCGCAGTAAACCGTAATAGACCGTGACAAATTACCTACTAACTCGGATAAAAATAACACTGAATTGAACTTTCATTTGTGTATTTGAAGAACAAAGTTAGTTGATTCTTCATCTGGTTGAGAGCCAACAAATTGCCAAATGATCGCTTATGTGTTATCTCCTTATCAAAGAACCACACAAAAACTAGAAAGAGTCATAAATAATATTCAGAGACAATGTCTAGACTATGGAGTCGATAAAAATTAAACGATAGAAAAAAAATTTGTTCACCTTGATGAGATAAGAAAAATTATTGAGAGATGTGTGACCATCTTTGTGGTTCAAAATTACTGCGACGTCATCACAAAGGTTATCAACTGGGAGAACATTCGGATCACTCGAGAGAGGAGAGAAGCGGTAGCACAAAGAGGAATAGGGAAACAAAACTGTTTGATGTGTGTGTGTGTGTGTTTGAAAATTGAAAAAACCCCACTTATATCCTCATATTTCTTCTCATTTAATTACGATCATAATATTTTTGTTTCAATAGCATATTGGTCACTAGAATTTTTATTTTTATAGATACCGGCGAAGGGTTGGAGGGTGAACAAGAGTTTTTTTTTTTTTTAACATGGTCTGTCTGGTCCAGACCATACTGGACCGCACCGCACAGGTGTGGTCTGGTCTGGACCGTATAGTATATGGTCTGGTCCATGGTCTGTATTCCAACCTCTTGGTTTGGACCACAGACCGTATCTATGGTCTGGTCTGGACCAGACCGCACCGTTTCCCACCCCTAACTTAAATAGTCTTCCGTGAAGCTCTTAGGTTAGGAGGTAGCATTTTTGAAATTCTTCAATTTAGAGCATAGTTAGTAAATACTCCGTTTAATACACGTATATGTACTCGTACGTATTTTATCCGTTTAAAACTTCCGTATCCGTATTATTGTCAAGTCGTTTTGTTTATTTCCGTTCATTTGATGGCTCTCGTACTAAACGCGTATAAAACCCGTATAACACGTTTAATATCCGTATTTAATGAATTAAATTGCTCAATTTAATATTATTTATGACTATTAATATACTATTAAACGTAACATTCAGTCAAATAAGAAGTAAAATACCCGTACATATTTTATACATAACTTTCCCGTACCGTATTTTACTAACTATGATTTAGAGCGGTGAATCTCCATCATAAATTTGATAAATGTGGCCAAATCCTGACACTGTGAGTACATGCTCACGAATTTGGTTTCTCCACCTCCAATGGGATCCCTAGCTCCCAATGCCACCATTTGATCTCCCGCCCAAAATTCCTCTCTCGATCTCCGCCGCCCGCCTCCCTTGTTCTCTGGACTGGACGACGCTTCTTCTCAAACCCTGACACCTCAATCTCCACCAAGCCGATATCCGTTAATTGCTAGGTCGTGCATGGAGGTGGGTCTGGAAGCGTTGGAGAGAAGGGGAAGGAGGACGGGTTTGGGTTTTGGGGAAGAAGGGGGTTTGGAAAATGGGTTTTCCCGATTGAGGTGAGAGGGAAGAGGATAAATTGGATTTTTTTTTTCGTTTATTATTATTATTAGAAAAGAAAATGAATACATAAACAAATATATAAAATTTTTAATCCATGCTCGTTGATGTGGCAAGTGAGCTGGCCATTGACCGTCCAGCTTGACGGTCAAACCCGGCTCCGTGCCAAGTTAGGAAGTATGGGTACATAGTTCAGGCCAGGATAGAAATTTCGGAAACCACGAGCCAAAGTAGAAAGTTTGTGTATAGTTAATGCCAAATAAGGTATTAACCCTAAAACATACTTAGAAGCTTTTAAAGAAAGAAGAAGAATATGTTTTGATTGTGTTTGGCATAATCCACCACCACATCTATTTATAGGTGCAACCATGCATTGTTTTATGAATGTTTGTCTTCATCCACATGAAAAGTAGTCTTTATCCATATAAAAAAGGTTGTCCTTATACATAAGTTCGTCCTTATCCATAAGAACTTCCTTAACCATACAATCATCTTTATCCATGAGAATGCAGTTGCCAATAGATCAACGAGACTAGTCTCTTTATGGAATTCAAATATTTGATTTGGTTGGTCTAATTTCAAATCGGTTTGATCGGTCCAATCCAAATCGATTTAACCTGACTAGTCAAATTCAACCAAATTTCCTACACTTCTTTCACTTACCTCTAACGAATCTCATTAGCGTCGAGATATCATGAGCCAAGTCTTAATGAATCGAGCTAACGTCATTATTTGATTGAACTAAAGTATTGTTTGTAAGAGTTAAGTGAACTATGGCCAAGTTGGTGGTAGCAGCTCGAAGGATGTGGACCGGCCGCCCATGCAGCCCATGCAGCCCGTACAGCCGAGGGCGTCGAGACGGGTCATTAAGCCCAATCCCCGTTACCTTTCGTAGTTAGTAGGGTCTTTGGTTTCTTTGGTTTTCCTGATTACGTTCGGATTGTAAGTTCCTATTTAAGCACTCGTTATGATAATGAAACTCAAGCAATTACCAACAATCAACCCTAGAACGGCCCTTCTGCGCCTAGCAGACAAAACTCCTAACTCGTGAGCTACGAGTTGCTATCAGTTGGATTGAGTTGGACCCAACCATAACGAGCCAAAGTGAGTCAAAGTTGAGCTACTTGAGCTATATTGAGGTAGTCGTAGTTAGTTTAAGTTAGGTTGCATAATCAGATATGAACCTTTAAAGTATAATAAGAAGGGTTCAGATCTAAGTGATGAGATCAAAAAAAATTTCCACTAATTATTTTAATCGGCTTCTATCTTCTCCGTTTTAGTTTGAATTAAAAAAAACATTGCATAAATGGAACGAGTTTGATGTGATATATAAAATGATATTCATTTTCAATATATTTCGAGAAAAAATTCCATACCACTTTTTAGCACTTTGGTACCACCTTCGTTTTTAACTTGGATTTTGAAAATTTTTCCACAGAAGGAACGAGTTCATCGTGATCTATCGTATCTACAAAAGTACAAAATTATGAGGGGAAAAATTTCAGGACCGAAACATACCACCCCATGCCACACTGGTATAATGTGGTAATTGGTAGTATACAATGATGAAATATGATAAATGACAGTTAGTAATTAGTATATTCCTACTATCATGTATGCAAACATTATACACTATCGTATTTTCATACCACCATGGTACACTTTCGTACCATGTGATATGATATTATAATATCATGAATCACCACCATTGTATAGACTGGTAATAAATGCCTCATTTTTTTTGTTCCGCAATTTATCAAAGTGGATATCATTTTGAAAAGCACAATTAATCTGATTTATCTGAGCTAAAAAAATATCGAATTACGACTGAAAACGAAAGAGAGATAGCCCGTTAAAATTTTGATGGACCTGTTTACAAGAACCTGTGCACAAAGATCCTATTTAATGGGTGAAAGAAGGTGAAAGCAAACGTTGTTCTTGAAATTTAAATTTGGGAACTACCGACGAAAAACCAACGATACAACCTCTCAAGTCTCAACCACGGCGTGATTGGCACGAGCACTTCTACTATACTATATAGTATTGGTGCTTTAATGTACAACTTAAAGTTGCACCATAACATTAAATGTATAAGTTTAGGTTGTACCATAAAACAATTTGTATCATTATGTTATGGCATGGTACAACTTCAAGTTGTACCATAAAAGAATTTGTACAAAAAGTATAGGTACAATATGAAGTTGTACCATAACGTAAATGTACAATTTTAAGTTGTACCATAAAAACAAAACCCTATAGCACCAATACTATATAACATTGTAAAATTTCTCGATTGGCATCTTGTTGTACAATTAACCAAATTGGTTTCTTGTATCGACCGTGGTCCTCCCATTTCCATTTCTTTCCACGGAGTCAGCCGGGCTGGGAAAGGTTTAACCCAAATTACAAAAAGTGAGTGAGAAAACGAGCAATGAGGCCCATTTCGGACCCCCTTTTTGGGCCTGTAATGATTTATCTGCCCAGCCGGGCCCAAATTGGAGGTAAGTGCAAAATTCGTAGGCCGGATCCGGCGATCCGAATCAGTGACCCTCCCTCCCTCGTGTTTTCTCTCCAGTCGCCATGGAGGATAGCTGTACGACTGTAACTCTAACCACCTCGACTTCAGTCACAGTGAACCAGTCATTCTCCCACGAATCAAACAAGACTCTCTCGGGTGTACTCACTGTAGGGTTTTAGAGTGGACTGCAAAACCCAAAACCTAATCTCCTGCTCCCTGTCTCTGCGATAAGAGAGCGGATCCAGTGACTAGGGGGTGCTTAGTCACTTGACTAAGCCCCTCCCAGCTCTTAGATCTGGACACATCAATCTGATGGTTAAAAAGTGGGAAGGGCTATTTAATTAATGACAGGGGTAGTTTGGGTATTATGGAAAATTACGAAGTATACAAACCGGACTTAGAATCAGTACAAACCATACAAACATACGAACAGTACAAACTAGAGCGACAAAACATACAAACAGATTTACAAACATTACAAACGTATGAACTGTACAAACAATACAAACTAGACGGGACGAGATACGGTGACAACCCCTAAGGGGGTTGTCAGATTCACAACCCACTTCATAGCCCTTGGATACGCTCTCTCTCTTGTCTCTTTCTTCTTTTTTTAAATTAACGGTTAAGATTAAATGAAGGATATTTTGGGAAGGGTAAAAATTTACCACACACAATCATTAACCCTACCATATAAAAAGAACAAAAACCCTAACTCCTTCATCCTCCCTCTCTCCCGTAAACATCACCGTCCGCCGACACCCTCCCTCCCTCCACCTTCACCGCCGGCCAAGCTCCCTTTCTCCTCCACCCCCGGCACCCCACCCACCACCAATCCCCTTCCTCCTCCCATCGCCACCCCTTCCTCAAAGCCCCTTCCTCCTCCCACCGCCAACCACCACATCTCCTCATTGATCCTCCCTCAATCCCCTTCCTCAAGGAGAAGCGGCTGTACCGCTACCAATGCTAGTGGTATCGCTACCAGTGCTAGTAGCGTTGTGTTATTCTCTACTGGTAGCGTACCACTAGTATTGGTACATTTTTTACTGGTACCGCTAGTACTGGTACATTTTTTAACGTACTGGTAGCGTACCAATAGCACTGGTATATTAATTACCAGTAGACTAATAGATTGGTACACTTTTTAACGCATTGGTACATTTTTTCAGGTTGCCGGAGGGAGTCTGCCGGAGAGAATTCGCCGGAGAAAAAGTTTGTCGGTCGATGCGGAGTGGCTGCTGGAGAAAGGAAGAGAGAGAGAGATAGATAGATAGAGATATTAATGAATAGGATTTAATTTTCAGAAAAATATTGTATTTAATATGGGTTTTTAATTCCCAATATAATTAATACAAAAAGGTAATTAATACAAAAAGGTAATTAATATATTCCTTTTTTTCATACCCAAAATACCCTTGGTTGTGAATCTGACAACCCCCAAGGGGGTTGTCACCGTATCTCGTCGCATATAGAGGGGCTCCTTCCCAAAGTCAACCCGGGTGTTTTTTAGACATACAAACAGTACGAACATGGTGGACAAAAATGACAAACTATACCGACAATCCATACGAACTGAAAAAACACCCGGGTTGACTTTGGAGGCTCCATCCCTATATAGAGGGGCTCCTTCCCAAAGTCAACCCGGATGTTTTTTAGACATACAAACAGTACGAACATGGCGGACAAAAATGACAAACTATACCGACAATCCATACGAATTGAAAAAACACCCGGGTTGACTTTGGAGGCTCCATCCCTATATAGAGGGGCTCCTTCCCAAAGTCAACCCGGGTGTTTTTTAGACATAAAAAACATTACAAACATGGTTGACAAAAATGATAAACACGATACACAAAAATAACAAAGTTTACAAACATTACAAAAAAAAAAAGACAAACATTACAAAATAACAAAGCGTACAAACATTACAAAAAAACCGACAAACATTACAAAAAAACCGACAAACATTACAAAATAACAAAGCGTACAAACATTACAAAATAAACTGACAAACAATACAAAGCATAGTAACAATACAATCTCTCTCTGGCCGCACATATTAATGGACGAGGAGATAAAAATCCCACCCCCTCTCCCTGTAGCCGCACAAATCATTCAATGGATGGGGATTAAAAATCCCATCCATCTCCCTGGGTAGCGGCGAATGGTGTTCCAGGCGGCGGACCGGCGCAAGGAAAACGGCGGCAGGGAAGTTTCGCCGGCGGGGACTGCGGGAAGGGAGGTAGACAGCCACTTATTTTTTTTATTGTTTTAATTAATAAATTAAATAATAATGTAATTACTATAATGACCATTAAATTGGATCTATTGTAGCCATTGAATTTTAATGAGGTGTAATGGCTGAGATTGATTTAGCCAAATGACTAAGGAACCCCTCTTAGTCACCTGATCTTGACCCTGCGATAATCGAGAGGTAACCCACCGCGCAAATCCCTTCTTCTACATTTCGTCTTCAGGGTTTTGTTGGGTTCTGCTTCAGTGGATTAGGAGGCAGCTGAAGTTATAGGAAATCGCCGGCGGCGCGGGGGTTGTTTATCATTGGAGCTCTGGAAACTTTCCTGAATGGGTTTTTAGGCAGCTTTAGCCGTCATAGTTAGGATGACTTGAATTCAGTTGGCGGGCTATCGATGAAATTCATTTGCATTTGCATCCCGAAAAGAATTCATATGCATTGCGGTAGTGGAAGTTCTTCCTGTAAAGCCTGGCATTTTGCAATTCATGGTTGCAAACCTCATCAAACTTCAAGAGTAAGTTTTTCTATTCGGAAATGGTGGAGTAGAGAGTGGGGAAAAAGTGGAGTTTCTGGCATCTAGTCACGGCCCTTGTGGAAGTCATGATATTTTCGCTTCTGGAAGTTGGTTTGTCTAGTCTAGTGTTGGCAGATCTATATGCCAAATAAATTTCTGAATTTTGTACATCTTACTGTCTTCTTTGTATAGCTAGTTTGCCATGAGATTGCTCTGACTTAATTTAGTGCATTGTAGGTTTATGTACTCGTAGACCTTTGACTTGGCATATAGTATCATGCATGCTATAAAGGGAAGTTGGGTTGGCCAGACGTTCGCCCTGTCCAGATCTAATGAGTCTGGAGGGAGGAAGTCTCGCATCCGCCGTTCAGAGGAGGAAAGTAAGGGCATGGTTGAATTGTTTATTATAAAGATGTACATCCTGGTTCCTTATCAACAAGTACTCTTGCTTTTTGTCTGTTGATGTCTTGAATTGAAGGCCTAGTGGTAAATTGTGGATGAAATATACAATTTGTGGCAGAGATATGGAAGTCTCTACCCTCCGTTTTCCGGATGTGTTGCGTCTTTCCAGTCCATTTTTTTCACTCTTAGTTGCAGACTTGGTACCTGATTGCGGCAATGACATGGTGGTTCTCCTTGTAGGTATCAGAGTTTAAACAATGGGAACTTTCCTTCTCTTAACCTCACCCACAAGGAAGTTGGTGGGTCATTCTATACAGTCCGTGAGATTGTTCGAGAAATCATCCAAGAAAATCGTGTGTTTGGTCCTGCTAAGTTTTTGCCCGCAGAGCAAGACTTTCATGAGTGGTCAGAGCAGTATCCCCTGGGCACAATATCCACAGAACATCATTCTTCTTCAGCTTTGGCACCCAATGGAACTACAGTACAATCTGATCAACGTCCTAGTCCTAGTTAATATGAAGAATTTTCTCTCAGTTCTCATTGGCTTGCTGATGACAATGCTGAAACTGGACAAATCCTTAATGCAAGTTTTGTAGTTGTCGGGAACCCAGAATCTGATAAGCAGGAGGTCAACGACTTTCAAGAAATCCATAATGAAGTGGCTCCAATTGCAGACATATCTGTACCTACTGATGCTTCAATAGACAATAACGGTACCGAAATAGTATCTTCCGGGGTCCAAGCAGCCGGATCACTAGGAAACAAGCCAGTTTCCAATGTGGTAGGGAATGCAATCCAGGATACTCTACCGTTGGAAGTCGAAGGATCGCATGAACAAATAAAAGCAGCTGTGGAAGTTCAATCTTCTTTTATTAGAGCTCTTTGCTCTCTCTTGTTCTTCTATTAGAGTTCATCTTCCCAATGTGAGTTTTCACCATTTACATATCTCAGTTAAAACACCCTAGCAAGATAATTGAACCTCAAGGCTGCTTTATTTTCTTTCTTCTCACAAGGCCTTTTTGTGTTTTCGATTCATTTTCACATAAATCTCAATTTCTGGTTCACTTCTCACTTGAATGCTATAATTGGACTGCGTTCTTCAAGCCTAAATTTAGAGAAGATTGAGCATTTACACGGGATAGGAGGAGGAAAAGTGTAATGGCACTCTATCCTAACTTCTGCGAGCACTGGTGGCCGCCAGGGACCAGATATCCAGGCCAGCGTTTCAGGCAACAAAGCAAACGATGGGAGAAGCAAAAGCTCCCAAAAAAAGGGGATCCAGCACTTGACAGAATAAACATGTAAGTAAAGCATTTGAGGTTCAGAAACTCGATTGGAATTAGTGGAAGTTTGTTGTCCAGGGTACTCACTAACTGAGCTGTGTCTTTGGGCTGGGGTTGTGCTTGTGGACAGCAGGTCATAGCAGCGGTCGCAGGCAGAAACCAACCTGCTTTGGTCTGCTTTTCAAGCATTCATCTCCGCCTTTGTTAAATTCTGGTCAGAACAGTAATGGTGTCCTCCTAAGCTTGTGGTGTAGATGGCAGTTAGGTTTGAGCTCGTTTTAGTCTCCGACTTCATTTTGGTAGAATGGTTTGGCTTTCTGGTTCTGCAACTTCTGCTGCTGATTTGACAGAGTGCGGTTGTCTGAATGCTTGTCAAGTGGTAATGAAAGTGCATATATGTGTCTACTTTACACCTTGTTCTAGTTTATAGAGTCCGATTCATCATTAGGCTATTGATCTTTAATCATTACATAATAATCAAGTAACAACTCTGTCTCTCCGTTTCATTACAAGAGGGGATTAATTATTGATCGAAGCTGGCGGCGGCAAAAGCTCAAATTTGCTATTCGTGGCGACGATGGGGCTCTGCCCCTCCATCTCGCCGGCACAGGGCCCATCCCGTGGTCGCAGAAGCTCCGGCTCTCGGGCCACACCCCGGTGTCGATCAGCCCGATGATCATGCCCTCGCCGTAGTTCGACGCCTCCCACGCTGCAGAGGCAGAGCAACCACCACCGCCGCGGAGGCCCAGGAACTCGACGGAGTGAGTAGTGTAGGGCTTGACCGGGACGTCCTTGATGGAGTAGAGGTACCCATTGGAATTCCGCAGGGCGTCCAGCTCCGAGCTTGTCAGGGTACAGCTAAACCCGTCGATGACGTGGGAGTAGCTGTGAATCAGCTTGGAGGATGCAGGGGTGCCGCCGCCGGCAGTCAGGGAGGATAGAATGGCCAGGTGCCAGTGGTATTTGGTTGAGAAGACTTTTGGCATTGCGGCAGAGTCCATGAAGATGATGTAATGCTCGGAAGAAGAGGATGCTAGGGATGAATTAAGATTGAAAGGAAGGAGGAGGAGGAGGAGGATAGTAGTAGTGGTGAGTAGAGAGAAGATGGCATTGGATTGAGAATCCATGGGAACTGAATTCAACAGAGGATTCTGAATAAAATCTTTCTCCAGAGAGAGAGGCACAATTGTATTGGTGATTATATGATTTGGCTTATGAAACGTATATATAGCAAGCAAGCAACTTGAGCTATCATCATCATCATCATCTGTACTAAGGGTATGGTGATTCTGTTTCAGTGAAGACGGCGGTGCTAGCTGGCTGGTTCTTCAGCAACCTCTTAAACGGCTTCCATTAAAAGGGAGCACACAAGCTGTGTGTTGTAGGTAAGAGATAGCCAGACGGAACAAACACCAGGAAATGAAAATGATCTCATTCTCAGATGTATGTAACAAACCTAGCCTAGCTGAGTGATAAACCACCCATGGCGATGCCAGCTGGTTTCATGCTTGGTTGAAATCGAGTAACATGATAATGTGCATTTCACCGTATTTCCTGCTTTGATCAATTCCAGTTCGCTGCTGCGGCGAGTCACACTACGACCTGTATTCAACTTTTAATAGAGATATATGTTCTCTCTGATTATATTATGTTAAGTTTCGATGATTCCATAATCATTATGTTCTCTATTTAACTAAAGGGTCGTTTGCTATGTGGACCTGCAAATATGTCCTCCAATTATCATTTCGTTTCTAATGTCGTGTTTTGCTTAAGGGTACTTGAAGTTTAATGGTTTGATAGAGGTCCAATGTGTTTGAGCCGTTTTACACCTTTTCTAAATCTATTTACATATAAGATAGAAATTTAGTGACTGAAATGGAATGTAATAACTTATATCTATTAAAAACTCAAATTCCATAAGAAAACATACTCATTTCAAGACCACCCACCATCCTCTTGCCTCTCTCCCCCTCCCCCTTCCCTCTCTCTTCTTCTCTCTCTCTAACGATCAGACACTTGATTTTGTAGAGCCGGTTTTGGAACACGACCTTGGTCGGACCTAGTCCAACCAGTCGCCCGGTAGAGGTATAACAACCTTGGTTATAACACTCGTGAATAACCATTCATAACTTGTCAATTTAATGATGTAGTCACTCTGAAAAGAAAATTGACATAACAAAAAAAAGAGTTTGTCTAAAAAAGCGTAGCATAAATAGGAAACTCGTGATCATAACCTTTATTCAATATTTATTTCTTATGCTTGAGAAACAATACATATATAATAGTATCTAAACCTTAAAGTATTCTGCACAATACAATAACAAAATTAGTAAGAAAATAACATTTTCCATCCATATTCTATGCAATGAAAAAAATATTTATCAACCAACATACTCTAAATTTAGTTGAAGTACAATCTTATTCACTCAACAAAAAAATTAAACCTATCTTCTGGTATCGACCTTGCTAATGCACATGACCACATCAATGCATCCATGAAAACATCAGCTCGACTTTCATGATTTGTCTTGTATTGCGGTTATTTTATATTAGACTAATTAACTATAAATGATACATATGATCAATTATCAAGATAAAATATTTAAATAATTGAAATTATCTAGAAAAATTGGTTTTCAGAAATTGTGTTCTCTTAAACTCACCCATTTGTCAAATCATGCCATATTATCAAGAGAGTGAGGATTTAATAGTAAACCAAACTAAAATTTTATAAAAGCTGGTCACTTACAGTTTGCATAACAATATCGTTGCTTTAATAGTTTTAAAAATTAATACCAAGTTAAGAATTATACATCACATCTACACATTCAATACTGCAATTCAATATGTAATATTCAAATCAATGATATTTGGGTTGCACTTTTAAATTTATCCTCCATTTATACGATAGACATAAATTAAATTTATTATTAAACTCAAATTAAAATAATCAAAATATGAAAATTCAAATAACAAAGAAAGTACTTACGGGAAAGTTAGTGGGCTAGCTAACAGTAGTGGAAAAGTCATATGTTTTTTAGATTTTTTACTTAAAAAGTTACAAAAGATTTCTTTAGCGTAATTGGTAATGGTTGTTGTCTTAATTTGGAAAGACCATAGTTCAAAACCCGAGATTGATGCATTTTTTTATGAATATAAAATAAAAAATGATTGTGATGACACAATTACCCTTCCTACTTTCACTTTCGTTGCAGGAAATTTGAAATGTCGAAAAACTGCCATCAACCCGGCTATCATATATTTGTAGATCTTACACCACTTTTGGGGGTTGAGATATGTTGAGGGGTTAGCATTTTTGCTAATCATGAGCATTTTGGGTATGAAAAAAATATTTATTTATTATTTTCTAATTACATAAAGCAAAAAAGCTATTAATTGTGTCTTGAGAGTTTCATTTCTCTCCCCCAAGTTACATTAATTACAAATTCAAGGTCGTGAATTTTGATAATGACCTGCCCCCTCCAAACCACGCAGTTAGAAATACTCAAATACTATTTAGATCTCGCGTGTTCGACGCGACGAATCCATAACCAGGCGAAGAAGCACCGATAAAAACCAAGAAAGAAAACCCCACTTTGACAACTCGCGAGATGTCTGAATAACTAATTCCTCCATATCGATTAATATATGGAACTAAGAAAACACATCATTTATGCCGACCGACCATGGCTAATTATGATCATCAAGAGTCTAATTACCAAATAAAAAGTAGCCTGATCTATCTTTTAAACAAAACAAAAATGACTAAAGAAGCTACCATATATTATTATATCGAACTTCAATATTATACCCCCCCCCCCCCCCCCCCCTAATTTTTATCATGGATCATCGACGGTGTCGGCGACGATGTCACCTTGCACGGCAAGAAGCACTTACAGGTGCTCCCATGATCAGAACAACGTCCAACGAAACGATAACTATACCATCGTAACATCTCGAATTTCTTTTCGCATGCGAAGGGGCAATCGCCAAAGAAGCATGCTTCCCCGCCGTGGTCGCCGGGCCCCAATACGCCTATCAAGCAGTAGGGCGGTGGGTGTGGAGGCAGGATCCTCATGTACTTCTGGTCGCTCCCTACATCACCATGGACAGAGAGTGCCATCAGGAACAGGATGGTCATAAGAATCCACGGCAAATTAGCGGTCCTCATATTGCAATTTAGGGTTTAGAGTTTAGGATTTAGTACGTAGTCTTTGTGCTGAATAGGAAAAGTGATTAAGAAATTGCAAATGATTTGCAATATATGTAGTTGATCACTAGCTACAACTCAGGGAATGAATATAGGTATATCTTAACAAAAAAAAATCAAGATATTGATCGGAGTTTATTGACTAAATCGTTGCAGAAGAATATGGCGTCTTTGAATTTGATGGGCTGCTGATATTGCTAGATTTTATTTCGTACAAGGTAGGTAGGTTGATTTTACACCTCCACTTTATGGCAATATTTATACGAGAGACACTTGTTTAACCACTAATTACTAATTAAGCTTCTTCTATATATCTATACTAGATAGATAATTGGCCCGCGCATTACGGCGGGTAGTGATGTATATTTAATTGAGTTAGAATAAATCAATACTTTGATTGTTGTCACATTATTTTTTGAATTTTATTTTTTCTTTGAAAAAAATCATTTGTCTTTGTGGAGGACTTTTAAGTATTTTTTAAAGGATTTCCATGTACTTCCTTTGCTACATAGTTGTTATTTAAAATTAGTTAGGTGAATGGTTTATATGTACAAAAGCAAATGACATTTGTTGCATGTTCAGTGACGATCTCATTATTTTAGTCATTAATATTGATCCGTCATTTGATTGACGTGAAACGTTTTTTTTAAACATAATATATTATTTATAGAATATAATAAAAATGAGATTAGTTTTTATATCTTAAAATTGAAATCACATAAGGATTAAGGATATTATCACATATGGTACAATTTGAATGGTTTAATTGTCTTATTTTAATTTTTATTCTTTTATATTTCCATGTTCTAATTCGATCTCGAGTTGTGAGTTTAATTGAAGGATTCCAAGGACTTGCATAGTTAATGACATATTATAAGTAAAAACTTTTTTCAAATTTTTCTAAGACAAATATTCTCTATTTCAATAAGCATATGTAATCAAGTTACCACCATTTTGCTTGTTGATCGTGATCTTCTGTTTTTGCCTAATTACTGGGTTTGAATGTTCATTTATAGAAGTCAACATTTCCCGTCACTCATGACAACATTTTACATTAATTCAATTCCTATGATCGTATGGTAGGAATTGTTACCCTCGCCTAACTAAATACAAAACCTAACCCAAAGAAATAACTGAAACTACATATATGTATTAGGAATGTGTTAACTAAATACAAAACCTAATCCATGAATATAATTAAACTCATAAGTATGCTACTGTTTCATTAGGGTTTTGCTAATTGAACTGGCTGTCACTTTCTTTGCTCACCAAGGAAAGCCTCAATTAATTAGTGGAAAATGCATTTCCCTACTGTCACATGGAGGTTGTGGCCTTTTTCTCCTGTGTTTGTGATTTGTGTGGGATTAATCTTCCCTCACATGTTTCCCAACCTCCAATGGAAAGATCACCCTACCCTCAAACCTCATTCATATAATTTCCGGAGAAGACAAAGAAAATATGAGGCTTCAAATAAGAATGACATAGGTTCACTTCAGAGCGTTTATCTCGATATTTATACTCATGCTATTATATGTTAGGTTCAGATTGGATAATTTATCACGGGTCATTTGTCGAGACAGGTCTATCCATATGTGTATATATGTAACTAACAAGAAAAGCATTAGAAAGATTTATTTTTCCATTGAAAAAATAAGAAACAAACCATAATATGATAAACTCAGTTAAATTATTCGAGAAAATTAGGTTCCCGCTTATTACAACTTCGTTATAGCTTAAATTTGAGATATATTCATTCCTGTTTAGCCCGAGTTGGTGTCATGCTGACTCTTTGTAAGCTAGATATGTATAAATTTTCCTCAAAGTCACTCCCTACCTCTTAAATTATTCACGGAAAGAAGCTAACTTCTTAGTAGTTATAATAATGAAAATCATAACATGAATGACAATCAACAGAAAATTGCTCCCCAAGCCGCTGCGAAGCGAGGCCATGCTACTCTAGTTATATTTGAAAGTAAAATGTTAGATATATTAATTGGATGAGCCTTGGTGAAGTGAAGGAGAGTTAATACGGCCAATATCACTTAACAAAATATATTAGATGTGGGCGTGGCACTTTTTGGTTTAATAATTATAGTCGATATTCCTTCATTAGGCAACGACACCCCTTTTCAACAATACTGGATTCGCCCCTAGTCAAGTCTTGTATTCAAACAGGTATAATAATAGACGCCAACACATCGTAATCCAATCCCATTGTCAGGCTTGACAGTGCTCTCCCATAGAGCTAGGGTCATGATCATCGCTGAATGTAGCTCGATCTGCCCGATATCATGCCCAAGTGTCCTACCGTAGGACTAGAGTTGTGAATATGTCATGCTCGAAATTATTATTTTTATTAGATATAATAATCCATAAGTTTTAGCTTAACACTATGTTTGGCTAGTAGTGCAATGGGAGGGGGTGCAAGTTTTGGGGGTAAATGTCATTCTCAATGCATATACCCCCATTTGGTTAATTTGCAATAGTGCTAGCCTTCTAGGGGAGCAAATAGGAGGGTTAAATCACTATTTCCCTCAACCCACCAATTTGGGGTGCAAGAAGAGAGAGAGAAAAGAAGGAGGAAGGGGTTAGTGGGTAAAATTAATTTTAGAATTATTATAATATGTCTTATTATATTCAAATAATTTTATTTTGAATAAAAACATGTAATTATTATTAAGATAGCAAGAAATACTATAATTACTATTGAATCATAATTCATACTTTTTATTGATTTTTTATTATCGTAGTTATTATTAATATAAAATTTGTCTATGAATAGCAAGTTTGTCAAATTGCTCAATTTTTGAATGTGTTTGACGAAGTATGAGTCAAATTTATGTTTCAAAGTATAGAGAAGAAGTGTCGTGGAAAAGGTAGAACGAGAAAATGTTTGGTTGACTCGGGTCAATTTGGTTGACTTAATTTGCGTTGAAAACTATACATAAGAAGTATCGTGTAAATATTGAAAAAATAGACCGATGACATTGGAGATGACCAAATAGGACTGAATGTAGTGGTGGTCGATCATTGGTCCTAAGGTTCATCTAGTCAAATCGAGATCACCATGTCGACAACCAACGCTCGAGTGTGAGACATGAGCTAGTTGCTAGTTATATGTCTTGACCATAGGTTGGGCTTCGTGCTTTGAGATTGCCATAAATTACTATTAAAGCATTATTGTCTTAATAATTATTTTTATTGAATTATATTTGTTAATATTTATTCTTATTATATATAATATTTTTTGTTTTATTATTTGTGATTATCTTTTATAATTTTAATACATCCTTTTTATAATAATAATAATATAATTTTATTACTTTTCACTATATTTGCACCCACTACTTTTTCATCCAAACAACAATTTACCCCTCCACTTACACCCTCCACCAAGTTGCACCCTCCTGCAATTTGCCCAACTTATACAGTTATACCCCACTCGGATTTGCACCCCTTGTTGTCAAACATAGTGTAAGAGGTCATATGGCCTATGGGCGGGTGCAGCGTAATAGTTTACATCCCGTTTTCACAAGTAGAGCAAATGCTGCAGATGTTCAAACAAGTGGATCATTAGAGCAGAATGAACATACCACAGAAGTGTTGAATGTATTTGTAGATACCCTTCATTGGAAATGAACGAGTCTGCAAAACAAAGTCTTGTAGAAGGTAAAGCTACTCGAGGACCAATGAGTGTAGAGGAAATCGTTGAAGTGAGAACATCCGACGTTAAACTAACTCCAAAACGGAATGTAGCTGTAGAGACACCTCATCTGCAGGCTGTACCAACTGATGAAAAGGAGGAACTAGGCACAAGAAATCAAGTTTCAAGCACAGATAAAGATCGCACTTTAGAGCCATCATATAGCAGGAGCGAGAAGGTAATTTATACAGCGTAATTTAATTGTTTTACTTCTTTGGTTTTCCTTCCTCGTACATCAAGTTGAATGTTTACGAGGAGCAACAGAATCACTTAGCTAAAGCTCCAATTCAAGACTTGTTCTTTCCTTGCTTTCTTGTGGCTGAAGTAAGGATTTATTCTTCGGATCATGCAGTGCTGTCAAAACATGATTTGCTTTTGTTTGAACTTCTCATGCGGAAGGAAGTGGTGGATTATCAAAACTCACTGGCCTGCAAGTTACGTAGACTAGACTGAGTTTAAGATGCCTTAACAAATATGTTGCTTTCGCAGGTGGAGATGATTACCGACGACACTTCAGTAAATGCTGGTGGTGTCCATCAGTCAGATCTAGGGGTGGGCATTCGGTCGGTTTGGTTCAAACCGAACCGAATAGAGGACTATCGAGATTTCGATTTCAGTCACATGGCAAACCGAGTTCGAACCGAATTAAAATTCGGTTCGGTTTGTCCGAACCGAATTTTTAGTCGGTTCGATTTTATGCCCAAATCCGAATTTAGTTGTTGTGCAATTTTATTCCTCTGCTTTTGGTGATGCTGGGCAGTAGTAGGCCCCCAAACCCATAGACAAAATGGTTTCCTCTCTGACTCTTTCTCTCCCCCCACGTTTCTTTCTCTCTATCTCTCTCTCTCATGTTTTCCCCTTCTCCACTTTGGCCAATTTCCATAACCAACAAACAGAGAGAAGAAAAATCGTAGAATAGAAAGGGGAGGAAGGAAGATGAAACAAACTACAAACCACTGCCGCCAATCTTCCTGTCTCCTGATGATGCATCCAACGACACCGGCTATGAAGGTAAGTTTCTATTTTGGTTTAATGTCAGTTTGGAGATCTGATTTCACCCGAGGAGAGAGGATTGTGAGGACTGATTCTGACCCTCGCTTCTTTTTCCGATTTTTGTTGAGGTTGAAGCCTTGAAGGGAAGAGAGGTTCGCCGTGCTTAGAAAAGGTGGAGGGTGATGGAACCTGGTGCGGAGAGAAAAGATGGGACTCATGGCGGAGAGAAAAACGGGGCGACCTGGTCTCTTTTTCTCGTTGGTTGCTCTATGGTGGACGAAGACTAGAGATGAAAGCGGTGCCGTAGGTGGAGACTGCCGAAGATAGAAGAGAATCGGCTGCATTATTAGGGTTTAGAAAGGTTGGGCTGGGCAATCATTTGGTTTTGGGCTGTTAGTTGGGCTATGTAAGTACTGGGCTTGCTTAGTTTGTAGTCTACTTTACTTATTTCGGTTTTTTGGTCGGTTAATCGGATTTCGGTTTCGGTTGAGCATACCCTGGTTTCCGAAATGTGGGGTTTTGCCTTCCGAATTTTGAACCGAAACAATGCTATTCGGTTTCGGTTCGGTTTTGTTCAGTTTCGGTTTCGGTTTGGTTCGGGTTTACCGAACCGGATGCCCACCCCTAGTCAGATCTCCGAGCAGACATACCAAACAATGTTGGGTAAACACAGACCACCAACCTGAACATGTTTCTGACTTTCCTTTTAACCATTGTGCAGTTAACTGAAAGTTGCAAGGAGCAGTGTATTTTGATTTAAAAGTTCCTTCTCTGACTTCCATTTTATTGACTAAGTGGGGGATTGTTAGAGTTTGGGGCTGTCTTGCTTTCTACAGAGTCTCAGATCCTAAGAGAACTAAGTTAGGACCACGAGCTTTGAAAGGTGTTTTTCTTGGATATGCAGAAAACTCAAAAGCCTATAGGGTTCTAGATTTAGAATCCAATGTGGTTGTGGAATCGAGGGATGTTGAGTTCTTTGAGAACAAGTTTCGACGTGACTCTGCAAATGTAGAATCATGTTGAGTTACTTCTGTAGATTCCTCAAATGAGTCTATCTCTGCTCCCGCTTTTGACATTGGTTCTAGTAGCAAAAGGCCTTTAGATGACCTTGCTGCTAATGAACCACGAAGAAGTCAAAGGGCTCGAAAGGAAAAGAGTTTTGGTCCAGAATTTATTGATCCTCAAGATATAGTCTTTCTTGTAGAGGGAGATATGTTAAATAAGGTTACAAGAAAGATGCCAATGTTGTTCCATGTGCAAGACGATCCCAAAACCTATCAAGAAGCAATGGCTTCTAGAGATTCTGCCTTTTGGAATGAGGCTGTTAATGATGAGATGGATTCGTTATTAATAAATAAGACTTGGGTTCTTGTGGACCTGCCTCCTAGATCTAAGGCTATTGGATGCAAATGGGTGTTTCGCATTAAGTATAACACAGATGGATCAATACATACCTTCAAAGCTAGATTGGTTGCAAAATGGTTTAGGCAAAAGGAAGGAGTAGATTGCTTCGACACCTATGCCAGTTGCAAGAATCACTTCCATAAGAGTGCTTTTAGCTTTGGCTTTTACTTACAATTTGCATGTACACCAAATGGATGTAAAGACGGCATTCATAAATGGCGAGTTAGATGAAGAAGTGTATATGGAGCAACCAGAAGGGTTCGTGTTGCCTGGAAATGAAGGAAAGGTGTGTAAATTGTAAAAGTCATTGTATGTACTTAAGCAAGCACCTAAACAATGGCATGAGAAATTTGATTCTGTTGTTTTGGTTCATGGATTTTCTCATAACTCTGCTGATAAGTGCATTTATTCAAAGTGCACAAAAGAGTATATGGTCATTATATGCCTTTATGTTGATGATATGTTGATAATAGGAACTAACATGAAAGGCATAAATGAGACCAAAGAGTATCTAACTTCCTGCTTCCAAATGAAAGATCTTGGAGAAGTAGATACTATATTGGGCATCAAAGTAAAGAAACATAGTGGGGGTTTTGCTTTGAGTCAGTCACATTATGTCGAAAAGATGCTCAAGAAATTCGAGCATTTGGATATAAAGGAGGCTAACACCCCTTATGATGCATCTTTTAAGCTTTGTGCGAATGAGGGAAGGGCAGTGGCACAAGTTGAGTATTCTAGTGCTATTGGAAGTTTGATGTATGCAAGGGGATGTACTAGGCCCGATATTGCATTTGCGGTGGGCAAACTTTCAAGATTCACTAGTAATCCTAGTGCCTATCATTGGAGAGCTATAGGAAGAGTCTTTGGCTATTTGAAAAGAACTAAAGATTTGGGACTCTTCTATAGCAACTTCCCCGCTGTACTAGAAGCATTTTCTGATGCTAGTTGGATCACGAGCGCTAGTGATAATAAATCCACAACAGGATGGATTTTTACACTAGGTGGTGGAGCTGTTTCTTGGGCTTCGAAGAAACAAACATGTATTACACACTCCACTATGGAAGGAGAATTCCTAGCCCTTGCGGCGGCTGGAAAAGAAGCAGAATGGCTAAGAAACATGTTGTTAGATATAGAGTTGTGGCCACAACCGATGCCAGTCATTTTTGTCTTCTGTGATAGTGAGGCTACATTGCCTAGAGCTTATAACTAGATTTACAATGGTAAGTCTAGACACATTAGCCTAAGACATGATTACGTTAGGTATTTGATTACTAACGGAATCATTTCTATTGTGTATGTAAGGTCGTGCAACAATTTGGCAGATCCTCTTACAAAGGGGTTGCCAAGAGGCATGATCTATGAGACATCCCAAGGGATGAGATTGAGACCTTTTGTATAGTTAGAAGTAATGGAAACCCAATCTTTTCTTTAGATATTCCCTAATTAAAAGGTTCAATGTGGTAATAACAAGTTACTCTAACTGGGAACTAGTTTATTGTACAAGTAAATTAGTTGTAAGAAGGGTGAGTTATAGAACTCTTAATGACGTTCATTTGGAATGTCACCTATGTGAGCATTTGGAGTGGTGTCGCTCTAACGAAAGTAAAGGTCAACTTTTGTATATGCTCATGAAACAGGATAAGCACATGGCCATAATAGTGCTACCCTTGTTGGTGGTTGGGTTTTAGAGAAGAGACGAGTACGTGTGTGGTGTCTCTGGTTCTAGCTTTGGATCTTGACTCCTAGGCTTAAGCCCGTCATTGATTCGCTATGAACTTTGAGATGCTTACACTAAGTAAAGGTTCAAATCGAAAAGATACCTTTATGTATGCGTTACTTGTTCGAGGCAGGTATTCTCGACTCTTATTGACTAAGTGGGGGATTGTTAGAGTAGTCAAAGAGTAAAGGAAATACCACATTGGTGGGAGAAAGAAAGTGCAAGTTGTTTTTAAGTTTGCTTTCCACTTTAGTTATTGGATAAAGTGGTTAGTGAACTTTTGGAAAAAGTGTGGGCTATTTAATTTGACATATTAAATCGCACTACGCACTTAGCACGTCTGCAGCCGAACTTCTGTTCCAACGTTCATCTTCTTCTCCTCATTTTTCCTTCTCCAAAAACACAAACACAGAAGTCATGAAAGGTGCTGCTTTCTGACTTTGATTGGAGGGACTCCTGGGGGTGGTTTGCCTAATTCCTACCAGCAACTAAGTAGTGGGGGAAAATAAACACTCTAAGGAGAGTGATCAAAATCACGCCTTCAATCCGTTTTCTCCATACTGTTTCCCTGATAGCAGGTCAAAGGATGAAAGAGCACTGGCTGCACCTCTGGAGCGGGAAACCAAGACCATTGGAGCTGCTTTGAAATCGTTCGTAGTAACTGCCTTTAGGAAATTTTGGCCTGGATAATCAATTGAATCCGTTGTGTAGAGAGAGTGCATTCACCATTTGATTTTTGCAGTGCAGAGTGAATATAGGTTGTCTTGTTGGTTACTGCTGAAGATAGGTTGATCTCCTGGATATAGGTGCGGTAAAAATTGGAAGGGTTGCAGTGATGTTGCCAAAGATTATTTTTTTATGTTCGATGACTTAATTAGATTCGTCATTTCTACATATTTGGCTCGTAGAGTAATGTTTTTTTGGGTGAGAACAGGCTCTAAGGGCGCTCTAACCTTCATTGCATTCGAATAATTCGGGGTATTTGAATTCTCGAGCGGTCAAAATACATCCAATGTGCAAGAGTAGTACTTGCACTATGGAAAATATGTAGCCCAATCGGAACTGTGTGACTTGCCGAGGCGAGTAATCCGAAACATAATTGCCTTTGCGGTAAACATGGTCTATGTGAATAGTCCAAGGATGAGCAAGCCATCTCCTGATCCCTCGTTTTGCAGAACAACTTTTATGTCCTCTTTCATACCAAGCAAGCTTCAACCCATAGACAAATACCAGCTAGCTTCGCATGAGTAATCGAACCCCCTCCAAGGCTCGCAGTAAATGCAGTGATGAAATGGTCACCATCGCTTCATCGCATGATGCCGCCATAGGTCGTGCTCTTAAGAGGGAAAATTATTTGAGTCATATGTATTGACACAGACCCAATCTTGCGCCGGTGGTTGCAGATCGATTCCCAAGTTGCTTGCTATATATATACATTGATTCCATAAACCAAATCATAATAATCACCAATTGTCTCTCTGCAAGAAAGATTTTATTCGAATCAAATACGGACAATCTTGGGTTTAATTAAGTTCACTCCAGAAAAAAAAAAAAAAAACAATTCAATGTCCTCTGCTCTCTACTCTCCACTATCCTCATCTTCATCCTCCTTTCTTTCGTTCCTAATTCGTCCCTAGCGCCCTCTTCATCATCTATCTTCTTCCCAGGTCGACCACTACATTGTCTTCATGGACTCAGCGGCCATGCCCCAAAGTCTTCTCAACTCCACACCACTGGCACTTGGCCATTCTGCCCGGAAACAGAGACTCTGTTCCCGAGATGGAGCTCCACCCTGAACCCGCGATCGATCGACCCCGCCGCAACCACCAGCGTCCGGGGGCTGCTGTTCCCGAGCGACTTGGGAATCGGACCGTCGTTCCCCTGCACCAATGGCGACGAGCACGTTCTTCTCCATCGCAGCAACCGCTCGATTGGGTCCTCGTATTGTGAAGTGACGCCGTCCTCCAGGCCTAGCGACATGGATAGAACGTCCACGCCGTCCTCGAGCGCCTGATCGATCGATTTCGTGATGTCGAAGCTAAATGATGATTATCAGGGGGGCGCCGGCAGCATCCCAAGTCGCCATTGCTGCGATGGAGAAGGACGTGTTCGTCGCTATTGCTGCAGCGAACGACGGTCCGACTCCCAAGTCGCTCGGGCAACAGCAGCCCGCTGGTGGTTGCGACGGGGTCGATCGATCGCGCGAGTTCAGACCCGAGCTCCATCTCGGAAACAGAGGAGTCTCTCTGTTTCCAGGCTGTACACAAAATGGCTAAAGTGCCAATGGTGTGGGGTAGAGAAGACTCTGGGCATGGCCGGCAGAGTCCATGAAAACAATGTAATGGTCAACCCTGGGGAAGAAGGTGATGATGATGAAGACGATAGGGACGAATTAGGAACGAAAGGAAGAGGATGAAGATGAGGATTAAGAGTAGTGGAGCGTTTAGAGCAGCGGACATTGGATTGAGCTTAATGATGAAGCCATGGAAACTTAATTAGAACCGAAGATTGTATTTTGATTCGAAGAAAACATTTCTTTAGAGAGAGAGGTGATTTTATGATTTTGGCAAGCCGTGGGAATGTATATATAGCAATAGCAGGCAACTTGGGCTAACCATAAGCATACAAGTTAGTTTCATCATCATCATCAAAAGGCAATGGTGATTCTGTTTTTAGGGAAGACGATGCTGTTAGCTGGCTGGTTGTTCGTCAACCTCTTCAACGGCTTCCATTAAAAGGGAAGACACACGAGCTGTGTGTGTTGTGGTTGTAGGTAAGAGATTAGATGGACGAAACAAACTCTAGGAAATGAAAAATGAGATGTAACAACTAACAACCCATGGCATGCCAGCTGATTTCATGGTTGGTTGAAATCGAGTAACATGATGATGTGCATTCCGTATTTAACTTCTAATAGATATATATATTTTTTCTAATTATGTTTAAGTTTCGATGAATCCATAATTATTGTATTCTCTATTTAACAAGGGTCGTTCACTCGTTTGCTATCTTGAGTAGTGTGGTGATAAATGAGGTAGAACCGTGGTTGTCATGCCGGTGGCATGCCACCCGGTTGAACCTGGTTCAACCTGTGCCGGTCATGAAACCGGCATGACACCACCGGTATTACCGGTATGATTGACTTACCTATTTTAAGTAAAATGACATCATTTTAATGAATGTAATGAATAAAAAAATTAATTTATTATTCATTTTATGAATGTAATAGTTAAAAGTTGATGATATTTGTTGGATTGTAACTAAATTGTCCACAAATATGTTTTATATATGATTAAATACATTGGATATTAATTGTTTTCACATTTTTTTTAAATCGGCACGAACGGCACAAACTGGTTATACCACTGGTCGTGTCATTCTACTTTCCAAACCGGCACAACGGTATAAACTGGTTTGACAATCTTGGCTAGAACCCTAACCAAGTCTTACTTAACTTCACGTGGATTTACATAAAAAAAATTTGATGCCAAAACATTACCATCAAGGATTTAATCAAAATCATTTGTTTGCTTGATCAAAAGTGAGTGAGCTAACGAGCAATGAGGCCCATTTCGTACCCCTTTTGGGGCCCAATAATGATTTATCTGGCCAGCCGGGCCCAAATTGGAGGTAAGTGCAAAAATCGTAGGACGGATCCGGTGACTGTTTTCTCTCCAGTCGCCATGGAAGATAGCTGTACGACTGTAACTCTGTAACTACCGCGACTTCTTCACAGTGAACCAGTCATTCTCCCACGAATCAAACAAGACTCTCTCTGGTGTTGGGTTTTAGAGTGGACTGCAAAACCCAAAACCTAATCTCCTGCTCCGTGTGTCTCTGCGATAATCGAGAGGTAACCCACCGCGCAAATCCCTTCTTCTACATTTCATATCTGGCCTCTTTCTCTTCTTCTCCTCCTCGTGCTCTGATGGCGTAGGTTGTGCTTTTTTTACTTTTTTTCCCTTAGGTTCCACTGCCATGGGAACATTTCTCCCATGGGAACATGCCATTTCCTCATATCCCTAATAGCATTTGGGGAATGGTTTTTCTATTCGGAAATGGTGGAGTAGAGTAGAGAGTGGGGAAAAAGTGGAGTTTCTGGCATCTAATCACGGCCCTTGTGGGAGTCGTGATTTTTTCTTTTTCTGGAAGTTGGTTTGCCTAGTCTAGTGTTGGCTTTCTAAATCTTTGTTAAAATGTCCACTGAAGAAGCTATGGCTGTCTTGCAGTTCTATATGCCAGATAAATTTCTGAATTTTTAGTACATCTTTCTGTCTTCTTTGTATAGCTAGTTTGCCATGAGATTGCTCTGACTTAATTTAGTGCATTGTAGGTTTATGTACCCGTAGAGCTTTGACTTGGCATATAGTATCATGCATGCTATAAAGGGCAGTTGGGTTGGCCAGACGTTCGCCCTGTCCAAGTCTAATGAGTCTGGAGGGAGGAAGTCTCGCATCCGCCGTTCAAAGGAGGAAAGGAAGGGAATGGTTGAATTGTTTATAAAGAAGTACGTCCTGGTTCCTTATCAACGAGTTCTCTTGCTTTTTGTCTGTTGATGTCTTGAATTGAACACCTAGTGGTAGATTGTGGATGAAATATACAATTTGTGGCTGAGATCTGGAAGTCTCTATCCGATGTGTGACGTCTTTCCAGTCCATTTTTTCTCTCTTAGTTGCAGACTTGGTACCTGATTGCACCAATGACATGGTGGTTCTCCTTGTAGGTATCAGAGTTTGAACAATGGGAACTTTCCTTCTCTTAACCTCACCCACAAGGAAGTTGGTGGGTCATTCTATACTGTCCGTGAGATTGTTCGAGAAATCATCCAAGAAAATCGTGTGTTGGGTCCTGCTAAGTTTTTTCCTGAAGAGCAAGACTTTCATGAGTGGTCAGAGCAGTATCCCCTGGGCACAATATCCACAGAACTACATTCTTCTTCAGCCTTGATACCCAATGGAACTACAGTACAATCTGATCAATGTCCTAGTTCACATGAAGAATTTTCTCTCAGTTCTCATGGGCTTGCTGAAACCCATGATGACAATGCTGAAACTGGACAAATCCTCAATGCAAGTTTTGTAGTTGTCGGGAACACAGAATCTGATAAGCAGGTGGTCAACGAGTTTCAAGAAACCCATAATGAAGTGGCTCCAATTGAAGACATATCTGTACCAATTGATGCTTCAATAGACAATAAAGGTACCGAAACAGTATCTTTTGGGGTCCAAGCAGCCGGATCACTAGGAAACAAGCCAGTTTCCAATGTAGTAGGGGATGCAATCCAGGACACTCTACCGTTGGAAGTTAAAGGATCGCATGAACAAATGAAAGCAGCTGTGGAAGTTCAAGCTATAGAAACAGAGAAAACTGCCAGTGTGTACGATGCAGTGGTAGAAAGCCTTGCCTTAGAAGTAGAAAAATCTGACCGAGAAATGCCAGGAGAAGTTCAAATGATGGAAACAGAGAAAAGTGTTGAAGAAGTCGCTGATGCAGTCTTATTTAGCCCTTCCTTAGAAGTTGAAGAATTCAAGGAACAAACCAAGGCTGAACTCGAGGGGAAGGAACCAGGGAAAAGTGCCAATGATGTGAGATCATCTAGGGCAAAAATCTTTGAAATAGAAGATGTCGTGGTGGAAACATTCCCTTTACCCACTGTTTCGAGAATTGATGGTAATGGGAACTCTGTTGCCATAAATGGTTCGATTAGAACATCGAAAGAAAATGATTATGTGAAGGTGGACTTGGGGTCAAGACAAAATTGTTCCAGTTCACCGAGAATGGGCTCTTTAGAGCATTCTGCTGCTGGAGATGATAAAAATGACGATCAAAACAGTTCTTTGTTGGAAAGGAAATCCATTGCAGTAAACGAATTAGAGAGTAAAAGTTCAGTTGGTGCATCAGTGGTTGGATCTGATCTAACTACTCTCAAGAAAAGCATCATGCATGGAAGTCAACTCGGTGTTGACGTGAAACCAAAGTTATCAAATGATCAGGTAAATTGCTCTTTGCTCTCTCTATACTTTCCCATCTTTGTCTTCTTCGATTTCATCTTCTCTATGCCAGTTTTCACCATTTACGTATCTCAAGTAAAACACCCTAGGGCAAGGCTGCTTTCTTTCTTATCACAAGGCCTTTTTTGTTGGTTTATTTATTTCAATTCATTTTCACATAAATCTCGATTTCATGTTCCCACTTCTCACTTGACTGGTCTAATTGGACTGTTTCTTCAAGCTTAAATTTAGAAGAGATCGAGCATTTACTCGGAATAGGAGGAGAAAGAGTCTAGTGACCATCTATCCTAAACATTAATGTCCAATGCGGTGCATTAAGGTGATGCTGGTATTTAGAATTAGAAACACTAACCAGCATGACACCCCTTTGCTCCGCCATCTGCAGTGCTTTTATATTGCAAGTGCCAATAGTTGGGGGATCGGTTAATAACGAACGTAGTTTTGCAGGCATCAAGTGTCATGAACCGAGGCAAAAACGCATCTCCAAATGCAACTTCTGCTAGTCCCGGTTTCCGCCAGGGGTCAGATATCCAGGCCAGCGTTTCAGGCAACAAAGCAAATGCTGGGAGAAACAAAAGCTCCCAAAAAAGAGGTGATCCAACACTAGACAGAATAAACATGTAAGTAAAGCATTTGAGATTCACAAACTCTAGTGGACTAGTGTAAGTTAGTTGTTCAGGGCACTCACTAACTGAGCTGTTTCTTTTTGGCTGGGGTTGTTGCTTGTGGACAGCAGGTCATGGCAACGGTCGTCTAGGAGGATTCCTTCACAGGCGGAAACCAACCCGCTTTGGTCTGCTTTTCAAGCATTCGTCTCCGCCTTTGTTAAATTCTGGTCAGAATAGTAATGGTGTCCTCCTATGGCTGTGGTGTAGATGGTAGTTGGGTTTTTAACCCGTTTTAGTCTCCGACTTCATTTTGGTTGGACGGTTTGGCTTTCTGGAGGTTGTTAATGGTAGAGAGAGTTGCCCTTTCTGGTTCTGCAACTTCTGCTGCTGGTTTGAAAGAGTGCGATTGTCTGTATGCTTGCTTGTCAAGTGATCTGGTCCACTGTTCTCCATTGATGATGATGATAAAGACTGATGAACACTCTGCCTATTTTTCATTTCAGTTTTAGCCACCGGTTGTGGTCATCTAGTTTTGTGAGTATTATCCTGTTGAGAAGAAACATGCATTTCCGAATGGATTTGCACAAGTTGGGCCTAAAAGAGAAAGGAAAACAGGCCCAAGCACTGGTGTAAGTCGAGCGACATGGTTTAACATCTGGCCCATTAGATCAAAGCCCAAATTTGAGCCCAACAGGCTCAGGTCCAACTGCCTTGTCCCTACATATATATATACAGTAACTGAAAAGGTAACGTGAAAAATAAATCAGTTTAGAAAAGCGTGACGAGAACTCCGAAACTGACTTTGGGATTGATTGGATCTGATGTCTTGTTTTGGGACCCTTTTTTATTATTTTTATTATTATTATTATTATTATTATTAATAAGCAGCCTTCAGATAATAATAATAAAACAGCACTTAAAAGTGAAATAAATTAATAATAAGATACCCACAGCTCTGAGCTCAAAAGCTGAAACCCCCAACTCAGCAACAGAGCAGTGTAGTTGTCCAGAAAAAAGTGTTCATGGAGTTTACCTTAAACACACTCAACCCTTAATTACTTTTACCATTAAATCTCATCCCAACCAGATTTAGTTAGTCGATCCCAAAACCGTCATCAAGTAATCAACTAATATTACACCAATACAATTTTGATTATTTGATCTCCAAAATTCAACACTCAAATTTATAATCAACTAGTGATACGAAAATTATAATAATTTATAAAATTGTTCCTTCTTTGCGCACAATTATACCAAATTTTTTTACAGCCAACCTAAACCTAATCTTGGATTTTATTAATTCATCCAAACCTAAAAGGTAACTAACTCACTCACTCACTCAGTATTGTATTAAGTAAGTCATGGTTTACACCGTTTAACTCCTTTTTTTAACTAACTTCCCCATCTAAATTAACAAAATAATTTCTCTAAAACATAATTAAAATCCAACAACCCTTCCCTCCATTTTGTTCTTTCTTCCTCTTTCTAGCAGTCTCACTTGATTACCTTCCCATACACGCCTTCTTTATTTTTTCTCACATAAATACCCAAATTCTCCCATTCCTCCTCTTCACATTCCTCGCGCTTCCTCCCCGTTTACTTTTCCAGTTCCCTCTCCCACCAAAAAAAAAAAAAAGCGCCATGTCCGCCGATCTCGATTCCCGGCCCAGCCTGCCCAAAATTCGGGTCGGAATCAGCCTCCGGGACACTCCCCAGCCTTCCACCAGCGGCGGCGAAGAAGAAGAAGGAGACGTTGTAATTCTGAATGATAATTCAGATCGGAATCCGGTGGAGAAGGAGATCGTCAATTCCATCAGCAGCAGCGAGGAGGAGTGCCGGACGCCGAAATCGTCGGAATTCAAGATCCCGGCGGTCCCGAGCTGCCCGCCGGCGCCGAGGAAGCCGAAGAGGAAGGCGATCCCCTGCAAGCGGAAGCTGGAGCCGGAGCTCGACTTCTTCGACGCGGTCAATCGGGAGGAAGTGGAATCGTTCTTCCGATCCGGTTTCCATCTGGCCAAGCGGATCCGCTGCCCCGATCTCGTTTCCTTGTAAAATCCCAATCCAAAGTAAGAAGAAGAGCAGAGTATAGATCGCCGCCGGCCGAAAAGAACGGTGCCGTATCGAGGAATTCTCCCCCCTCCACTCTCTTACACGAATTTCCTCCCCTTCTTTCTTTTCAGCTCCAGAATTACACCGTTACTATACCTTTTTCCCTGTATATGTTATATTATCAATATATATTGTATTAAATATTACACTCCTAAAAGTAAGCAAGGATTGAATCAATGCAACAGTGTACTCCCCGGCCGGCGGCGAATCTCCGGCCGTATTGTTTTAACTGTTATTACCATCATTATTATTTTCAATTTTCTGAATCGCGAAAAATCGAGTGCCGTGATTTTCTTTATCGATTGCGTGCAAGCAATTCAAGAACTGGTTCCCCCGTTCCGTTTCCGTAAAGACTAGGAGCCAAGAGATTACAGGTGGACAAGATAAGATGCCGGTTTCTGATTAGTCAAATTGGGATCTCAACCTTTTTCTTTTATTTTGGTATTACGTGAGCTTGTGAGATTGCGTCCGATTGGCTCAACGAATTTTTGTTAATAAGCACGGAAGAGAAGAGGGGATGTGGTAGTAGTAGATGAGAGGTTGGTGGTGGGTGGATGGATGGATGGATGGGGGATAAAATTACTGTAATTAAGGTGGGTGGTGACAATGTCGAATTATATTGTTTTCGAAATTGGAAGAATTGGATATCGAGTAATTATGGATTGGATTGACAGTTTCGATTTTCAATCGGATAGAGAAACCATGTATTAGTGAACGTGTCAAATCAGGATCGAACGGTGGTGGTGAAATGTAATTGATTATCTTGCTCCTTGTAATAGTTTTTTTTTTTTTCTTCTTGTTTTGTCTGTAGAGTTGGTTGGAGTGTAATTAGGTGGTTAATTAATGGGAGTCAGATTTGGGGTTTGATCTTATTCCCCTTTGTTTTAGTGTTTTTTTTTTTCTGAGTTAGACAGCAGCATGAGATGTTTGAGTGATTGACAAGGCTTTGGGATTGATAAACTTTCATTTTCTTTTTTTCCAACTCATTTTTTTGTATTTAACTTTTTTGCCTTCATGTATTTCATATATTTTTTTCCCCAGAATGTTAGAATGAGATAGAGAGGAGAGGACTTTGTTGTACATATCAATGAGCCCCAAAAATTAGGCAATGTGCATGGTATGTCATGTTCTGCCACAATTTAATGTGATGTTTCTTTTGTCTCTTTCCCCCTCACTAATGAATTTCAATATTTCATACATCTACTTAAATATATATTCTTACTTTTTTTTTCCTTTCCTCCGGTTAAATGTAATATTTCTACTCAAATATTACTCATAAGGGAGCAAACGAATACTACAAGTTCGAAATTTCTTAGATACGTCCTCGTTACTCAATCGGATGAGTCGTGATCTAGCATCATTTGTACAAAATACATCAACTAGAGCAATATGGATGATGAGCTAAGAACAATAGCGCGAATACTTGCTCCAACCGTATTGTATAAAAGTCAAATCAAAATCTCACACAAAAAACAAAGTGTACAATTACACACCAAAAAAAAAAAGCTGAACAATTTTCGGTAATTTACATCGTTCAACTCTGTTGATGACATGTTCATGTATAGAAGCATTGGAGGGGGGAATCTTGGGGTAATATATTTTTAAAATTTCTAAATAGAAACTAGGAGAAAAAAAAATTGGAATAATTAGGAATGCAAGATGGAAACAGACCCAGAAGTTAATGGCGACAATCAATCTTATGGGCCACGCAACATTTAGAGAGGTGGGAAAAAGAAAAAAAAAAAAAAAAAAAGAGGTCCATGTGCCAATTATGTCATCCGAAATCCCATTATTATTGTGGACGCAGCAGCAGCGGCACCGATCATCATCATCGTCATCAATTCATTTCGCCTTCAAGACTGCAACTCAACCAAATTATCAGAACTATATTATAATAATAATAATAATAATAATAATAATAATAATAATAATAATAAATTGCTTAATCCACAACCCGTCTGTGTGGAAGGGCCATGCAAACCGTAGCTTTGGAGCATAAAATATTTGATGGCCGATGGGATGGAGTATGGACCATTTTGTGGCTTCATCACCACGCTTCAATTTGCTTAGCTACTTATAAATTCCAATTTATAGTAGAAATAGGCGCCCTTATTACCGATTAAATAAGGCTCGAAAATATTGAAAGAGTCATACAATAACCAATAATAAAAAAATACCAGGAAACTCTAAGACTCGGAAAATATTTAACTCACAAGCAATATACTAAAAGTAGATTCGGAGGAGTCCAGCCAACCACCATGAGAAACATCGTAAAGTTTCAATATTGGATTGGGGGCTAAGATCAGGTGACTAGGGGGGGGGTCCTTTAGTCACTTGCCCGAGCCGATCTCAACCCTTCAATCTCGTTAAAATCTAATGGCTCCAATTAATTCAATTTAATTAAGGGTAATGAAGTAATTGCATGGTTAATGATTATTTTATATTTTAATAATTAAAAAGTAGCGGCACGTCCCTTCCTCCCCCGCTACCGACTAGAATTTCCCGACGTACTCCCGCCCTCCAGGATTTCCCGCGGCCACCATTTTTACTCCATATGTCGTTAATTTTCTTAGTCCTAGAGAGAATCCTGCGAAATATATTCCCCTTCCATGGAGTTCCGCAGAGGGAGAGGGAGCCCTGGGAATGTGCCTCCACCGTGGATTTTTTTCCTTCCCCGACGTCCCTTTCCGGGAATGTGCCTCCGTCGTGGGGCTAAAAATGGGTCTTGTGGGAATTTTTTTGGTACACACACAGAGAGAGATTTTTCTAACCGGAGGAAACTTTTCCGACGACCATTGACGACGGAGAAGGATTTTCCGGCGACAGTGCTAGATTTGTGATGTTTGTTGACATATTTTGTAATGTTTGTATCGGTTTCGTTTGTATTGTTTATCATTCTTCTTTGTCATTTTTTAGTGACGTTTTGTACGGTTAGTATGCTTTGTACTGTTTGTAGGTTTATTTTGTAATGTTTGTAAGCTTTGTTATTCTGTAATGTTTGTCAGTTTCTTTTGTAATGTTTGTAAACTTTGTTATTTTTGTGCACCATGTTTATTATTTTTGTCAACCATGTTAGTAATGTTTTTTATGTCTAAAAAATAACATGGTTGACTTTTGGATGAAACTCCTCTATATAGGGATGAAGCTTCCAAAGTCAACCCGGGTGTTTTTCCAGTTTGTATGGATTGTCGGTCTAGTTTGACATTTTTGTCCACCATGTTCGTAATGTTTGTATGTCTGAAAAACAACCGGGTTGACTTTAGGACGGAGCCCTCTATATAGGGATGGAGGCTCCAAAGTCAACCCGGTTGTTTTTTTTCTTTTTTGTAGGGATTGTATTATTGTTTGTCGGTCTAGTTTGTATTGTTTGTACAGTTCATACGTCTGTAATGTTTGTAAATCTGTTTGTATGTTTTTGTCTTTGTAGTTTGTATTGTTCGTATGTTTGTATGGTTTGTACTGATTGTAAGTCCGGTTTGTATACTTTATAATTTTTCATAATACCCAAAATACCCCTGTCATTAATTAAATACTCCTTCTCACTTTTTAACCGTCAGATGGTTGTGTCGAGATCTAAAACACCCCCTTAGTCACAGGATCCGGACTCGTTGGACGGAATAAAAGAAAGAGCTAGCCGAGTTATTCCTTCCTGATGTAGGAAGCAGCAATATTGATAATAATTTAACACTTTAATAACTGCGAGATTCACATATACTAAAATATCAATGGTCTTGCATTGCATTTGCATGTTACCAAAAGCAAGTGGAAAGAAGGAAAAACATTGTCTGACCACAAAGCACCACAGCAGAATCTGTAGTGTTTTCCGCCTTATCCTTTTTCATTGATTTTGTTTTCTCCTAAAACAGTACCGGCTAAATTCATTCCATGTACAGTAAAATTGGGATTTGCAGGGAGTAAGTCCAACCATTTGCAACAACGCATTTTTCTTCATACTAATAAATATGGTGATACTAATAATTCGAATTGTTGAGAGAAGGTTGTAATTAATCTTATATCACTCACTCACTATTAAATTGACAAGATCTCTTAGTACATCACCGATCTATAGAGTCAGTTCGGGTAAATATTCGGAGAGCCATTGAAAGTCTCTAGCTCGCTGAACATGGTGAATGTCGATCAAAGGTGGCCTCGTAGTTGGTTGGACTAGAGAGAGTGATGAAAATATATAGCAGCGATAATCCATCCATCGATCTACATCCTTTAGGAAGAAACAAACTATATAAATATAATTTCCAGCTCAAATTAAACATTGAAGTAATCAGATTTGAACGAAGGTATGTTTTTTTCTCAGATAATCATATTTATATAAACTATGTTTCTGATAACGTGACAAAATTAATAATAGAAGATATTGTGATGTGGGCACCCACATGAATTGTCCAGAAAAGCTAAACAACTAGAACTAGATCAAGATCTCATGAACTGAAAATATATATGGTTAATTACGGAAACAGTCGTTGAACTTTCTGACAAATTGCAGTTGAGACACTAAGCCATTTGGTTTAGCAAAATTACCAGTCACGGCTAATTAAGTATGGTCCATGAAACCGTACCGGAGACCGAACCGGAAAAGTCAGTGGTAGGGTATTTATGGCAAAACCGTGGTTTAACCGTAGTTCAACCGTTAGTACCTTTAAATATCTTCTATCGGTTTAGCTTCCGATACTGGTATTTTGTGGTTGAACCGCCGATACGGTACGGTTTCATGGACCATGCATGTGAATGGTTTTTAGGTTCCTAACATTGGTTGGACATGTTGCACTAGAAGTCAATGTAAGATATGGACCTAACTTTGATGATCCCCCCTCTATAGATACTAGTAAGTATGGTTTCAATAAATAAAAATTTTGTTGGTTATTGGATCCAAGTCGTGAATTCAAATGTGATGGCGGTTTCAAGAATTTTTAATTGTTGAAAACCAATTCCTAAATTTGAAGTTGGTACATGCAATATTATTATACAATGCGTTCAAATCAACTACTAATCTATCACGAGTCTCCCAATATCTCAATGCTTCGTCTTAATTCGCAAGCCGGCCATGCAGGCTACATTTCGTGTTAAGCACAACCATTCGTCATAATATTTCGTTCGAAGAAAGAAAGAACGGTGTCTAACTAACTAACTAACAAGTCTATCATAGGATCCTCTCCTCGCCCCACCGGATCCAAAGTAGTTGTTGTGGTTCATGCTAAAGGCTAAAGGGCTTAAAGCTAGCTGTCCCAAACAACGTGGTAGTTGCTAAACTTTACCAGCTCCCTTCCTACCCTAACTTTATCTCTCTCTCTCTAGCCGTGTATGTGAATCGGAATTGGAGATGGTAAGGCTGAGTCCAATGGGCACCCCATTTATGGGGGAATCTGCAAAAATGGAGAAGGAGATGGTCCAATGGGGAGGTTTGGGTCTCCAAAAATGGAGGATCCTGCAAATGGAACTCCAAATTTGGGGGTAGAAATGGGGATCCCCCAAATATAGAGGCTCACCAAAACCCGCCACGTGGCTTTTCTTTTTCTTTTTAAGATTTTAGGGGTTAATTGAGAGTTTAATTAGGGGATTAGTTAGGGATTTAATTAAATCAATCATTTTCAAGTGTTGTGTACAAACTCAAATTAGGTACATAATTTTTTGCCAAAAAAATTCGGACTCGGAATTTAACAAAATTCTATCGAAAAATTTGTATTTAAAAATGATGACGAACTATACAAAAATTAACATGAATAAATTATATTAAGACTACGATAAGTACATTTTTAAGTAAATGGAAAAACTAGAAAAATGAAAATCCTCAAATATGGAGATTGAAGCATTGGAGCAAAAGAAGGGAAAATGGAGATCAATCTCCAACTTTGGAGATGAAGGCCCCCAAATTTGGGGTTTTGCATTGGACTTGGCCTAATGGGGCAGGTTGGGTTGGGTTTTGTCAAACCCAAACCTATGGGTTTATCCGTGAAAAAACCCGGGGTAAAACTCAATGAGTTTGAAAAACTCAAACCCAACCCAACCCGCTGGGTATCCGTGGGTTCATGGGTCCCCACAGTTTTTTGACGTAAAAAATTTACAATAACAATTTTCTATCAGAATTAAAGTCAAATATCAATCTCTCAATACAAATTATCCATATATAAAACACCATTCTAGAAAATTCAAGCAAATCACAAATTAACTATTCAAATTGATCAACATCAATCTAGAAAACTCAAGAAAATTGAAGCAAATCACAAATTATCCATAAATAACATGATTAATTGAAAGCTTATTCCTTTCAATTAAGTTTCTTCACTCTCCACTCGATAACATCAACTTCATTCTACACAATTTGAAAGAAAAAATCAGACATGTCTCCACAACCATAAAGAAGATTAATTGTTTAGAATATTAAATATACCGAGAAAATTAACTATATGGGTGTGGGCGAGTACCCATGGGTCGGGTTTACCTCAACCCAAACCCAACCCAACCTGGTGAATAGTGAACATGTTTAAACCCAAACCCGACCCAAAACCTGTCAACACGGATTTTACCGCGTTGACCGAGTTGGGTCGGGTTGGTACCCGTGAGTTCGGGTTTTGTTGACATCCCTAATATGAACGTACGCTGGCTGTGTAGTGTTCCTTCCTTGTCGAAAACGACTTGCATAAATTCGACCTTTTACAACAATGGCATGTTACCGAAAGAGATATGATGACGATGATGGGGATGAGATAATGGAGCAAGACGACATGGACAGCGTAAAGTGAAAGAAAGCTCTCCTATAGCTACCCAACTGATGCAACAAACAAAGAATCAGTTACAACAATGGAGGAGTAGAGAAGACGAAAAGAAAGCAATGAAGATCTGGGAAAAGTGGGATGGGAAAAAGAAACCCGAAGAACAGAGCAAAGAGAGAGAGAGAGAGAGAGAGGCTGATGAGGATTTTATTTTGTCAAGTGTAAGACAAGTTGCTCTTTTGGGGAAAGTCTGCGCTCTTACAAATGGGTTTGTTTTGTGCCTAGCTAGTGGCCGGCCATCATCATCAAAGTGTTGTTCCCATGAGCATAAATGGCAAAAAGTAACCAACATATATTGCCTATTGCTCAAATCCAACTTATTACTACGTACTAAACTAATCATATCACAAGTAATGATTAACATCGTTTTGATATGAATCGGCTATTTAAAATGGCGATTATGATTAACATGGTTTTAATATGAATCGGCTATTCAAAATGGTGATTATGAGGCGGGTGCATAAAAGTGAGTGCACCGAAAACACCACACTCTCTCTCTCTCTCTCTCTCTCTCTCTCTCTATATATATATATATATATATATATATATATATATCCAAGTTTTTCGTTTGGATCTACACTGGACTCGTAGTATTGGATACCCAAAAGAAAATGGATACTCAATTCTAGTGCACTGAGATTAGAGGTGTAGTTAGATTGAAGGCAATTTGATGAGATAGTAGATATCATCTCTTCATGTGTACACAATTGTTTGGATCTAAATAGACCCATTTGGATCCCAACCAAATGAGTTCGTTCACTCAACTTTGAATCAATCCAAACTCAAACTTAGATCCAAAAACCCATTAAAAATGCGTATCGATTCGACAAGATATCATGGTCCATGAAACCGTACCGGAGACCGTATCGAAAAAGTAAGCGGTAGGGTATTTTATGGCAAAACCGTGGTTTACCCGTAGTTCAATCGTTAGTACCGTTAAATACCGGCTATCGGTTTAGCCTCCGGAAACTGATATTTTGTGGTTGAACCGATACGGTACGGTTTAATGGAAGATCATGAGGATGGAGTCTTTAAACTCAACGAATCCCCACATTGTCATTTCTAATTATATATGATTCTTTTCACTGAGCTCAAGGCTTAGCTTCTGCGGCTGGCCTGCCTTTAGTACTTTTGTTGATTGGGTTCTTTTTTAGTAAGGACGGGAGATTGGGTTCGTTTGCTTGGTCTTTGTTATCTATGTCTGTGCCTGCAGGCAGAGCATTGGAAAGGAGAAGGACCCACCGACGGCACAGAAATGGAATGGGAATTTTGTTGGGATTTGAAGCCAATTAATTCTTGTGTGTTTCACAATGATTTGAGTATTGGATCTAGGTAGATCCCGACTGCTATCCCTAACTAATTGTCATTCGCGATAATTAATTATTATTATCCGGTTGTCTGATTGAACCGCGGTAAATTTTCTATTTTCTATTTTCTATTTGTATAACGTACAATGTAACATGATGTAAGAGCATCAATGTCAAGTTTTTCTTTTATATTTTTTTCTTCACGCTTAGTATAACCAGATCTCTTCAAGATCGACTAACATTATGGATCGTAGCAAACGAGCATTTGTCATTTGAAGTTCAATGTCGAGTACATTGTGAAATAACGCTCTTGAATAGGAATGGCAATATAACAGGTTCGGGATCGATATCATGTCCACCTCATAACAGATCAGGTTCAAATCAGATACTTTATCACCGAGTGCGGGCCGGACCCTTGATGGAGAAGCTTAGGTATCAAAATTCAAAATCGGTGGAAGAAGCTTAACAAGCCAAATAAGTGAGGTGCAAATTAATTAATATATTTGGGTGATGCGAAATAAAAAATAAAAAATAAAGGACCGAAGGATATCAGGCCTGGCCAGAAGTAGCTGGGCCTTGTAGGCTTAATAAATAAGCCCAAAAATGTGTTAGAGCTGGGCCTTGTAGACTATCTGTTAGAGCTGTAAAGGGGATCGGCCCACGTTAAACATTTCCAAGTCCTCCCAAGTTTCTCATCTGAAATTTTAGTTCATCCCCATTCTTAAACTACTATTGTGCCTCTCTGGAGTAGATCTGATAAAATAGACCAGACCATTAGAAGGATCGCAGCAGACGAAACAATATCGCACAATTTTTTTATCCGCATTGTAGAACATCAAGAACGATTTGGTCTAGTCCGCGCAGTATGTGCTATTAGATGTTTTAGATCTGGTCCAGACAGCAGTTTATCGAACCATAACTTAGACCCAACTTACTTCCTCTTGGATTATAACAAGAACAATTCTTTTATTTACGCATGAATGAAGAAATGAGATCCAATTAGTGTTTAAACATATCACTTCCAATTATACAACGACAAAGAAGAGCCATCCCCACCTACAAAAAAACAGCAGCATGAACAACTGCCCAGCAAAAAAGGAGGGAAAACTCTATCAACAAAACGAAGAACAAAAGAGACACAGAGGGGGAGGGAGCCTGTGGTGGGATGAGAAAGCCTTCCTATTTCTTCAAAGGAAAGTCTGCCTGACACTGGCTCCATAAACATCTATACTGCTGCTATACATCTTCACTATGCCAAGAACTCTAAACTTCTTCGGTTTGCTTTTTTATCTTCAATGTTATTTCTATACATAAAGAATATTTATAGTATGGAGTATGCTCTGATAACTTCCACGATCGGTGCTCGACACAGTGGGCACTTACCACCGCCTCGAACCAGTTCGTTCGCACACTTCGAGCACGTACACATGTGCCCGCATCTGCAAGTACCACCACCATCAAGTTGGAAGAGAGGTTTAGAACTACGAACCAGTTCTTGGAGATGATTAAAAGGTTTATATCCTGTTCAGATGTCAAAGCAGAAGTTACCTGTACAACAAGGAATCAATGTGGCTATCACAACACACGCAGCATGTCCCTTTCTTCACATGACCCCATTTAGACCCATCCTGGGATGTCTCTGCAGCCATTCCTGGGCACACAGATGGTACAGTTTTGCACCAAAACAAATCTTAAGAGCCAAACAAAAGCAAACCCTACAACGAGAAAATATTTATAGGTCGTAAAAAATACTTCTTTTACAGAATTCAAGCTAAACCTTTTTCGCCAGATGATCGATTCAGGGCGGCAGAAACTTCCTGTCTAACAGAGCGCTGCAACTCTAGCTGCATATCCATGCAAGCCTCCAGCATTCTCTGCATGTTGCTCATTCCCTGCTGAAGCCTCGACATATCTGTTCTCAAATCATTGATCATTTCCCATTCCTGTTGAAACACCAACGTTACGCAGTCAGACAGGGAACCGAGCTTCACTGAAAGAATCAATATTAATGAGTCGATTCAATAGTGCAGGTAGATGACTCACAAGTTCCGAGCGATGCATGCTATGACGAGACCAGCCAGTGTGATGTAAATCCTGGTGCCAAAGAGGCTGGGGTGGTGGAACTGGTGGAGGCGGAAGTACCACTGAAGGTCTGTTTATCGCCTCATTCTGATCCTCATCCCTCTGCTGCTCTTCATCCTGCTCGGGTGAAGCAGGAGTTGGTACTGGCAAGTTTCGATGAACATCCCAATCAATGGGAGCACGACCGCGTCTTTCCACGTATGATTGTATCAATTGATCCAGACTTTCACGGAACCCACTCCGAAGCAGATTAGATACACTTCGCCTGTCAAACAAAAAGATATCTCAGTTTCTTAACAAGTCAATGCAGCTAGGGGTGAGGATGGTCCAGCCAGTCCAGAATCGACTCGATTTGATAGAGTAGGATCGAAAATAAATGAAAAAGCAAAGACCAGGGTCAGATCAAAAGCGCACTCAATCCAATCCAGTCCGTTTTGTATCAGAACAAAAAAATATCTTCACTTTGAGAACAAAACCAATGGAAATTTTATTAGTTAAGATCCAACCCAAACCAAATATCAATTCAGTTTGATTCGGACTGGTTTCGGTCCACAATAACAGCCTTCAGGGAGTGATCATTTACCTGCTCAATAACTCCCTAAGCTCCATACTATAAACATTTTCATCGTCTGGAGGGTGGAATCTATTCAACCTTCTCAATGGAACAGAACGGCGAGCTCTTGGTGGATCAGAAGGCCCCTCTATCCACGTTTCTACCGCCTCGCGAGAGCCATCTTCATGCCAAACTCCCTGGGCTTCCTGTGGACGACCTGGTTCGTTATGTACATTACCAGGTGTTTCTTGGGGCCAATTTTCAACACTATTCTGCTGCCAATTATGATCCACAGGTTCAGCATTGTCATCTCTCCATTCATTGAAAGGACCATAATCTGGCTGTTGCCAGTTTCCTCCCACATTATCTGTAATTTCCTCATGCCAACCCCTAGCTTGATTAGCAGTTTCCTGCCAATTCATATTATCGGTGCCTACATTACTTTCTGAGGCATTAATTGGATCAGGTAATGGACCGGCATCATTTCCTTGAGTCCTAGGTTCAGATTGAACATTATCCTGATGCTGAACATCCTGTGAAGTATCCGTTTCAGTCTGTTCATTTCTAGGATCGTTGTTATTATCATTAGGATCATCAGATTGGCCGCTTACTTGACCACGGACAATATTTTCCAATCTTGAACGAAATCCTTCCCTACAGCAAGAGCAAATCATTTTAGGATGGTAAATTAAAAATGAGGAAATTCTGCTGTAGAAAGATGAAAACAAAGCATTGGAATCCATAATGTTGAGTTTCGGTCTTTCACATGGACTTCAAAGAGATGCCAGTGAGAATGAATTGAAAAATCTGATGCATAATGAAGATGCATTCATATTAATTCTTACTCTTTGGTCGTGTATTGATTGTCCACTGCATCTTTGGAATGAACTTTAGGAGTATCACTTATTAACATACACATTTGGTAACTGCCTATGAGGTATCTATAAATAACCATCTAATGCTACTCTTACAGGAGCAAGAAAAAAAATCAGCTAGTGCCTATAACCAAATATACAAAGTTTCAACACAAAATTACCACTTCTTACACTATCTGTAAGCTTCTTGCCAAATCTTTGCTATGCGATGTTTTCATAAACAAAAACTAAATTCATTTTTCGCGCGACAAGCGCGAGGTTGGGTAGGAAACAACTCCAACAAAGGTCTTGCCATAATGATCTGCTTGCGTTGTTGTTTGTTTCTATCCCCTCCTATCAAGCATTGACACTAATCTAAAAGCTAATAGCATGGATTTAGGATGGGGACCAACTCTCCAAAAGATAAAAGTTCACCTGTAACTATCTTTTTACTCCACTAATAATATAGTACCATCACCAAATCTCAACCTGCCAGTTGATATTGATGGTGATATAAAAAAAACAAGGTTATTAAACGAACACACTGGAACAACGAACAAGTTCTCTAAACGTTTATAGCATGAATCCAGTAATGAATACCTTATACCAGAAACGGTGTGTCGCTGTCTTAATTGAACTAATTCGCTTGAAGCCACTGAAGGTGGTCTTTCGTCTTCAACAGTTGTTTCATTACGGAGGAATCTACCCCTCAACAATGACTGAAATCACAGAATAATGATAAAATACAATCATACACGCTTACTAAGAAAATGTAAACAAGATAGAAAGATACTTGGGCTGAAAATTTAAAAGTATCTAAAACAATCACAACTTAAAAAAACTCCACTTTTTCTTCACCCATTTCATTAGGAAAACAGTAGTGGGGGGAAATTCTAACACAGACTCACTGTGCACTTAGAATCAGAAACCACAAATGCCCAACGCAACAAACTTGACCAAAGTGATCAACCATATAGCAACCATTGACGTTCAACAGCCTCATCCAACAATATAAACTTAACTGAATGGGCATCAGATAGAAGGCCAGAAAAAGAAAGACATGAAACAAAGGGAAGCCTGGCTGACCGAGAGAAGTTTACTAGCAAGACAATAAATGAAACACCTATATAGAGACATGCAAGTTCACATTCAGAAAGAGAAGACCGAAATACAGTGATCACAAACCTATAGGTACTGCATTCAGGGAATTAACAACTCGCTGGAATAGGTAATATTGTTACAATTTATAGCTGATGTATAATTATGATATAATACAAGATACTGGGGGAGAAGGATGAGTAGAAACTAACCTGAATGCGATTGCGGTGAGCAAATTCAGAAACAGCTCTATGTTCCAACAATCCCTGAAGCTCCCGCTGCCTTTCCCTCTCAATCCTCATAAGCAAATCAATAACAGCTTGTCTGCCACGCAGTCTAAGTACGTCCCGACGAATATGTTCTGGTTGCCCTTCATCAACTGACCTTTCCCGACCTCTAGTAGTAACTTGAGCATCACCACGTCCACCAGTTTGGTCATCCCTTCGTGCCCCTCGAGACCCTCTTTGCTGCTGACTAGTCATTTGCACCCACTCCCTCACTATTCTCACCCTTTCACGTTCCGTTTCACCAAGCCATTCTCCTCTAGTACTGCCACCATTTCGTTGGGATAGATTCGATGTACGATCACTCATACCGCTGTCCATCCATCCACGAACAATCTGCCTCACCCTCTCCCTCTCAACTTCTCCAAGATCAGGAGACTGCTCCCGAGTTGAGCGAGCATTATTATCTTCTCCACGTTCAGTACGGGAAACCAGTTGCTCAGGCGACCAGGGTCCAAACTCGGTATCACTCTCCCCCACACTTCCCTGATTCTGACTTTCTCCTCGAGCCTCAGACATGTTGGTAGTGGAAGCATCATTTGTGGTAGTAGAATCCACACTCCTCCGCTGCCTCAACCTTTCACGGGCCCTGCTCAACATATGCTCATCCTCCAACTCCCTCCACATTTGCAAAATTGCTGATGCTCGAGTACTCGGCCTTTCAGCTGTCCCTCCCTGCCTTCTAGAAGTGGGCGGTGGGGGTGATTGTGGCTCCCTTAAAAACGAGGAATCAAGCATTGACACCGTGTGGAGACCTGCAAGCGCCATCAACTCCGACTCGCGATTCCTCCTCTCGATAGTGGTAATCATCATCTCTTGTGCCTGTCGAGCAGCCCACCTGCTGAGAATGCGGGAATGGCGCCTCCTAGCAGCTGACGACTCGGCCAAATCATCTCCTTCGAGATCCGACCTTCGTCTCCTGCGAACAAGCTGATCCCCCTCGTTGTCATCGTCATCATCTGGAGTACGAGTAGAGCTACAGGATGCAAATGACATACACTCATCTAAGGGCCCTCGCATCAAGTCCTCCCATCCCCTTTCAAATTCCACACGAGGATCATTTGTGGTAGTGGACTCAGGCTTTTGCTGTACCGGTTGAAAGTCTGTCATCCTCACAGTTCCCACAAAACCAACCAAGAATTCCTTGCCTTTTCTTTCAAATCCACAACCCTTGTTCAATCCACGCCCCCCGCACCCAATTCTCACTCATTGCAATCGCATAACCAGACATCCTCAACCTAAGGCCTATGAAACCAAAGGAAGAAACGAAAGTGGAATGGACAGAGCTGAAAAGGAAAAACAAAAATCAACCTCCCAGCCTCCAATATTCAGGATGAAGCTCAAAAAAGGGAACAGCAAACAAAAACAAAAACAAAAAAGGAAAATAATCTAATCCCTAATCGAATTCTGATGGAAATAGCTCCAATTCACCTCGACCTGAACAGCATTCCACACAAGTACGAATTTCAAATCAATCTCTGAGAGGACGAACGGCGGGAAGAGAAAGCGAACATTTTTAAACAATACCCATAATTCAGATACAGAACCCAGATAAAAAAAAAAATTGGAATCACTGGAACTCTGGAACCAGAATGGAAAGGAAGAAATGAATATGATGGATTTGAACATTTCTTTTCAACTGAGGAACAAAAGAAAAGAACGTACCTTGGAAGCTGCGGATAATTCTTTCAGGTGGAATAAAAGTAAATGCGGGTTCCTGGTTGTTGTCAAAGTGATGGGACGAGGAGAGGAAACCCTAACTTTCAGTATGGAGAAAGGAAAACTAATGGAAAAGGAAGGAAAATGTTGCATAAGGGAAATTTGTTGAAGAAGGAGGAGGAGAAGAAGAAGAAGAAACAGATACAGGATATGGATAATGAAATCAGAAATTAATTATAATCCTAATTTAGAAGAAGAGAGAATTTACGAGCGGAAAGAAAGAGCCAATCAGCCTCTGCCTCTCTCAGTCAGTCAGAAATTAGAGAGAGAAAGAAACAAAAGTACGGAGGGAAGGAGAGAGAGTGGCCATCGTTCCTTTTCTCCCCTAAACTTTCTATGAAGCGCAAATCGGTCCTCTATATTAATATCTATTACCATTTCAGTTCAAACACTTCTCGAATGTATTTTTAATGCGTGAATCAACATCAAATGAAGTGGACCTTCAGGTTCAAGCCTGGGAAAATCCATTCTACCAAGTCAAGTAATTTCATTGGTTTTTACTTGGGAAGACGGAGAAGAGAAAATGCATCGTTTGCTTGAACATATGGGCATTACAGGCTTCTGCAACACTTCATAATTTCATATGTGATTCGCTGTCGAGACCCAGAGGAGACTGGTCAGTCGATCTCCATTGTAGGAGAGTTTGCAAATGAGCGAACAGACCGATTCAATATAGAGGTTGCTTATGAGCCATCAACCAGGATAGATTCATAGCTTGCTAATAAGAGCATCTGCAGAAGGTTTCATAGATCGCAAAATTCGAGCCGTAGGTGGAATGAAAACCTAGATATGTTGCTACCAGCACACTGAGCAGGCAGTGACCACCAGCCAGATAAAGGGCAGACCCATTTTCCAACTGTGTGAGGAGAATTCTTATCCAGTCTTAGAAAGAAGAATGTAATAGACATGTAACTAACATCGTCATAATTTACAGTGTCACATAAATTCACTACTTCCGATCTGGAGAAATAACAGATAAGAAGGACAAAGTTCTGCAGCTAATACTGTCTCTACTCTGCATAATAATGGTGTGGCACGAACTCGAAACTATCGAATGATTTCCACCTCCAGAAAAGCTTCAAGTTCTCATATCTCACCCGTTCCAAGTGCCTGTCTTGAGGTATCACCGGAGGCCCATGCTTGATAGTCCTTCACAAGCTGCATCATTCAAAGGAATCAAACAATCCGCCTGTACTAATAGAAACCGCCGTCAGATTTACAACTGGGGGGAAATATGTGTGGCCGGAACTCAACCAACCTGCTGCATAAAGCGGGGAAGCATGATGCCCAGTATCTGTTGCAGGACCCCTGTCCCGGCTGATTCAATTGCTCCGGCTGGAAGTAGTCTAAAAGCAAAAGGGACTTCAATGCTCACCTGCAATTTTAAGAGGAAGATGAATATTGTGATTTTAAGGTCAAGGCTTAGGAATATTTGGCTTCCTCCATGACACAAGAAAAGGATGCATGAAAAAGGCACCTAATTTTGGAAGCTTTACCTCAATGACAGCATCAGAAGTAAGTTGCTGTACCAATGAATTGCTTTGGTTGGTATCGCATGAGATCCGATTCACCATAGAAGCTGCATTCCCATTACCAAATCAATATCAAAGCAGAGTCCTGAAAGAAATCATATGTACAAACTTAATGGCATCATGATTCATGCTTGTCCTGAGATTTAAAAAGAAACACAATCTCTGAACATTATTGACATTTGTGCCTGCCATACCCCACATATCTCCAGCATATACATGATATTGTTTTCAAAATGTTTCGACAGCGTGCAGCAAACAACTCTAGTGGGTCGGATGAAAACTGCCCACGTTAACCCTAAACTTATTCAAATGCATCAAGCAAGTGTTACCAATGCGAAGGAATGCCATAGAGAAAAATGGTAAAGAACATGTTGAGACAGGGAAACCATACCATCAAATTTGTCATTCTGCGCGACCACAATGGGTGAACCCTCAAGCTGTCATCAAAGATCACAGAACAAGCAGCTAAATATCAGAAGCAGCAATCAAAAGTTTGCATATACATAAAAGCTTTTATTTCGGGTAAATCTACATATAAAGTTGCTACTGGCATCAGAACAAATTCAATAATCAGAGATTCCTCATACGATCACACCCATCTCTAACTAACAGGTGGTGTAACTTGTAAGTTAACAATCGAGGGAGAAGAAGAGAAGCAGGCAGTACCTTACAGGACAAGAGCTTAATGCAGCAGCCATAAGGCTGCTCCTCAACCTTAACCAGCAAAACAGGGCAAACTTCAAAATTGAAAAACTTGAACCTGTAGACATAACACCTGAACGTGTTGTCATCCACCCTCTCTATCCTCTCGGCATCCAGCACCGAGTACTGACTCGCCGGCAAGCTCATATACTCCGCTACAAAGTTGCCAACCAAGCAAGAAAACCCTCAATCAGAACAACAAGCAAACCCAGATCCCTGACACGAAGTGAAAATAACATAAAGCTTATCCTAACATTACTTAGAGGACGCCCAAGTTGGCTGACGGAGATAGATTCCCTCCGCCGTGCCACGAACCGGGCTTTGGGAGCCGAATCCGCAGAAGCTCGCAGCGAAGCGAAAGTGGTGGGAGAGTAGTCATTGCCGTGGGAGAAAGAAGCGGAGCTGAGAGTGAAGAGGCTGTGGTCCTTCCCGGCCCCGGATCGGAGTATGCCGCCGGCTCCGGCGGGAGTGGCAGTCGAGCTGTAGTAGAGAGCCATTTGAAGAAGATAAGAACAACAGTTCAAAACACTACTGCAACAGAGCAGGTTGAAGATAGTATTTAGATCCAGCATCGGAACTTTCTATTTTTCATTTTTAAATATCCTGCTCTGAGGAGGCGCATTGTAGACCCAGCCTGTATTTACTAATCTAACGTGCACCGAAAATGACCAGCGCCCAAATTCTCACCGCCAAACCAGCTTTTTGGCGGTAACTTGAAAGATCTCCCGCACAAGAGAGAAAAGGAATTGAATCCTTACATTAGGATGGGTTCATAGGCAAACTCAAATACTGCATTTCCAAACACAAGACTATAGAAAGAGAAGCAAATCAAACAAACCCTCAAAAGTTTTCAGTGACACTAGGTGCTCTTCAGAATTCTGCAGCAGCTGGACAAAGATTCATGTAGCTGCAACAACAACTAGCAACCATTCGATGATCTACATTCTCGATCCAGGGAGTTGAACTCCACTCACATCAAGCAAACAAGCTAGCATTGAATCGAATACATTCTTAATCCTGGGAGTTCGACTACTCATTTCGAGCAAGTTCAGTAACTCGCAGCCTATGCCAACTTCGATAAACAGCAGGGTTGGACACATTGTTGCAGAAAATGATAATGAGGATAGCTCAAAGAAGATAAACAGACTCTGCTACTTAATGTGTAGCATTGACAAACAATTCATGATAACGGAACCCTTACCTTAGGATGGGTTCACAGGCAAACTAAAATACTGCATTTCCAAACACAAGAAACATATAGAAAGAGAAGCAAATGAAACAAACCAAAGACGAACAACCATTCAATAGAACATAATTCGTATTTAAAGAGTCTGCCCAGATGGAAATGCAGTCTTCGAAGCAAACCCAGCAATCAACTTACCGAGCTGTAATATCTCAGGACTAAGAACACCACAAAATCGATATTCAGGAGCTTATGGTTTGAGAATGAAACCATGCGGCAACTCAAGAAGAAGGGCAATCAACAGGGCTAGGTCAGAACCTATTCAACATTCCAGATTTCAATTTGAGAAAGGAATAAAAAAATAAGGAGAATCAACAATATCCACCAAAGAAATCGATCATCAATATCCGTTTGCCATGAAAATTCAACAGACTACCACAGCACCGTAAAGAAAATTTACAATCCATCAGAACCCTAATCAGGCGTAACCATAAAATCCCCAATTCGACCGAGCATAAAACCTAACGACCCACGAGAACAGATCTGGAGCACAACCCTAAGAGCTGGTAAACTTGGTGACCGCCTTGGTACCCTCCGACACCGCGTGCTTGGCAAGCTCACCGGGAAGAACAAGCCTGACGGCGGTCTGGATCTCCCGCGAAGTGATCGTCGGCTTCTTGTTGTACCTAGCGAGCCTGGAACTCTCCTGAGCGAGCTTCTCGAAGATATCGTTGATGAAGCTGTTCATGATCCCCATCGCTTTGCTCGAGATCCCAATGTCCGGGTGGACCTGCTTCAGAACCTTGAAGATGTAAATCTTGTACGTCTCCACGCTCTTCTTGGCCTTCTTCTTCTTCTTGTCGGCGGTGGCGCCGTCCTTGGGGAGCTTCTTCTCGGCGCGGGGCTTCTTCTCCGCCGGTGCCTTCTCGGCCGGCTTCTTCTCCGCTGGCTTCTTCTCTGCTGGCTTGGGCGCCATTGCTGATCGCGAGCTGAATTCTAGAGAGGGAAAAGGAGTAATTCTACTTTCAGGAAATTCTGATCTGAGTATTGACCTTGAGGCTTTGAGAGTTTGAAGTTTGCGACGACGAGGCTTTGTTTATATAGAACTACTGGGGTGAAGGTGATTGGCTAGTTGGTGATGCACGCGGATAGATGACGTGGACGGCTGGATTTGGGAAGAAGGTAATGAACGGTTCAGATCTCTGGCGCTCCTCCGGGTTCGTTTTTTTTGTTTTTAGCTCTGGCGGGCGGTTTAAAATTTTTGGGAAATTAAGGAAATACAAATTCAGGCTGAATGGGCCAAAAGCCCAAAAGACAGTTCAGTCCATCGAAGAACAGCCTGGTAAAAAAAGCCCAATTCTTCTAACCGCGCCGAAGACTGGCTTCCTTCCTTCTTCCATCTTCCCTTTCCGTCCTGCTCTTATTCAGTCCACAATTCCCTAGCCGGCGAACGTCTTCTCCATACAAATTGACGATTAAGAAGAAATTACTCTTCATCCGCTTTCCTTGCTAGATTGACGACTGTCCCCGTGCATCAGATTGATTTGGATCTGCTTTTACCATTCCCCTGGCAGATTCATAAAAGGAGGAGCATTTTCTGTAATGGAGAATTCTGAATCTGTTCAGCTAAGTGGAGAAATTGGTACTGAACTATTTTTCTTTAGGGTTTCCCATTTCTTTTACTCGATGTTCGCCTTTCAATTTGCTTAGGGTTGTTGGGGCAAGCGTTCTTTGCTTACTGATACGCTGCTTGAACACAATTAGTTCTGGGATACTCGTCGAACCCTATAATCTGCAATGAGTTTAGGATTGTGTGCAAGCTGAAGTTATGATCTTTTTGGTTATTCTATTGAATTGCATTGTTTTGCGGGTGAAGCACCGAGTTTTGGGAAGTGGAAAAAAATGCGTTGACTTGATTATTCTTTTTGCAGTAACAGATGGCGATAGTGAAATAGTTACTGAAAGTGCTGCATTTGTGCGTGGAGAGGCTCCTCAAGATGGAGACGGCCCTCCGAAAGTTGATTCCGAGGTGGAAGTTCTTCATGAGAAAGTCACCAAGCAGATCATCAAGGCAGGTCATGGGGAGAAACCATCCAAATACTCCACATGCTTCTGTAAGTACTGAAGCAGCTGTTGGTAAAAGCTATTAATCGGTAGTGTACTGCCACGTTCATTGCGATCTTAATTTGTGCCCCTAAGTAAAGGATATCGATACCAGTGTCATGGATATGTGGTTGACGATCACACTATGTCTTCTCTGTTCAATGGTTTTATTCATGCTGTTCACTGTGTAAGTTGTAGGCATTGGAGAGCTTTAATTAGATCAATGCATCATCTCCTGTTGAGTTTATTAGTTGGATGCTTTTTTTTATTGCGTTTTTCATGTATGGGCCTCTCCAATGCCACTACGGTGGCAGTTCCTTTGAGACAGTAAAGTTCTGACCGAGTGAGCCTGGATTCCAGTGCACTATAAGGCATGGACTGAAAGCACGCAACATAAGTTTGATGATACGAGGCAGGAACAACGGCCACTTGAAATGGTTCTGGGGAAAGGTGTATGCCTACTTCCTATAGTTTTAATGTCACTTCATCTTTTATAGTATCTCATTTTCTTACAACTTACTCCTCTTTATGTAATAGAGAAGAAACAAATGACTGGTCTTGCGATTGGGGTTTCGAATATGAAGGCTGGTGAGCGTGCACTGCTTCACGTGGGCTGGGAATTAGGTTATGGAGAAGAAGGGAGCTTTTCATTTCCAAACGTTCCTCCAAAGGCAGATGTAGTCTATGAAGTCGAGCTTATAGGTTATGATGAAACCAAAGAAGTAAGTGATCTAATGATTTGTCACATATCAGCCAAAAATTCTCAGCATATCCATGCTCAAGACATGATACATGTTCCTTTCCTATGGTGTCTAACAGCTAAATGATACGATGCCATCTTACAGGGGAAAGCTCGTAGTGACATGACAGTTGAAGAGAGAATTGGAGCAGCAGACAGAAGAAAAATGGATGGAAATAATTTATACAAGGAAGAAAAACTTGAGGAGGCCATGCAACAATATGAAATGGTCAGAACATTACGTTCTTGATGTAAAAGTTTGTTGGCGGAGCTTCTTTTGTTTTGATGATATTGTTAACCAAGTAATGTGTTTGTTTCAGGCCATTGCATATTTAGGTGATGACTTCATGTTTCAACTGTTTGGCAAATTCAGAGACATGGCTTTGGCTGTTAAGAATCCATGTCACCTTAACACGGCAGCATGTTTGATAAAGCTAATGCGCTATGATGAGGCTATTGCACAATGCAGTATGGTAAGTATGCTTACAGTCGTCTCCTTGCCTCTTCCTCTCCATTTATTGACAGACCTCTTAGAGCACTCGATCGTGCATGAAAATTATTTCGATTCAATGTAACAGTAAGATTGGTTTGGTAACAGACCCAATCTAGCTGCAAGTCGCGGCTGAAGGATGAAATAGCATTGGCATACCCTGCGCTGGTTTCAAGTATCTTATGTAATTTTGGTCTGTACTGAACGGGGACTGATGAACATATTGATATTGTTGGACGTTTCAGGTGCTTGCTGAAGACGAAAACAACGTGAAAGCATTGTACAGACGAGGCAAAGCCAAAGCTGAACTAGGGCAAACTGATGCTGCCCGAGAAGATTTTCAAAAGGCGCGTAAATATGCACCTGAAGACAAGGCTATTGCGAAGGAGCTGCGGCAACTTGCTGAGCAAGATAAAGCTTTGTATAAGAAGCAAAAGGAGATATACAAAGGCATTTTTGGACCACCACCAACTCCAAAGCCTAAGGAGCCTAGTAGTCTTCCCATCCGGTTTTGGCAATGGCTAATCTTCATATGGCACTCATTCATGGCTCTGATTCTCCAGCTATTCAGGCGCGAAAGGCTGAAAACCAACTAGTCTAAAAGCTCAAAGGGCTAGCCTGCAACCAAATTCTGAAATTTGCGGCCAGCAACACAGATTGATACACTACTTAGCCCTTCAAACAATGGGAATGTTGCCAAAGATGTTTAGTGCCTTTGATACTCTCGTATGGCTGCTAATGTACGTACTACGAGATTATACCGAAAATATGTAGTACAATATTATGTGCCAAAATTGTAGTTTAATGTGGTTCTCTGTTCAATCATTTTCTGCTGCTAAAAATATCTACCGATTGGGAATGTGGTGTATTTTCGGTTAGACCGGTCAGTATAGTAGGGTTTCTTAAAGTATAGAACCCCAATCAATTGATGCACGGGGTAAAACTCGGCACTAACGCGTATTCTGAGTTAGGTGTGAGATTTTACTCGTTTTTTATATTGATAGGTTTGATTGAGAGTATGAGTTTTGTCAAAACTCAATCCACTTTCCACCCTACTCACTCTCCAAAAAAAAAAAAAAAAACGATGTCGTTTTGCATCTAACCTTAACATTTTATGTTATTAGTCTATAATATACATGGCAATATTCTTCTATCAATATGGATAGTTTAAGAAACTAGATCCAACGTGACCCATTGTAAACAATCTCCAAGCTCATACGCATCCACGAACAATGATACGTAGCATGGCTGCTACGTTGCTGAAGAGATCATCGTTTCAGTATCCGCAATGTTCATCACACAAACAATCCCCTCTTCATACCGCCCAAAACCTACAGATCTCTACCACTTCTTCTTGCATATAAATACCATCCCATCATCTGATACGAAGACAGACAAAGAGAAGGAGCCTGCAGAAAGAGGAATTAATCAAAATGGAGACCAGCAAGAGAAACTACAGGTGTCCAGCAGCAGGCGCGAAGAAGATGATGGCAATGGGATTGGTGGCAGCACTACTCTCACTGGCCGCCGTCGAGGCTGGTCAAGAAGGCGGAGGAATAAGGCCGAGATGTTGCACAGGATGTTACAGAGGATGTTTCTCCGACTGCATGACGAGGCAGGGCGACAACCTCAATACGATCGACCCTTTCATTTGCTCTGCGGAATGCTTCGTCCACTGCATCTTTAACTTGTACACGCCTCCTCTCAGCGCCCAAACCTTTTGCACCGCCGGCTGCGCCGTCTCTAAATGCTCCAAGTTCAGCTCCAACGGTCACCCCAGTAAGGCCATTCTGCATAACATATAATGTACTAATAACTAGTTCTCTTCCCACTTCTTAATTTCCACGTTCTTCTATGTCTGCAGATACAGGCAAGGTTGAGAGCTGCGTGGATTCTTGCTCTCGCGGCTGCTCTAAAAACCATGATCAGTATGCCTAATTCATTCATCACCAAATGCAGAATGGAAAACGGATCGATATTGTTGGAGGGTTCTTAGTTTATTACTTCATTTAGCTGTAAGAAGAATAAAAGTTGGTTTAATTTGGGGGGTGTTTAGTGTTTGTAACAAAGAAACATAACACTATTGCAGATAGAGCAACTACACATATCATGAAGGTATTTCATGAAATGGACGTCTTAATCATGTAGGTCATGAATCCATGAAAAGTTGAAGCAATAAGGGAAACAGAATGCAAATACTCCATACACTCTAATCGTGACTACTGCTGTTCCGGAAGCAAGTAAAATGAAGACATAAATGACATGAAGGTTTTTGCCCCTATGACTGACTAGGTTGAAATTGAACCACCAAAATGGAGGGACTCTCCCTCCAGTATATAGGGTTTGTGCGACTCAGGACAAACACATAACCATATCACAGCTAATACAAACAGACCACTGCATGCTCGGGGCAGGAGGGGAAGGAGGGATCGCTTTCAGTCGCCTAGGGCGAGTTCTCTGGTGTCTTCAGAACTGGCGCGGGGTTGTTGTCGTCCTTGTGTTGTGTGACAGCCGCACGGAAATCTTCGACGATAGAACTATCCTTGAATTTCAGGGCAAAGGTTGAAAGTGCTTCGTCTTTGGCTTCCCCGATGCTATTGATGCAAGCAAAAGTGATGCCTCGCTTTTCCATGTTCGCGAGCTTTATATCGGAGAATAGATTAGCATTCAAGATCAACCTCAAGTTACCCTTAGACCTCATCAGGAGCCTGGCTTTCTCTGTTCCACTGGTGGAGACATTCACCTTCACTTCTCCTTTCCCGCGCTCCTTCCAAGAGCCATCGAGGAACTCAAATAACACAGAATCTGCAGAGAATACTGCCCTTTCATTCTCTTCTCCGGTCTCCACTGGGACCTCCGGCATGGAGGGGAAGCTGCTTCCTTCGCTCTTGGGGGCAACAGAAGAAGAGCCTGACGAGTTGAAGAGTGAAGAATTTCCATTTGTAGGGAGGCCAAACCCAAAAGACGGCTGGTCGCTTTTCTGCCCAAACAAGGAACCAGCACCACTGGCAAATGGAGAACCGTCCTTTGGGATTGACCCAAAGGAGAATGACGAGGAGCTGGAAAACCCTGTTCCAGCTAGGCCAGTGAAAGCGTTTTGGCTACTTGAAAGCTGCTGGAATGAACTCAGGGCAGTACCTTCACCACTAGGGTCTGCACTTTCACTGCTCTTATCCTTCTTTCCATCATCCTCTGCTTTACTATCCCCTGCTGCTTCCTTCCCGTCAACATCTTCAGCTTTATCAGTCCCAGTGACGTTCTTGCCTTTGTCTTGAGCTCCATCACCCCCTTCAGCCTTTTCATCCACCGACTTAATGGCTTCGCTGCCATTATCACTCTCAGTTTTATCTTCTAGCGGTTCCTGGGCCACTTCACCAACAGTGTCAGTTGTAACCTTATTAACAGTGCTCTCCTTGTAACCTGCAGACTCGACCACTGACACACTTGCACTGCTTTCTAATTGCTTCCCATTAGAAGCATCTTTATCTTCCTTGGCTACATCACAAGCACCAGTTTTGATGTCATTCTCATTAGAAGTTACTACCACAGTTGCTCCAGACCGAAGGACCGGACTCGGATCACTTGGTGGAACCAAACAAATTCCAGCAAATGGATTAGATGAGGGGAGGTTTGGGGCTGCAGTTGACTGACTGCGTCGAACTTTCACAATCCGTCTGGTGGCCAGAACCTCATCGCTGGCCTTCTTGAAAGTTCCAGTCTCCATTTCAGACAAATCTTCATCATCATCAAGGCCAGGGTCGTCCTTTGATATCTCCCTCCCTGCAGCTCTCTTCTTTGAAGATGGAAGGACATTCTCAGAGTCCCCCATTCTTAAAATAAAACAACTAAGCTGGCGTTTTTTGCTCTCTGAAATAGTCAAGACTCTGCAGGCAGAAAAAAAATAGACCCACTTCTCAGTACGCTATTACCACGCTTTAGCAAAAGAGACACAAAAAGACAACAATAATATCATCAGGAGCTCAAAGACTGCTTTAACGAAGCATGAATTATCATCCAACCAGGGGAGCCAGGAACTCAAAGACAACAATAATATAAACAACAGAGTTGAATAGCGAACTTCTATATGTTATCAACCCACTTCATAGGACAAGCGACATTGTATACCATTAAGGCTAAGGTAGCTTACAAACACCATAGAGCATCATAGAGAATTGAAGGATTCATCAGTGTGAACCTTCATTTGAAAGAAAAAGAACCACTTTGAATCGATTCAAGGTGAAAAGGAAATAAAACAGGTCACCAGGTAATGTATGAATCAAGCCGATAGCATTTCCTCAGTTAGCATGACAGAAAAGAAGATTCCTAATGAATGAACAACTGGTTGTTTACAAGAGGCCACTAAATAAACTCAGCCATTGAAAAACTGAAAGAAGCCCGCAAGGAATACGAACCAAGTTGCTGGTGCATTGGGAGGCAATAAATTTACCTTTGACAGACAAAACCCTAGGATAAGACAAACAAAACATGAATCCATCATACTCCAAAACCAAAAAAAAAAAAAATAGATTCTTTTAATTCTAACAACCTTCTGATTTGATTAGCAGTGACGCAACTAAAGGATATTATGTAGCTCGTTACAGATATAATGAAATGAACCCTATCCACCGATTAGGGTTTCGAGGGGGGGATTCGGATTTTCAGGGGATTAAAGGAATGAATCAGCAACTGACCTCAGCCCGACAAAGGAACGAAAGCAATCATTTTTATGCGTCCTGCGCCTTCTGATACTGTCGCTGATGAAGTAGGGAGAAGCGCGGCAAAGATCGATATAGCTCGTAAACGGCAATAAGACTTATAATATGTATCTGAAGAAATGGGGAAAGGGTTCAGTTCCCTAGCTCGCCTCCTATGGCGAGAGTGATGGGAAGGAAGTGGAAGGAAGAAGGACGAGCATGAGCCGCAGGCCGGAGTGGAGCCTCCGTTTGTGTTGGAAGAGGAAGCAGCGGTGGAGAAAGAAGACCGTCTAGAAGGTGCGCTTTTCTTAGCGTAGGGTTTTGCTTGCGGGCATATCAGATGGCTAAGCCTGGCGTGTGCGATGGTTCGGTCCGGTTCGGTCCGAAACCAGACCGCATCAAAATTCAATATAGTAAGTGTAGAGGGATTATGTATATTAATCAAAGTTCACAGAAATTAGTGTGCAGTCTAGATACAATTTGGGCTCTCACTCTAAGCGACAGCAAAACTAAGTTTAGTGAAAATGTACGCGACTGTCAGAGACCCCACATCCTGAGACACAGAGAATTTCTGGATGCGCTTGAGCAAAGTCACAGCATCCGTATCCAACTCTCCCAGTGAAGAGAAAGAAAAGGGCAGGAACTCGTAACCAGCCGCCATGCACAAGTCCCGATACTTAGCACACTTTTGCCGAGCAGCATCAGCAACTCGGCCCGCCACAAAATCGGTCATCCCAATCTGAGTCAAAGGTGAAGACCAAGTTAGAGCAATACACACATCTCACCCCCTATCCCAAGAATAAAGCAGCAAATCCGCAGGACCAATGTAACATATATTGATGTTAGAAAGACGAGAGATGAGAACCTAATCTCATTATAGTTAATCCAGTTTGATTGAGTGCAAACATTGGTTTGGTCCGATTTGATTCTATAAAATATTAATTGAGAGCTAATTTTGTTTGCCCTGAAAATATAAATGTGTGTTTGCCTTGTAATGTTGGCAGTTTATTTGAGAATTGTGTTCGTTTGTGATTCAAGTTGAACTATATTTGATGAGTTAAAATCTAGATCTCAAGATCTATACAAAAATCGACAGACTTTGATTATAATTTTGTTAGGTTCTTGAAATGTTGATGAATGTTAGGTTATTGAGTTGAAGCTTCATGATTATTCAGTTAGGGCGGAAAATTGTCATGACCCGTTCTTGTTCTGTCTCTGACCTTGTCTGACCCGTCCTTGAAGGGTCAAGATATATAACTGACCCGTCTCGTCCCTGTCTCCTTCTTGACCCTGTTTGACCCTCAAGGGATGGGACGGGTCGGGTCAACTGGTCGACCCTAATCTACACAATACTATTTTTACAAATTATGTTTTGGTACCCAAAATTATTTTTTCTTACAATTCAATGCCTGAAATTTATTTTTTACAATTAAGTTCTTAAATTTTGATGATAAAATTACATTTTGGTACCCAAATTTTTTATTTTAGCAATTTAGTACCTAAACTTTTACAAAGAGTTTCAATGTGGTATGAGATAATTGTTGTTGCTAAGGGTCACCGGTCAAAAAGTGACCCGTCTCTAAGTTGACCTGACCCGTCCCGACCCTTACAGGGTCAAAAGCTGACTCGTCCCTAAAATGACCCTATAGACAAACTGACCCGTCCCGAACCTTAGGGACGGGATGGGTCGGAACGGGTCAGTGGGTTTTTAGGGTCAAACTTACACCCCTATATTCAATTGTATGTTTCCACATTATTTGCCTTTTTATTGCTAGGTCAATTTGATGCAACCATTTGGTTCTCTTGCCCGAATTTGTGTGGTTTTTGGGTTGGTCAGGGCAACCTCATTAATAGGTTAGATGACACGGGGTTTTACATGGTCTGGTTAACACAACTCCAACCATGGCCTCCAAACTATTAGACTCAAAAGCCAAAACTTGGAGTTTTATCACCACCCATATATGCATATTTTCTTGTGATGAAGACTCCTCTTAGAACCTTCTTGATGGAACTTCTCTCCTTGTTAGCAAGGGGCTAGGATACGCGTTTTATCAAATGAGGGAGTGGGAGGAGAATAGGTGTGGGAGTTTGTGTGTCTTTTGGGACGTTTTACGAGTTATTTATAGTCGTTTGGACTTGGAAATTACACTCAAAGCGAGACAACATTTCACATATAACATGGTCATTGAGGTTTGTCATCTTATCCACTTGAAAATGCATCTTTTTACCCTTAGCCATCACACTATTTCGCACAAAATTGGTTACAACAACTCCTCCTTTTGTGATTCACAACAATTCGGCATCAAGAAGGATAATCGCCCCTCAATTTGTCCGAAATCATCCATACTCAATGGCAAGTATGGTCACTTCATTGGTCCACGTGTTTTGTCTTATAGCTCCACTTGTCACACATGTGTTTAACATGGATGGTTGATGAACCACAATATGACATGATGCATCGCTTAAGAAATCATTCTCGTCGAATCACTTGAATATTTCTACCTAGTTCCATATAGTGTCATTGATCTCCATTAAGTAGCTTGAATTTGCTTTGAGTCAAGTCTTAGTGACTTGAGCTCATAAGTGTCAGTGAGCTTAATTGAGCTTAGTACTAGTTAGTGTTAGATAAGGCTACTAGTTGTGAGTTGGATTTAGCTTGTCGTGTATAAATTAGTTATTAGCTACTCTAGTTTTTTTTATGGTTAATAAAAAAAATGGTGTTAAGCTCTAGAGGTGCAACCTGCAAAGCTCTCTCTCAAAACACAACGTTCAGATCTATCAATATACTAATACATCATAAAAGGAAACAAAAAGGAACCTATTGTGTATATTTTTTTTTTATTAAAGAGAGGCAAGAAGCCAGGGTTACAGGATCTTAACTGCTAGAAGCAGGTCAGGAGCACCAAATAAAACCGAAAAAGGCACTAAAAACAGAGGATCAAACCGAGCAGAGCCACCACCCTAAGGGTCTTCTTCTCGAATGACTTGCCTGGGGAAGCTGATCCCCAAAACATCCTCACGACATATTCGGTCCAGGTCCAATGGGGGGTCAACTAATTCATGCGTACCGAAGGGATAGACGAGACTGTGCTTCGAGAGCCAGTCCGCGACTCTATTCCCTTCGCGATACGTATGAACTAATCGAACAACCCATTCTTTAGCTAACATACGTCTAATCGTTCCAAGGATCGTAGCATAAGGGTGAACTCTGTCATTTCTCTTCTCAATGAGTTGAAGAGCTAGTTTGGAATCTGTTTCGAGCACGAGGAATCGAGATCCCTTTCTCCATGCTAGTTCCAGGCCCTGAAGAATTCCCTAGAGCTCAGCAAGCAGAGCGGAACCTGCTCCAAGTTTGCTGCAAAATCCACCCAACCAATCTCCATCATGATCACGAAGCACCCCACCTGCAGTGACCATTCCAGGATTACTTTGAGCAGTGCCATCAGTGTTTAGCTTGTGCCATCCTGTTGGCGGTCTATTCCACCCAATTAGTTGCTCCTCCCTAACCTGCTTCTTGCTCAATGAGATGGCCTTTTGACCTGTTTCCCAAGCCTTCACCCACTCAGAAGCTTTAGTCTGAACATAGTGATAAAGCGTTGCATTCGTGAGCTTAGTCCCCTTGAAAATCCCCTCATTTCTGCACTTCCAAATGTACCACAGAATTAAGCTGAAAAAACTGCTCCATTGCCCTGGCCAGTTGCCAGTCGAGTCATCCATGATGTTCGCTTTAAACCAATCATCGCAGCTGGAGTCGAAGAAGCTGTCTTTGCGTTGTTGCTCCAGGATTCTATTCCACACTGATTTAGCCCTTCTGCAGTCTCTCAAACAATGAAGGTTAGTTTCAATGACATTACTACACTCAGGGCAAGAATCATCCTGCGAAAGGTGTCTATACTTTCTGATGCTATTCGTGGTCAACTTTTGCTGGGCAGCAATCCAAATGAAGACCCTGACTCTTTCCGGGACCTGTAGTTTCCAGATGCGTTTCCAGATTGGACTAGGCTGCTGGACTGGTAGATGCTGGCGAGCTTTGTAGGCGGAGTTGGCCGAGAAGTAAGGCTCCAGCAAAATTGGTCACCTTCAACATCCAGCGGGTCGATGATTATCGCTCTGATTTTGTTAACGATATGATCTGGCAGCAGATGTTGAAACTCATCCATCTTCCACCCTTGATCTAGTTCCCATAAGTCAGCAACCGACTTCCTTAGCTGCTCCTCTGAGATGTCAGCAGTGGCCAGATTCTTCAGTGGCACCTGCGAAACCCAAGAGTCACACCAAAAATTAGCTCGCCTACCATTCTTGATATTTAGGGAAAAACCCTTCCTCAGCACATTAGCAGATGAAACAAAGCTGCGCCAGGCGAGAGAGCTTCCCTGTTTCTTTTGCAGGATGTTGAGACCCTCTCTGTTTCCTCCATACTTGTTCAAAAGCAGCCTAGCCCACAAACACTCATCCTTGGTGGCCAATTTCCAGTTGCCCTTAGCTAGCATAGCCTGATTGGCGAGTCTGGTGGTGCGAACTCCAGCTCCACCTTGGTCCTTTGGCAGAGTGATCTGGTCCCACGCCACTGGATGAAATTTGCTTTTCCCCTACCTATTGTGTATATAGTTGTACTAACAGTCTGCTCAGGCGTGTAAATGGACTCTATTCCATCTGTCGCAAATCTGCTCCACTTCTCTCAGTATCTTCGTTGGCAACAAAAAAGGGTCATCTAGTATTGCATGGTACTAGTAATTACATTAAAAATAAGTTGCAACCCAACCACATAACTCAATATACTGGCCTGTCATGTTCTAAATCTTGTTGTAATCTTATCAACAAGAGCTTTGCAATCATCAGAAGAAAGCTTACCCGTGATGAGAGGCACACCAAAGTAACGAACATGCAATTCACCAAGAGGAAAGCGAGTAACCCTTGAAATCATCCTCTTCTCGTTTTCTAGGATCCCATAAAAAAGCTGACACTTTTCTATATTACATTTAAGTTCGGAATTGAATCAGTGTAAAATCTGTCCAACAGCCTTTTAATCCCAGCAATTGTCCTAATAGACCCATTGGTGAAATTTAGGAGGTCATCCGGGAAGCATAAATGATAGATTTTCAAAGCTTTGCAGATAGGGTGATATGAAATTTGCCCTGTAAGAACTGCTTGCCACAGAAAGGAGGAAAAATACAATCACAAACACACATGCAAAGAGTTCAAAGGCATCATAGGGTACACATGCAATGAGTGTCACATCTTCTCTAATGCATGTAGAACACAAATGCCATTATTTGAAGTGATTGTCTATCTTCATCTTGATTATATTTTTCA